TTTCAAAAAGAGGCTGAAATAAACTTGCTTATCAGACCAGACACCGAGAAGTGAGTGTTCTCGGGGTCCTACATTATATTCCCCACGAGGCCGTTGCTACAATGATTTATCCTAGACTAATCTTCATCCAGCTGTCCGCTGACCGGATCCTATCGGTTTTTCAAACACTGACTCAGGCCGGACTCAGGATCACTTCAAATATAGTGCCACGCCCGCTGACGTAACCACACGAGGCAATTGTGCGGGCTGTGAGGCATTTTGTGGATAGCGGGGTGACGCATACATGGTACATGTGTCACTCGACACGATGGTCTGGTGACAGGAATCGACTGCCAAAATTATCTTGCTATGCTTCCACTATATAATGTGCTCACGGATCCTACGACCAATCTGGCGTATCCCGTTCCCTACCCTTCATCTAATCGTACCAAAGTCGAAAAATGCAGCATTATCCGATGAGCACACCGTCCGAAACCCAAATCACCACAATCTCTGTATCCAATCTTCACTGCAACAGGTATATACAATGGCCTGATTTTTATCCTGCTGATGTTGATTTTGTCTCAGCTGCGAAAGCATAATCAATAAAGTGCTCTTCTCTCTTTCTCCCCCTCCAACAAGGGTAGACGTATCCATCGTGCACCAGTCAGTGACAGTCGAGCATGCCCTCGAGACATCCAGACACACCATACATTTCATGCTTGAGGATGCTGGTTTTGATGTACATGACCCAGATTCCAGTTCCTCCAAGCACACACTTTCACAAGTAACACGGGGGACGGACACCATGCTTTCTGGAAAACGTCAAAAGCATATACAACACTGTTTATTGTGTCAGGAGGCGGCCGTCATCTCATTCAATGACACCGTTTCACCAGTCCTGCAGGGTAATACCATTTCTCCGATGAATTGCTCCACGCCAGAGGACTCAGAACGGAGCCTAAGCCCGTTGTGCAAGGTTGGCGTTGATGACGTGGCGCATCTTGTCACCCTGTCCGTGGGTGGTATGACGTGCTCCTCATGTTCGGGCACCATCACCGAAATAGTTTCACAACTCCCTGGCATCTCCGAAGTAGTTGTTAGCCTTCTGAACAACTCTGCCACAGTTATTGTTGCTCGAAAGGATCTAGTTGGCTCCGTGACCAAAACGATCGACGACTGTGGCTTCGAAGTCGATGTCATCAAGATCGAGCCCCTCATCCCAGTGACATCAACAAATAATTCGACAAAAACAGGTCATAGGATATTATCCCTTCGTATCGACGGAATGTACTGCCAGTGCGTTAATCTTATTGTGGTCGCATACGGGGTTACTGATATTCGCAAGCCAGACACTGTCCAATCAAAATCATGACCGCCTTAAAAAAGCTCCAGCCCGACATCACCATTATCAAACCACTAGCAAATCATTTGGATTCCGTCATAGAAGTCTCGTATATGCCATCGCCTCCAGACTTCACCATCCGCTCCATCACCTCCACTATTGTGTCCGTGGAACCGACGTCATACAGTGTATCGATCCATCGTGCACCTACTCTCGAAGAATGCACGCATCGCATGCAGCGACGTGAGCAACGAGTCTTGCTACAGCGCCTGTTTTTCACCTTCATCATTACGATACCTACGTTCATCATTGGTGTCGTTTACATGAGCCTTCTTCCCGCTGACAATCCCACGAAGATATACCTAATGCAGCCCATGTGGAATGGAAACGCGTCTGCAATCGAGTGGGCACTCTTCTTCCTCGCAACCCCAGTATACTTCTATGGCGCTGGCACATTTCATCATCGGAGTATCAAGGAAATCAAAGCTTTGTGGAGGAAAGGGAGCACGACCCCCATAATTAAGCGCTTCACTAGATTTGGCAGTATGAACCTTCTGGTATGTACCATGTTGCCCGCATTTTTATGTGATGATGACATGATGAACAGGTTTCTACTGGAGTAACTGTGGCCTATTTGTCATCGATTGTGGTTCTAGGTCTTGCAGCGACACAGCCACCTTCAGGTGATGGTACAGGGCAAGAAACGACATATTTCGACTATGTCGTGTTCCTGACTATGTTCTTACTTGCTGGTGAGTGGAACCCGCGCGTTGTCTATCTTGCTTCCTTATCTACTGTAATCATTAGGCCGCTACCTCGAGGCATATAGTAAAGCGAGGACTGCAGACGCCATTACTGCACTCGGGTCATTTCGCCCTGCCGGAGCTCTTATCTTGTCTCCTTGCTCTGCTTCTGCTTCTACTGCCCCCACAGTCGTTCCCCGCAATGATCCCGAAAAATGCGACGTAGTGTATGATAACGATAGCCTTGTTGCGTCTCCTGGGTTCAAATTTGAGAAGGTACTTGTAGACCTCTTGGAGGTTGGCGATGTAGTGCGTGTACAAAATGGTGCGACACCACCATCAGACGGTACAATCGTCTCTGGTCCGGAAACATCCTTTGACGAAAGCTTTTTAACGGGCGAAGCTCGACTTATTAAGAAGAACATCGGGGATAAGGTTCTTCTTGGAACAATCAATAAGTCCAGGGCTGTAGATGTTCGAGTTGACGCTGTTGACGGTGTCACATTGTTAGTCACCCAACTTCGATTCTAAAGATATTATTTACCTGACCGAGTTCTACAGGCTGGACCAGATTGTGCAGATTGTCCGTGAGGGTCAAACTCGTAGGGCACCCATTGAGTGCATTGCAGACCATATTACAGGCGTTTTTGTCCCAATCATCACTTTACTGGCGATCGTTACTTGGTTGATATGGCTTACCTTGGGTGTTAGCGGTGCTATCCCTAGGAGTTACTTAGATACGAGTCAAGGCGGTTGGAGTGAGTTTCTTCCAGGCGATTCACTGAACTTTGTACTGACATCGGCTCTGTAGTCATTTGGTCTCTCGAGTTTGCAATCGCAGTATTCGTCGTGGCGTGCCCTTGCGGCATTGGCCTGGCAGCACCTACCGCTCTTCTTGTGGGATCTGGCCTTGCAGCTAAACATGGAATCTTGGCCCGCGGAGGCGGCGAGGCTTTCCAAGGCATGGCGCAACTTGATGTTGTTGTGTTCGATAAAACCGGAACACTCACCGAAGGTGGCGAGCCCCGAGTGTCTGATGCCAAGATCCTGCTCTCGTCGGTGCCTGAGAAGACGCTTCTCGGAATCGCCGCGGAGTTAGAATCTGCATCATCTCACCCGCTCGCAAATGCAATTAGGCAGTATGCGGGGGACCATGGTGCCGTGTCTGTTGTTGGCAACGCGTTCGATGAAATTGCTGGTAAAGGCGTCAAAGCGGATTTCGAAGAAATGCGACGCAAGGCGATAGTAGGAAACGAAGCCCTGATGCAAGACCACGATGTCCTGCTCTCTCCAGACGTTCTCCAAGTGCTCGATAGGTGGAAATCTGAGGCGAAGAGTATCGTCCTCCTCGCTGTTACGGTCGCGGACTTTGACAATGAATTCGTCGTTGCAGCTATATTCGCTGTGTCGGATCCCATCAGGAGAGAAGCTACTGGTGTTATACGTCATTTGCAGGAACAGGGCATTGGGACATGGATGCTATCAGGGGACAACGAGACGACGGCAAAAGCAGTTGCAAAATCTGTGGGCATTCCTGAAATGAACGTCATCGCTGGAGTTTTACCTCAGCAAAAGGTCTGTCGTTATCTTCTTTTCCGTATTGTATGATCTGATTTATCTCACAGGCGGAAAACATCGAGTGGCTGCAGCGTAATGGTGCCAAACGCCCTTCTTCAAGATGGCGACGTATGTTAGGCAGGTCAACGTCAAACGAGCGCTGTGTCGTCGCAATGGTTGGGGATGGTATCAATGATGCACCTGTGAGTTCTCTGTGCACGTCTTCGTTTTTTTTGTCTTGACTGTGACGTTAGGCACTGGCTGTCAGCGACATAGGAATAGCTATCGGATGTGGAAGTAAGCTCTAATATTCATCCAACCGCTAACAGAGCGCATACCAACCAAGTTCGATGACAGGCGACATTGCATTATCTAGTGCTTCATTCATTCTCTTATACTCTAACCTCAGAACTTTGCTCACACTGAGTGACCTGTCGAGAAAAGTGTTTAACCGCGTCAAAATTAACTTTGTACATTTCATCTCTCTCTTTGCATCATCTGTCGCCATTAATATATTTTGTAGATGTGGGCATTTATGTATAATTTGATCGCAGTCCCCATCGCTGCCGGTGTCATATACCCCGTCGGACACGCGCGTTTAGCTCCCGTCTGGGCGTCGTTGGCTATGGCATTATCGTATGTACTTCCTGACTAGGCATGATCTATACTCATGTGTTATCCTAGCTCTGTATCTGTGGTTTGTTCCTCCCTCGCACTCAAGCTGTACAGAGAGCCAAAGATACAGCTTTAACAAGTCCAATCCAGTCTTTCATGCAACCAACCCGTTCATTTGTATTTGTATTTTAGTCGGAATTCGAGGTGACCGCTTTTGAAATCCGAGAACTTCAGGTAATTGTATTCAATAACCCCATGCCGTCTCTAGTACTTGTCACCGATGATGATTGTGCCTGGTCTACCTCTTGGTGGATTAATATCAACGACATGAGCTCTCGATCGAGCTGGCGCTCCTGCGAATTCTGCCCACCAGGATATGTATGCATCCGCAGTTTGTGGCACAAGCTGGATGGGAATTGGTACTAATACCAGCGTCAATACACCCTTGGCAGCACTTTTTCGAGGTTCCCACGGTCTGTTAGACCGGGTTTTCTTGTAGGGCAAAACCTGTCTAACAGACCTGGCTCTCCTGAGAGGTTCTCTACCTCCCGGTAACAGCTCTCGTTCTGCATTGAAATTCGACCTCCAGGAGGGTGGGGGAAGTGGGACCTCGACAAACACCTTGAGTCTCTGCCGACGACGTGCAAGAGATGATGCACTGGATAATGAAATAGCACGTTGGTCTTGTTGTCGTCGCAAACGACGACGAAGTCGTCCATTCTGGGTTTGAGCCACAGCGCCAGCCAAAATCGAGCCAAAACCAGTGGTCAGTGAACGGGTTGTACCGTTATGAAACCAGGGTACCCCGGCTCGGCTCAGCTTTTAGCTAAATTTACTTCGGCTTGGGTGGCTACTGGTTTGCAGCCAAGCTATTGGCAACTACAAGTATACAGTGCTCTGTCGTTTTCGTCGCAATCGTGGTACCCCAGTCGCAATGGATTGGGTCATGGGATATCCTGGGATACGGTCATACGTTAATCGTAGTTCGTATGCAAAGAAATACATAATTGCATGATGGATTACAGGTAAAAGATGCGAAGATATATGATGCAAGATGCGGAGGTAAAAAAAATTAGTAGATACAAGATGAGTCCTGCAGAGCAAGCACCGACTACACATAGAATCTGAAAGTTAAGAGGGTCAGAACGGAGAGACATGTAAAGTGGAAGGGCACTCACTTCTTATTGATCTGGTAGAGCAACAAACTAATGTTGACCTTTGCCAGTCCATTGAATAAGGAAAGGGAAGCCTGGTTCTCGAACTGAGCTTGCAACAAGTCTTCCATACGCAGATCAGTAGAAGCTATCCGATTGGTGATCCCCAGCGTGTTATTGAACACTTCCATAGTGAAGATGCCAGGTTTGTTGGAAGAAATGGTGATGTCGATTTTATCAAACTGACGGGGAGAGAATTTATCGATGGAGAGTAATATACCCTTCTCATACAAATCCCTTGCACTGTATTTGAAAGATCCGAACTGAGGATTCTTCCCCGACTTCTGCAAGTCCCGCAGATGAAAGTACTGCTTTGTGAACGGCAGAACAAAACGCTTCTTCCTATTCAAGAGTTTAGCGCAATGTAGGGCACAAACATAATTGATCTTTACCCTTTGCCTCGCTGCATGGTCGCCATCGCAGCTTCAACGTAATTGTGATAACTGTCGATCTGCTCTTCGAAATACTTCTTCCGTTCAGAAAGGTGTTTCAGGGCGTCTACCATGCTATCCATCTCCTGTTGACGCTGTAACCGTTTGCGGTGCTTGCTGCGGACATCGCTGGCAATGGCATTCAGAATACCCTGGAATCCGTCGTTGCGCGTAATCTTCCCCTGTTTCTCGAGTTCAAGAAGGAAGAAAATAGCATGAGCTTTGACTTCTTTGAAAGACAACCTTTTATATTTTTTTAGTTAAGCATTGTCTTCCATACTTCTCGATGCAACTCACGATCGAATGTCTTCTAGCCTATAGGCGGACTCGCCTGCGGAAGTTGAAGGCATACGTCGTGATGTTGGTTCGTTATCCATTTCGGCCAAGATGTTCTCCCAGCGAAGCTCATCGTCATCGCTCACAGGACGCATCAAAGATTCGACAAGATCTTGCGCAGGTTGGACACGTAAGATCGCAAGCACACCGCGCTTTGCTTGTACCCAGAGCGTTTTCTCATCAGCTTGTGGATCTGCATTCCCGTCAACAAGCGTCACCGATATCGAGTAGCCCAAGCTTACCTCGGACATGAGCAAACCTGTTCGTCAGCTCCAGAGTAATCGCACGATCTCTGGCATCCTTGAGCTCATCGTTATCAAGATGAGGTACACCATCCAGCTCGTGCAGAATAACACGCAAGGCATCGTGTCGATCAGGAGACTTGCAATATATTTTTCAGTCTTAAAGAATTCCTCCTGATTGAATGCACCCACCAATTTCTCTTGATATTGAGAGAGCAAGACATGCATACCGTACACCTCGTTCGGAGAGATGTAAATAGGCTTTGGTTGTACTGTAGCATCCAAGAACTCATGGGCATGGTAGTGACTTTCGGCATCGGGGACATCCGCGACTGCTGTTTATCAATAGAGATGAATACCAGACATGCTCAATACAATAATAAAAAAACAACTCACTTCGCACTAGCCAATTGGTCATCTGCGTGATCAACGTGCGCACACACTCGTTAATGGGCACATAATTAGGCTGATCATCATTGAACTCAGAGCCTGACGCAACCTGCGTCAAGACCTTGGAGATCTGCGCGAGATTCTTCCTGGTTGCAATATCTACCGATGCGACCATATCAAAGTTTTCAGGCGATCTGCAAATCTGGGTGATGAGCGCCTGTTACGAGAGACCGAAGATAAAACGCACAAGATGGCGGGGTTCAAGTACCGGTAATATACCAGCCTACCAATGCAGGCTGCATACACTTCATCAGGCGCTCCAGGGAACTTCTCCTTCAACTGAAGAAACGTTTCGCGCGCCATGAATCGCACGCTGTAGGGCATCCTGCGAGTCGACTCAAATATGGATACGGCAAAGGCTTCAGTCCACCACTGAAGTTTCTGGAGATCTGTAAATATATCAAAATAAGCTCCAACACTTCAAGAAGAAATAAACACGTGCGTCTGATGTACTCGGCCCTAGTATCAGGATCTTTCAAAGCCTCGTAGAATGGAACATCTTTGGGCTTCGTGCTTGCGATTCCAGATCGCATTTCCTCCACATTTATGCGCGATCGGTGGATCTAGACAAGGTGAAACGTCGTCATACAAGAAACACAAGAATACTTACCACAGTAGGGTCAGGTTCTAGGTCAAGATCGACAGCCTCTAGGAGCTCACGGATGATCCCCTGCAGCGTTTCACGGATATACGTGACCTGTCGTGGGCGGACGTACTGCACCGCTATATTAATATACATCGGATGTCCACGTACGACATCCGAAATCGACGGTGCAGCCAGGATTTCCTCGCGGATCGAAAGCTAAAAGCAGTATCAATAATAACCAGACGTCACAAACTGCGGGAGGCGCACCTGGAATAACTTCAAGAAGAGATAATCCTCCCTTCGGTCCTGACCATACCCAAACAACGTGAGCACGACCCGCTCTGCCAACCGCCTGTGCTTCTCCGCTGTCTCGTCAGAAAGCTGAACGAAGAGTCCACCTAGATACTCTGCTCTCGTCTGCAAGAGATAGAATAGCTGCTGGTACAGTTCAAGCTTCTTCTTCGCTGCATGATCAAGAGTATTCGGTCCAGCAAAGGGGTCGCCATGCGCAGCAAGGATGGACGCCCTAGTAGCGTGAGCAGCAGCGCTGTCTGCACCGTACTTTTTCCGCGCCTTGATAAGCTCCTCGAAGGACTTCACATTCTGTACGACAAGCGCAATCTTCACGTCGAGATCACTGACATCGTTCTCTAAAGCTTGGTTTTCACGAATGCCCTCTACCACGCGCTTTCTCAGCCGCTCCACCTTGATCTCATCTTGGAAGTCCGACTCCGAATCGTCCAACAAATGCACGAAGTTCTTGATCGTTCCGACGGTGACGTTCTTGCCCAGCGTGAGTTGCCTGTACTGCTCCCTAGTCTCCTTTGCCCTAAAGAGCGACTGAATCTTGACAACCTTATCAAGATTCGTGCGATAATACTGAATCTTCGCACGGAATTTCTTCCGCTGGAGCACTCCACGGAACAAAGCCTGCAACATCGTCGCTGCAGGTTGACTCCGCCGCAAATAGTCTCGCCACGCATGATAGTCCCTCCTGACGAGGTACCCCCGCGCCACTGCCTGAAACCCGTTCACATCTGGAGCAACAAACTCTAGTTCTTTCTGCTGTTCGCGGTGGCGGTTCCGCATGATCGCAGCTCGTGCAAGAGCCTGGAACCCTCCAACACTCGCTACGACCTTCACCTCGCAGAGGGCCTTTGCGACATTACGGTGCTGTTGTCTAGCCAGGCTCGCACGTGCACGCGCTTGCAGACCGATAAGCATGGGAGTCGCGCGCCGCAAACCTCGGATGAGCTGAAGAAGGCGTTTGCGTGCAAGATAAGTCCGCACAGCTGCCTGTATGCGCACAACAGTTGCAGACACATCATCCAGCTTGGCGAGTTGCGTCCGTATGCGTCTTCGCACAAGAACACCGCGGCACTGTGCCTGCAAATCCACGATAGTCTCCTCCTCTGCATCCAGTTTTCTGAGCTTTCTCGAAAGCATCCGTCGGAGGAGGAAGCTGCGCGCAACAGCTTGGACATTCACCACAGACAATACTACCTCCGCACGCGCAAACGTTTTCGCCACTTCGCTGTGGTTCCGCTGCACGATTTTGGCACGTGCAGTTGATTGCATCTTCACCACGATTGCACGGGCGCTCCTTAGGGCTGCTTTCAGCTTCTCGAATCGCCGACGTACGAGGACGCCACGAATCTGGGCCTGTGTCTTGACTAAGTATTGAGAGACTGCTTTGATGCGAGCGATGTATGCTCTCCAGCGCCGACGGACAAGTACGCCGCGGACAGCAGCCTGCAAATGAATAGCCCAGGGCGTCATGTCGCGCGTCTGCTGACGGGAGACGGAAACGGTGCGTCGGGCGAGAGCACCACGGAGATGTGCTTGCAGACGAGGAACATATCGTTCGGTTAGACGCAAACGGACGCGTTGTGTCGCCTGTGCCTTGCGGACCAGAAAGCCACGGGCTAGGCATTGAACCGAACGTATCGAGTCCTCATTCTCCAAGAGCAGACGATCGCGCCCTATGAATAAAATTCAGCCTATTGATAGATATCGGGAAAGCAAACAAAGTAGGACGCACGTTCCTCCTCGCTTTCCTCTGGCTCAGGGGGTGGTGGATCAGGCTCCTCGTTTATTTCCTTTGCTAGTTCCCTGCCGACATTGCCGAAGTTGGGCATCGGAATACCTGCGTCAGTGAGACCCTTCTGCGTCTTCTGCAGCTGGTCATCGGAGAATTGAAGTTGGCCGAGAAGATCTCCGATACATTCGGCGAGACCACGGCGGGCGAGGAGGTGACTACGAGATATTAGCAAATTCAAGCGTTTGCCGATCGGGAGGTGCTCACCTAAGTGCGTGTATGCAGTAAATGACCTTGGGAAAGTTTTTCTTCTCGTATAGATCGGTCAATTCGAATATGAATCCCTTATGCAAATTGTTACTCGTCATATCTGATGCTGGAGGCGTGGCGACATACCTCGGGCAATCCCACTTCTCTAACAAAAACAAAGAAATGGTTGATATTATCCGAGTGGCGGAAATTTAACTTTCGGGCCTGTAAACAATCGGAGTTCAACCTTGATCGCACGATCTTGGAATGCCAGCGCACCTCATAAATTCTGAACCCTCCTTCTCCCTTGAAAACCCTGACAAGCCGTGCTAGCACAACACCGTTCCTCATTCCTTCCTCCATCTCTACCACCCCAAAGCCTAGCTCTTCCCCAAGGCAACCCTCGATCCACTGCTGTGCCTCTCCTACATGGCACAGATATTCATACGCTTGCAGTAAATGTCTCTGTACATCGGCCCATAGGCCTCTCGTCAAGCGAGAGGAAGGGAAGGTTGTCGGTGCAGTCGGACTCGCTGGCGTTTGATCCCGCGAAAGACGCAATCGCCCCGGAATTCCAGTAACATCGGAGGTATTTGACATCCCTGCAACAAGTTCTTCTGTAATAGGTGACGCTGGAGGTTCATACCTGGAATTACGACGTGCTCGTCGCAACACCACCTGTGAATCATCCACAGGAACAGGAGCCTGCTCAGGTTGTAATGGGGGATTGGGCTTCTGCTCATCAACCCAGTCTTCATCGGCATCCCCGCTCGCGATGCGGGGCAGATGGCGTCCTAGTTTGTGTCCAGCAATTTGCCCATATGTTGATGACTTCTTTGACATGTATGAGGAGCGGTAAGGGGCCGGTGACATTACAGAAGAGGAGGTTGACGGAATGGATGTGGTGGAAGAACTGGGTGTATGTGGAGGGGTTGAAGAAGATGTGGATGCGAAGGAATTCTGAGTGGATGCGAACGAGGACGTGGGGGTATGCGTAGGAGATGGGGACGGGCGTTCAGAGAGGTTAAAACGCGAAGTGTATTCCGCAACCCGAGTTGTAATGTCAGGGGCACGGGAAGTGCGGTCCACGATTGGCAGGACAGCTGGTGAGATATTCTCAGCGGAACGAGACGTAAAATCGGAAGAACGAGAATCCAGTCGGGATGTATATGCAGATATCCTGGAGGGAAGGTCGTTCAACTTAGATGTGAGGTCTGAAGGGTTATTGTCGGACACTCGCGAAACACGACTTGGAAGTCGCAAGGTATGGTCGGTAAGATCCTGGCTTGCAGAGATGCGACCGTGCAAGGTTTCCTTTTCCGGGAAGGGAAAAGATGAAGAATGTGAACCGTACAGCGACATGGGACGGCGGGGGACAGTTGTAGGTGTTGCAGGTGTGAACAAAGGCTTTGAGAGACTGGACGGAGTGTTGATCACCGTCGATGTGAATGGGTCGGGTATCCGTGATACTAGATCATGGGGAGCAGAATCCGGGGTGTTGCCGTCTATTGTACTTGGTCTCCGCGTGGGTGGGGAGGGGGAATCAAGGGATATGTATGCAGGTATATCATGATCAGCAAGTTCCTTGATATCAGATAATGATGAAGAATGAAGAGATGCTGTAGTTGGGAGGCATATACGATGAGGGGTCGGGGTCGAAAGTGTGTTAGCAGACGAGTCAGGGTTCACGACAGATATTCCAGTAGTATTCGGGGACAAGGGAGTTGCTACTATGTGTGGTGGAAGGGAAGCAGAGAAAGTATGTCGTTTGAGATAAGCTGAAGTGCGCTGCAAACTGGAATCTGTGAACGAGGAGATACTATCACTACGACCCAGACTAGAACGACTGGGTGTAGTTTCGATTTGCTTTGTTGGACTGGCAGACCTGCGTTCGTCGAGTACTGCCTCTGCACGTGCGCGCTCCTCCCACTTGTCGCGTACAGTGTCAACACTGGCACCCGGTCGATGTGAAGGTGTCCATCGTCTGGTAGTAGAAACCACAGGCGGACTAGAACCAGTTGTATTTGGGCTCACGAGGGATGTTGGACGCGATGAGATGGAAGAATTTCGAGAGTTTGTTGATGAACGAGAAGCAGTGCGCTGGAGCAGACGCGTCTGGTACGCGAAAGCATCTCGTTGCTTGGATGGCGATGACGGAGCATCAGTGGTCGATGGTATTAGCGTATTTGGTTTTTCCATGTCGTGTCAAAGTCGTCAGTACAACACGCCGCTCCAGCCTACTAGTACTATTAGTAGGTATACCGGGAACAACTTGAAGTCGGACCTAAAAGGATGGCTGATGTAATGAGCGCTTAAAGTTGTTTCTTAAATTCTTTGTACTAGACACGACTACGCCGCGGCTTATGATGAGGCCAGCTAATCCATGCCTCCTGAATATTTATCTTTCATGGTTCGGTGCGAGCACCGTGACGCTGGCTTACTAGGGTCCCCATAATATACACAAATACTACCTTTCCGTATCTCTATAGGCTTTTGGCGTAATCATCATACTCCCATGATCATGAAAATACTTTGGTTGAAAGGACAAACAAATCAACGAGCCAAGGAACTCTTCGTTCGGATACCTTCGCCGGCGAAATATATCCACACGGGGAAGGGGATACCAATGATGATGGCAAAACCTGCAAGCAGCGTATTGCCTCCGCCATAACCGAGCGTCGCAAACATTTGTTGTCCAAATAAAGGGAATGCGAACCCAAGGAGTGAACGGAAGGCCTAATGTGACGTATTCAGTGAACGCAAACGACGTCAAGGGTAGGGAAAACTGACAGAAGCGGCTGCAGTAGCGCTTGCAGCGTATGTATATGTATCCACGAGATATAGTTGAATAGGGAGGCTTTAGAGAGGGTCAAACGTGAACAGTGCCAAACCACGGAGGCACACCCACAAACATGTCAATATTCCGAATCCAAAGATAGAGGTGCCAATGATGGGCATCATAAAGTGGGCCTTGGCTTGGGCAGACCAGCCATACCAACTAATACATGTCAGACTGGGAGCAGGAACAAAGGGATCAATCTCACAGCAGTCCCACTGGGACAAAAAACGACCCGAATATCAGAGCAGGCACACGCATCTCTGGTCGACCCCTCCCTCCATTTTTTGCAGTAAGCTAAATATAGAAGCTAGCAATTGAGCTGACACGTTCAAGGGTAGAAGGAAGACATACGTATATGTAGATCTTGTCGGAAAGTTTGGCGCCAAACACGGTAGCAACTACGAATCCAAAACCAACTCCAATATATGTCAGACCTCCGATTCCAATGCTGAAGTGGTACACGTTTGCAAATAGGTCTAGGCAAAAATTGTCAATAATGTGCCTGAATGCTGACCAGGTATGATCTTACCGGGGAAAGTAGTAAATAACAAGAAGTAGATACCTAACGTACGATCTCAGTCCGTATCCGATATAACTTGATGTAGTACTGACCGTACATCCTAAATAGATGACATGAGTCAGCGAGCTGCGCGACATCAAATTAGACTTACAAAGCCATATACAAGCTCAAGATGAAGCATATGAAACTCCTGGTCAGTAGAATGACCGGTCGCTTGAGATTAACCCATAAGTAAACCCACTTGTCCATATGATGTGCGGCCAGGACAGGATGCCCTACAGATGTCTTTTCGGGATCTAGCGCCATGGCGTTAAGACGAAACCTGATGACTGGTACATATGTTTCTCTCATAAGAGGGACGCCAAGTATTGCGGCAACACCAGAGATCGCAGCGATGACATAGAAAACATACTGTACACCGACTGACTCTGCGATGAAACCCCCTATAACAGGACCAATAGCGGGGCCTATGAGTGAATTTCAGTCAATGTCATACACCGTAAAACTGGGAAAGACCCGCCAAGCATAGGTCCAATGCTGTATAGTGCCATAGCTGAGGCGCGCTCGTGCTCCAAAAAGAGATCGCTGATAACACCTGAGCCGCATGCTATAGGCGCACTCCCCACCAATCCAGCTTTGTAGAGAGTGAGCAAAAGTTGCAGCTCCGACAGTTCCATACGTACCTAGAAATCGGAACACGATCAAGGACACGGTATTGGCTGACAAAGCGCAGCCGAGATTGAACACGAGAAAGAAGAGGTTTCCTAGGTGGAGCACCTTGAACTCATTTAGGCAAATGGTCTCTTCGATCAGATGTAGGAAGAGCACCACGCACCCACACACGACCGTATACTTCTGATAAGGGTGCCGCAAATAATAGACCAATGGCATACGATAGAACGAAGATACTCAGAGTCAACGCTAAGATTGTTGGATTGGTTATGCCAAATTTTATGGCCAAGTCAGGCAAACCAGGTGCCATGATAGCGCTTGCTAACGGTGTGACAAGCGTGTACAGCGAGACCTGACACGACACCGACATGAGCCCTAGTGAACTGAGTTCGATAATGGAAGAACTGACGACTGTAGTGGTTATCCATTTCTTTGCAAGAGGCCAATTCCTGGGGTTCGCTGGGTCGTGTTCCCAATCATGCACCTCATCATTTGACTTATCCAAGGCTTCGGCAGCCCCACCTTTGCTACATGTGAATTGAGGATGAAGATAATTCGTGCCATCTTGGCGTGGTGCATGAGCAGAGGAGACGGTTCCTAGAGGAGAGTCCGACATGTACAAGCGTTGCACTGGTAAGCAGGGAAGACGACCGAAGACGATTCAGGGGACAGACTCCTTAAAAATAGCAGATGACATCCTGACCAGGCAGGTATTGCTATTACGCTTTATTCCTGGAGGCCGTTGGTTATCGACGGGTAAGATCTCACCCGAGGACTTTGGGACGTCTACTTACAAACGATCGTTCGAGTCGCCCCATATTACGCTCCATGATCGGCGCCAGTCAGCGCGTGTCATCTCGTAGCGCTTCGAACGAGTCAAAATTTCTTCCAACTAAGTCCGCAGTTTCGCCTAGTTTGTCGACCTCAGTTGCTTTGCTGCATTGTTGGCACCTCAGGACCAAATATGAAGCCCAGGCAATCAGCATCGACTTGAAGCTCTTTGAAGGTTGTATCCCTGGTCTGACGCCTGGCCATCATAGCCTGAAGGCTAATATTGACAAGTTTCCTACATACGTACACTCAGACACGAGATAGGTTGTTATGTAAGGCACTAACCAAACCATCCTTTTATCTTCGGAGATGATCAGTGCATTCGCTCGCAGTCCGACCCCTAGAACCTTCATAACCTTCGCTTTATTGACCATTACCAACACAGACCAGCACCCGAGTGATATAATGAAACTCACTAGAAGTCTCGTGCTGGCCATTTACACCCTCGATCTCTGCATAGCCCCCGATACGTCAATCCAATGCAGGCCGTTCAACTGGCCGCTACTTGATCGGCGTCTGCATCATGGCAATTAAGGTCATACTTTGCGTGTCACTGCCGATTTATCAAAGATAGGACTGGCACGCGTGTCAACGATCCAGAATCTTCAATTATTCGGCCTCCATGATCAGCGTATTCAATGGACCGATTGGTCTACACCAAAATAAATCCACACGGTATGCTTTGTGATGAGGCCAGCACGCGGCAATGCGATGAAGAAAAATTGGAACTCAGATTTCTCGACCCGCATGAAGAGGACCTCACCGGGTGTAGAGGAATCTTGTCGCGCACGTTTTAGAAGGACACGGTTGACGACCAGAGCGAGAGTACAGGAATTGCAGGAGTATACTGCAACACAATAAGGGAAACACAGAGGACAAATCCGAGTCCGCATCCAGCATCCTCGAAAAATTCTTTACCAGAACATCATGGTACCGTAGAGGCTACTTTCTGCGTATGTCCCTGGTTGAGGTTAAGCTAAGCCTTGTGCGTTTGGAAATGTGTGATTGTCAGGAGTGCCCACTGCCCGTGATCATATATCCCTTAACAATCACACTGCTCGAACGCGATGATGAGAGAAACCTGACTTCTGCAAGGGACATAACCGTCAAAGTGCAAGGTTGAATCCAGGTTGCTCGCTTTGTAAGCAATTGGCCATGTACTTCTAGTACTATTAACATACCCGCGTGATCTAACGTGACTGTATACCGCGATGCGCGATGTGAGCGCGTCAATCGAAAGCCTTGTCACGTCCTTTGTTCCCCAGACTCAGTCCAATACACGTCTCAAAGAAGAACTAATAGCACATTGCAAGGATATCCTCGCAAGGTAACAACGCCCTAGTCCAGCTTGTGGTAAATGTTATTTACCTGTTCTCTAGTAATATTGGCACCGCACACGAGAATGACACTGGTCATTTAGCGGCACAGATAAAAAGGCATTGTATGCATCACCCAAAGATCGTGTGTTCCTAATTGTGACCGTATTCTTTTGCAGTGTTACAATCTGAATCTCCGAGCAATGCATCGCTCAAGTTCACTAATCTCCTCTCGCGATTACTAGACCAAGTGAGTGTACCGATCGTGTTGGTCGCGCGTCTTATCTCTGTGTAGCCTATTCTCTCTCGCAAACACGAGGCCCTTCTCTTTCTCTATTCTCTCGCATCCTCCTCACGCCAGCCAACCTCAAGTCCATTCCTCGCGTCTCTCCAGGCCCCGCTTCGTCCATCCACAATTCGTACCACTAGTCCTACTCATCTTCCGCGCTCACCACAGCCAAAAGGCAATTCGAAAGCAGAAATATTGCGTGAATATCGCGCCCGTACTGGTATGCATTCCCTTGACACCCTCTGTGGGACGGAACGCTCAAGTGCTAATGAAGGACGACGCCATCTCCCCGAACACTTACTTCTTCGCGACACGTTATATCTCTTACAGGGAATTTCTGGAAAATATGTACACTTGTCGCTCTCAGACAATGGCGCCCAGCCCAAACTCGTTTTTGTCGAAGATTCTGTAAGCAATTTTAAATGAATGTCATATCGTGCTCATGTTACTCACAGAAATATATCATCCCTCCCTCAACTAAATCCCTCGTTCATCGCCTTTCCGAGGTAGGTCATCTGTACGCGCGCATAGCTGGGTTCGTCAACACACAAGATCGGCCATCCGTCGGCATGATCGAGCAAAGCCTTTGCCATCACCTCCAGACGCTGCTTACCGAATACTACCGACTCATCGCCGTTCTAGAGTCTCAGATGGGCAACACATCCAACTCAGCTCCAGGCGCACAATCGGATCCTGTAGGAGAGGAGACCGGCCTCACCCTTAAACGCCTCGACGTCTGGATAACAGAATGGCGTCTCCGCATGCGCATGATGAGCGTCTGTGTTGAGGGTGCACATGACGCACAGGGTGGGGCACTCGTTAACCTCATTCATTCATACACCGACAACGGAGATCCATTCGTCAGAAAATTTACTGACCAACTTTTGGAAGAGGTGCAACATCTTTATTTGTGTTAGTTAGCCGACTGCTTTATGCTAATTCAATTTCAGGTATCCACTCCCTTCTTCAATACACTGCACAAATGGCTTTTCTCCGGCGAGCTCTACGATCCCCACTCTGAATTCTTCGTTTCAGTCGACCCATCACTTGCGCATCTTCAAGGACTCCATCCCTCAAGTCTTGCAGGGGGCATCGACGCATTCGGTGAGGATTCTGTTAGCGCAGACAGAGGCGACGGTGGAGGCGGTCTCCGTGTATGGGAGGCGAAGTACCGCTTTAGAAAAGAGATGCTCCCGATGTTTGTGGGCGAAAACTTTGGAAGAAAGATCTTTTCGACGGGCAAGAGCTTGAATTTTATCAGATACAGTTGTCACGATTCGGATTGGGTAGCAACGAGAGAGAAGATGAGCAATACGGGCGGAAGTGAGTTCTGCACTTCCACTCACTTTTATGTTGATACTTATGTTTCCCATAGTTCTCAAGTACAGCGATATAGCAGGACTGGAACGCAGCATCGACAGTGCATACAACACCGCCTCTGCTCGCTTGTTTGAAGTCTTCACTGAGAAATTCCGCCTCCTTGATCACCTCTCCGCGCTCAAGCACTACCTTCTCCTTGGCTACGGTGACTTTGCTGAGCAACTCATGGAATCGCTTGGGTACCTAATTCGTGCTATCATTTCACTCATGCTAACGGGCGCACAGGCCCTCTCTCACCCGACCTGCCAACACCCTATACCGACACAACCTCACAGCAACACTCGAGACAGCCATCCGTACTTCAAGCGCACAAAACGACCCGCCGGATGTTCTCCGCCGCCTCGACGCTCGTATGCTGGAATACACGCACGGCGAGCTCGGGTGGGACGTCTTCACGCTCGAATACAAGGTCGACGCGCCGCTCGATACCCTCCTAGACCCCGGGTCTCTGGAGAAGTACAAGCGGGTCTTTGCACATCTGTGGGCGATGAAGCGCGTTGAAGGCGCGTTGAGCAGTGGCTGGATGAGGGTTGCGGGTGCTGGACGAGTCAGAGGGCGGTTGGAAGGTGAGTTGATCATGCTGCGATGTTTTCTTCCTGTCATAGACCGTAGCTGCGGCGCTGACGCGCAATATAGAACTGGAGTATGACTGGCACCAGATCCGGATCACGACTTCAGAAATGATACATTTTATTCGTCAGATGCAAGCTTACACACAGCTCGAGGTCATCGAGTGCTCGTGGAAGGCTCTTATGGAATTCTTTGCGAGACGGGAGGGTGATCTTGACGCTATGATTGACGCTCATCAATCGTATCTTGATTGTATGGTCAAGAAGGTATTGCTGATCAGCTCCAAGGCAGGGAGAGAGGTAAGTTGGGCTCGCAAGTAAGTTTGTCGCAAGCTTACCGTCATGCCAGGAGAGCTTGTTGACTCAAATTCGGGAGGTATTTTCGACGGTCCTTCAGTTCCGCGAGGCAATTGTAAGCATTTCTTTATCCTCACTTATTCACGTGTTTCCTTCCTAACAAAAATTACCACAGGATAATTTCTATAATTACACCCTAGCCGAGTCAGCTCGGTTAGACCAAGCGCGGGATGCCGCCCGCGGGGTGTACACTGCACCCACCTCACTCGCTCACACCCAGTCGCTTTCTCAGATTCGCAAACTCCTCAGGGAATATAGCACTGCATTCAGCGAGCGCATGCAAACTATCGTGCAGGCTTTGCAGTCGCATCCAGATTTGGATTGCCGGTTCCTTGGCATACGACTCTCATTTTCAGAATTTTATCGTTTGAAGAAGGATAGGGAGGTTCTTGCAACGCAGAGATTGTGATCATGGGCGTAAGAGAGTGCATTCATAAAATATGCTAGGAGTACAGTGATGACATAAATGATACAGATCAGGAGAACAGATTGACTACAACGTTGCCGAAAGAATTTGAACTTTTCAAAGTTGTATCTTCGGCTCCCTGTACAATCTAAGTGCAAGCGATGAGCAAACTACAGATATAGAGCTAGGGCAACCGATCAATACATGGTTTGTACCCCATGGTCAGGCCACTCACGATAATGCCATGGCCAATGATGCCCATACGGGAGCTAGACGCACGTGTCCAGCAGGATATACCACGCCAGCAGCGATGGGGACTGCAATCACATTGTACATAATTGCCCATAGCTACCGACTATATTAGTGACGAGTAGGGTGCAGGGGGGTTGGAGAGCGTACAAAGTTAATTTTAACGCGATTGAGCACTTTTATCGAAAGATTGCTCAAAGTGACTAGACTTTTGAGATTTGAAGATACAAGAATGAATGAAGCGCTAGATATTGCGACGTCGCCTGAAGTATGTCAGTATGTGTGCCGTTAAACAAGCGCTAGAACTCACTTCCAGATCCGATGGCTATTCCTATGTCACTAACTGCTAGCGCCTGAACCAGTGAACACACGATACAAAACCCTGTAGAGAGAACTCACGGGTGCGTCGTTGATACCATCCCCAACCATTGCGACAATACATCGTTGATTTGACGTTGACCTGGGCAACATACGCTGCCATCGCGAAGACGGACGTCTGGTGCCATTGTGCTGCAGCCACTCGATCTTTTCAGCCTGCCAGAGAGGTCAGATTACGTGACGGGGATTCGAATATCAAGGCCAGACTTTTTGTTGGGGCAGGACACCAGCGATGACGTTCATTTCAGGAATGCCCACAGATTTTGCAACTGCTTTTGCCGTCGTCTCGTTGTCCCCTGATAGCATCCATGTCCCAATGCCCTGTTCCTGCAAATGACGTATAACACCAGTAGCTTCTCTCCTGATGGGATCCGACACAGCGAATATAGCTGCAACGACGAATTCATTGTCAAAGTCCGCGACCGTAACAGCGAGGAGGACGATACTCTTCGCCTCAGATTTCCACCTATCGAGCACTTGGAGAACGTCTGGAGAGAGCAGGACATCGTGGTCTTGCATCAGGGCTTCGTTTCCTACTATCGCCTTGCGTCGCATTTCTTCGAAATCCGCTTTGACGCCTTTACCAGCAATTTCATCGAACGCGTTGCCAACAACAGACACGGCACCATGGTCCCCCGCATACTGCCTAATTGCATTTGCGAGCGGGTGAGATGATGCAGATTCCAACTCCGCGGCGATTCCGAGAAGCGTCTTCTCAGGCACCGACGAGAGCAGGATCTTGGCATCAGACACTCGGGGCTCGCCACCTTCGGTGAGTGTTCCGGTCTTATCGAACACAACGACATCAAGTTGCGCCATGTCTTGGAAAGCCTCGCCACCTCCGCGGGCCAAGATTCCATATTTAGCTGCAAGGCCGGATCCCACAAGAAGAGCGGTAGGTGCTGCCAGGCCGATGCCGCAAGGGCACGCCACGACGAATACTGCAATTGCAAACTCGAGAGACCAGACGACTACAGAGCTGATGTCAGTACAAAGTTCAGTGAATCGCCTGGAAGAAACTCACTCCAACCGCCTTGACTCGTATCTAAGTAACTCCTAGGGATAGCACCGCTAACACCCAAGGTAAGCCATATCAACCAAGTAACGATCGCCAGTAAAGTGATGATTGGGACAAAAACGCCTGTAATATGGTCTACAATACGCTCAATGGGTGCCCTGCGAGTCTGACCCTCACGGACAATCTGCACAATCTGGTCCAGCCTACAGAACTAGGTCAATACAATATTTGCACCATCAAAATCAATCGGCTAACATTGTGACACCACCAATAGCGTCCACTCGAACGTCTACTGCCCTAGACTTGTTGATTGTTCCAAGAAGAACCTTGTCCCCAGTATTCTTCTTGACAAGTTTAGCCTCGCCCGTCAAAGAGCTTTCGTCAAAGGACGTCTCCGCACCAGACACAATTGTACCATCTGATGGTGGCGTGGCACCATTTTGCACACGTACCACATCGCCAACCTCCAACAGGTCAACAGGTACCCTTTCGAACCTGAATCCACGAGACGCAATAAAGCTGCCGTTATCAAATGACACGTCACATTTTTCGGGATCATTGCGGGGAACGATCGCGGGGGTAGTAGGAGCAGAAGCAGAATCAATGGTCAGTAGAAGAGCTTCAAAGGGGCGAAGCAAGCTGAGCGCAGTGATTGCGTCAGCAGTCCTCGCTTTACTATATGCGTCGAGGTAACGCCCTGATAATTTATATGATATCAGGCAAGATATGCAACACATGGGCCCCACTCACCAAGAAGTAAAAATAGGGTCAAGAACACGACAGCGTCGAAATATGTGGTATCTTGTGCTGTACCGCTACTCGCAGGTGGCTGTGTGGCTGCAAGAATGAGAAGCGCGATTGATGAAAAGTAGGCCACAGATACTCCGGTAGAAACCTGTTCAAACATGTCATCCCCTTATGACATCGCAGATAACACGGTACATACCAAAAGGCTCATACTCCCAAATCTAGTAAAACGCTTGATGATGGGAGACGTGCTCCCTTTCCTCCATAAAGACCTGATTTCTTTGATACTCCGACGATGAAACAAATCGGCACCATAAAAGTATACTGGGGTTGCGAGAAAGAAAAGCGCCCACTCAATCCGGGACGCATTTCCGTTCCACATGGGCTCCATTAGGTATTGCTTCGTGGGACTTGGAACGAGACTCATGTAAACTACGCCGATGATGAACGTGGGTATCGCCATTATAAATGTGAAAAACAGGCGCAGAAGCAAGGCTCGTTTCTCGCGCTGCTGCATACTGCGTGTGAGCTCTTCGAGCGTAGGTGGATAATGAATCGATACAGTGTATGATGTCGGCTCCACGGACACGATAGACGAGATGATAGAGCGGATGGTGAAGTCCGGAGGTGATGGCTTGTATGATACTTGCATTATGGGGTCCAATTGGTTTGATAACGATTTGATAATGGCAACGTCTGGCTGGAGCCTTTGTAAGGCAGTCATAATCTTTGCTGGACAGTTTCTGATTAACAGATATCAATAAGACTGGATATGACAACAGTGCAAATCGACGCACTGGCAGTACATTCCATCAACACGAAGGGATAAAGTCCGAGGACCTGTTGCACTTTCTGATGTTGATGGGATGAGTGGCTTGACCTTGACGACGTCGACTTCGTAACCACAGTCATCGATCGTTTCGGTCACAGAACCAACAAGGTCCCTTCGAGCAACAACCACCGTGGCGGAATGATTGAGCAGGCTAACGACTATTTCGGAGATCCCAGGGAGTTGTGAGACCATTTCGGTAATAGTACTTGGACATGCGGAGCATGTCATGCCACCTACGGACAATGTGACGAGATGGGGCACGTCATCAACGCCAACTTTATGCAAGGATCTTGGACTTAATTCTGGGTCCTTCTCTGATCCCACCATCGTAGAGCGATGCGTCGGAGAAACACTGTTGGAAGTTAGGTTGCCGGCATTACCCCGCAAGGGCGGTGGAGCTATGTCCTGGAGTGCCGTAGCGGTTACCCCCTGACACGACGAACATTGTTGTATATGCTTTTGACGTTTTCCAGAAAGCGCGGTACTCAAACTCATTTGTCGTGAAAGCCTTCGCTCAGAGGCTGGGTCGGATACATCAAACCCAGCGTCTTCGAGGATGGCATGTATGGAGTGTCTGAGTATTGTAATGGCATGCCAAACTGTCACTGACTGGTGGACGATGGATATGTCTACCCTCGTTGGAGGGGGTGACAGAGAGAAGAGCACTTGGTTAATTGTGCTTACACAACTGGGAAAAATAATAACATTAGTAGAATAAAATCACGACCGTTGTGTATGTATACCTGCTGCAGTGAAGATTAGATACGAGGATAGTGGTGTCATGCGTCTGACTCTGAGACGGCATCACGGTGTTCATAAGTGTGAAATGAGAGATACAATGGATGGGAAGAGATGTATGGGAGTTGGGAGGGCATTATATAGTGGTGAAACAGCCTAATTATCAGTAGCTCTGGTTGGTTGACACTTGTCATGATTCTGGGGAGTTTTCAGAAAATAAAGTCAGCAAAATTGCCTCAACTTGAATGCTATTACGTCATATTATTATGTGTTTATGGAATACTGACTCCTCGAACGAGCCTCGTTTAACCCTCGGAGGTTCGCCATGAGCGCTTGAGCAGGTGAGCAGGATGTTAACGGGCCTCCAACCTCACCCTGGATGGCTGACCGCTCAGCGCTCAGCCCTAAGGCCTAAGGCCTAACCCTCGGAGTAGAGTATTTTCAAATGTAAGTAATTCTTATTAGTAATTACATAAACAGAGACCAAATGCGAAATTTCGCTGTCGACTCGTGTGCTGGTACTTATAATTGGACACCAACTCGGAGGTAAGAAAAACTTCTCAACAAATAGGAATCCAAACCGACCTGGGTATGGCGACCCATGAGTGACTCTCCTCTCTCGCAAATTAGGATATTTCAACCCACTGAGGTGGCAAATGTCCCCCCTCTCCCCACTTTGGACCTCATGTCTTCCGCACCGCCATTGCCTTCATTGGGCTATTGATGTTTGCATGAGAAGTCAATGATCCGTTACTACAACGTTACTGGAGGTCGGCGGGAGCGAGCGACACATAGAAGTCCCAGATCAGCGTCTTCAAACAGACGAGCAAGAGCTCTGAATGGCGGTAGTCTCAGCTTGTCGGCAGAACGAACGAACGAGCACTGATGAGTACTGATGGTTACCGAAACTGGTCATCCTCGTTGCTGACAGCAAGTACTTAATATCCCAGTCAAAACACGTTACATGCACCCACATACGTGTACAAACATCTGAAAATGATCTGGGTAAGGCCGTGTATAAGAACAATGCGTTTTGATAGTATCCAGGCGTGCGAGACTGTATATCGAGAACATCATGTTTCGGCTACGAACATTGCAAAGCGAGCATGACGACAACAGACGAGAGCACCATGAACGTGACGAGTGGGCATGAACAATGCAGTGAGCGAGCGAAACGAGGTCGGTCATGATACACCTGAGAATAAGAGGCCACGACGAATGTAGAGTCGATATTTGGGGCCGCGAAGTGAAGAAACGAGCCTTTCATTACACAGCCGTGGGCCGCTTCCTCGTCCCCTGGGACTCCTTTGAATGTACTGGTGTCTGTGTTCGAGGAACTGACAGCGAGCTCGTTGTGCGGCACTCCGGTAGTCTTTCCGTGAGATCGGGCCTCTTGTAGTATGCTTCAAATGAGATGTGGTTCCACCTTCATGCTGTTGTCCCCATTCGATACGGCAAAATCCTCTAGATATCGAGTAAGCTATAAGTGGACCACGACACGTTACCAGATGATCAACTTAGTATTTGCTTTGCCTTAACTAGTAGTTCCTTCTTTGCTCCGATAGCAGTATTGAATCGACGGTCGTTCTGAATTTGACATGGGAAAGAGTAGACACGTCATCGGGAGCTTCAGGCAGCACGCGATCCAGGAACTGGGAGGAAGATGACACTGAGTGCTGGGACATGTGTCGCAAGAGTCATCAACGTTGGCCGATGCATTGACGCGACTGCTAAGGTGAGCTATGAGATTGTCCTGGTGAACTGAGTCGACTCGGGCTAGTACTGGGAATGCTCAGAGTAATGATGGCATCTCTACAGTTGTACGAGTACCATCTCGACTCGGAGACTGTCTTGACTGATCTTGTTCGAAAGGTGCATCTACACCATCCCAATTAACTGGTAAGTAACTAATTCTGATGCAAAAAAATACAACCTATGTATCCGTCAAAGATGTCTCCTGGATTGAGTATGTTCTCTTCAGCTGCCAGTGTACCTTCGGTTTGGAGCTCCATGCAGCAATTATCATCGACCAGGTGGCTGGTAAACACGACACTCCGGGCCACTGTGAATTCATTGTCTAGATAAAAAAATGATATTACGACGCACTGCGATATTCAATATTCAATAGCCAAAGATGTGGATCCGGGCGTGTGTGTACATGTAATGCTTCTGTGTGCCGAAGTCGTGTTTTGACTGTAATACTGACTTGGTAGTATTTATCGAAATCATACGTTGAATACAACTTCAATGATTAGTATGTCGCCCCGGTGGCAGTGTAACTTAAAGTTAGCACGTGAGCACTATCAAGCCGCTCCAGCTGCAAACACATTTATCAATGCAAGCAACTGTGATGAACTCATTTAGCGCCCCTCCATTACCTCCAGGGTGGACGGAGCACGTTGGTATGTGTCTCAAAACGCACTAGGCGCTCCAGTTGTTAACCCACATACATACAGGACCTGCGGGCCAACCATACTACTACCACGCCGGGACACGAGAGTCTACCTACGTTCGGCCACTTCCTGCGTTCCCTATTATCCCACAAGCTATCATCCCGCAGCCTCCAAAGAAGAAAGACAAACCGTCGGTAAAAACCCCGATACCTGGTACAGAATGGCTTCGTGTAACGACGACGGAGGGGAACATATTCTATTCACACAAGGCGAAGAAGCAGAGCGTGTGGACCGTGCCGGAGGAAATAAAAGATGCTCTTGAAGCATTCGAGCGTGCCGAGAAACATGAAGACGCGCAGAAGCAACAACAGGAGGCAAAGGGAAAGGACGTCGAGAAGTTGGGGTTCGAGGAGGAGCAGGAGCTCAAACGGATTAAGACAGAAATGCAGAGCCTTGTAAAGCGAAAAGCGGAAGAACCTCAACCTTTGGACGAGGTTGTGATTTCGAAAAAGGCGCGAGTAGAAGAAGAGGCTGAAGGCGAAGAGGAGGAGGGAGATGAGGAAGGGGAGGATGATGACGATGAGAGCGAGGAGGAGGAGTGGCAACGCGAGGCTGCTGCACAACTCGCTGCTGAAGCAGAGGAGGAGAAGAAGAGGCTGGAAGAAGAAGCCAAGTTTGCACAGGAAGCAGAAGACACAGAAACCAAGAAGATGCAAGAAAATGAGAGGTCTCAGCTCAACATGCCCGATCGCGTCGATCTCTCTATTGAAGAGGCTAAGGCATTGTTCAAGGTCTGTCACTAGCTCTTGATTGATGACACCTTGGTTAACTTCATCAACCAGACCTTACTTAGGGAAAAGGATATCAGTCCTTTACACCCTTGGGATACTTCATTACCCTTGTTTATATCAGATCCGCGCTACGTTCTACTCCCTTCTGTTTCAGCACGTCGTGATGCATTCGATGAATACTGTCGGGATCGTGCGCGCGAACTACGGCAACAAAATGTCAAGAAAGAAAAGGCAGAAGCAAATCCTAAGGAAGAGTATGAACGACTTCTTAGCCAAGAAGTGAAAAGCACGAGAACATCCTGGTCTGACTTTCGAAGGACATGGAAGAAAGACCGGCGATTTTACGGATGGGGGAGAGATGACCGAGAGCGAGAGAAACGATTCAAGGAGTATCTCAAAGAGCTTGGAGAGAGTACGAATTTTGTTATGCTTCATGAGTGATGCATTTAGCTGACATTTTTCAATCTAGAAAAGCGTATAGCCGCCGAGAAGGCGGAGGCAGATTTCTTTACTCTTCTGCGCGAGAGCGGTGTGGTCAGGTCAGATTCATTATGGAAGGACGTAAGTATTTGCCCTATCGTCATCCGATATGTTGAAAGTTTGTATTCTAGGTGAAACGAAAATTATCCCATGACGCTCGATATGATGCTGTCGGGTCTTCATCTCTGCGTGAAGAGCTATTCCAGACCTTCCTCAAGGCACACGGGTCTTCATCTTCGCATTCAACCTCTCCTAAAGTTACAGATGAGACGGGAAAACATGATACAGAAGAAGATGCCGAGCAAAAGCGCAGAGACAAGAAGGAACAAGCCCTCAAAGAACGTGAACAAAAGGTGAGAGCTGATCGTAGTCGTATGGACGCCGAAATAGGGCGCTCCAAGATGGGTTTGAACCTGGAGGAAGGTGAAAGAGAATTCCGGTGAGCTGCCTTTACTTTCCATAATTCAAGAGTCCAGGTCACGTCGCTCAACTTCTTTCCATTTTCTTGTTTAGCACACTGCTTACAGACGCAGTGCGAGATCCACAGGTACGGTTGCTTTTTTCTTCGAGGCAGTTACTAATCCACATCTCATTATAATCGCAGGCCACCTGGGAATCGATACGTCCCCAACTACAAACCGATCCTCGATTCAATAACTCCCCTCTCCCTGTAAATCAGCAATTGCATCTCTTCCATACACATATGAGTCAGTTGCAGATGAAACATTTGGCCGGTCTACATTCGTTGTTCCAAGCCCATGCACCATCCTTAGCAACGCCATTCTCTGCTCTTCCGCTTGAATCCATATTAAAATCGCTTCCGGTGACAAAACTCGCCTTTGACACTCGTGGTCTCCAGCAAGAATATGAGAAATGGCAACGCGAACGGACATACGAATGCAGAAAAGCATTCGACGAGATGCTTGCGGAGAATTCCTTTGTTGAGTTCTGGGGAAGACTGGGAAAAATCGGAGGTGAAGGAGTCGAGGGAGGGGTCAAAGCAGATGATTTAGGTGAGGATGAAGGCGAAGGTTTTGGTGGAAAGGTCGACATGAAAGCGCTCGCAAAGAGTGTGGACCTTTCGGACATCGAGAAAGTGCTGAAGGTATGGCCAGTCGTTCGTGGAATGGATGTGACAACTAATTAATTGTTAGAATGATAAGAGATACATTATGTTCGAGCATGTGGCAGCACAGCGAGAACGATGGTTAAGGGTGAGTTGAAAGAAGGATCTGGAATTTGCAACCTTGTCTAATTCATGCTAGGATTATGTCGCAGGTCTGACTGCACCTAAACTATCTGTTCATGTGTAGCATAGTTAATTCATGTACTTAGTAGCTCAAGCGCTCATCTCCTTGAGTTCTTCATTTAAGAACACGCGTGCCGTCAGGTGACACTCGAAGTCAGTCACGTGGTATCGAACACGTCAGTACTTTCAATTTCACACAAGGATTTCATACTTCAATAAATAGCTGCCGTACTGCTGTTGGACCTCAAAGCACCAGACAAGAGACCAACTCTCGTTCCCAGTTGACTCACTCGACAATGCGTCTGCTGAGTCCTCTAATCCTGTCACTTACAGCCCTCTCGTCGTGCGTTTTTGCGCAAGATGCAGGTGTTAACAAGGTTAAATATGACTACCAGGTAGGCTCCGATTCTGTTTTGTATTAATATGGCTTAGCAGATGATTTGTTTGACAGAGCGATGTTGCACGCCTGCGCAAGATAGTTGTCAACAGGTGCAGTAGCCTCACATTAGAGTCGACGTCGAGCGCTATTAACTATGTACTACGTACTGCAGTCTTTACTCAAACAGGTGACATTGCAATCCCTGAAGCTTCACACATTCTCTTTGCTAAACCCACCTATCTCAGGGACGTGTTCTTGCGGGAACTCATTTCAAACGCCAATGATGCACTCGAAAAGCTTCGGCTCACCGCGCTCACAGAGAAGAGCATATGGGATGGTGTCTCCCCTCTGAACCTCACCATCAAAACGGAGAAAGATCCCAATGGCGAGGGTGGTCGTATCATCATTACCGGTATGAATCACTTTGCACCATGGTATATCGCAGTACTTACTGTTGTGCCCAGACACCGGGATTGGCATGAGTGCAGCGGAACTGACAACTAACCTGGTATGAGTGTCATCGTCTTACTGAGCGCGAGTGTGACATAACAACATTTTGAATTTTTAGGGTACTTTGGCAAAGTCTGGAACTTCTGACTTTCTTGCGGGAGTGGATGGCGACGACTCGACCGCAACTGGCAATCTTATTGGTGCATTCGGGCTTGGTTTTTACAGCAGGTCAGTGCAACTTTCGAGTCCGTGGACACATGGTTAACTTTCCACAGCTTCCTTGTAGCAGATAAAGTTACCGTTGCATCTTTATCCCCACCCTCATCCAAGAATCACAACCCTATCCAGAATGTCTTCAGTTCTTCTGCGGATGAGGGTTCATTCGAGATATACCCTGACCCACGCGGAAATACCCTCGGCCATGGAACTGAGATTACACTTTATTTGAAGAGTGACGCTTCCCATTATCTTGTGACCTCTAACCTTATGAAGCTTGTGTATGTATCTCACTCTATCTTGTTGCGCATCTTTTTGAGAAGTATCTCAGTAACCAGCACTCTGGATTTTCGACTGCCTTCCCGATTTACATTTGGTATGAGGCCGAGGAAGAAGTTCCCGACGTAGACGAAGAAGTTGTTCTAAACGAGCAAGAAGAGAAATCTACTGACGTGGATGAGGATGAAGCCGTGGTCGAGGAAGATGCAGAGAAGGAATCCGCATCTCCCAAGATGAAGAAGGTCATAGTTGGTCACTGGGAACACTTGAACGCGCAGCCTCCCCTCTGGATGCGGTACGTTGTTGCTCTTGCTCTCGCAAGGATATGCTCACCTTCTTGCCAGCGATTCAAAGACAGTCACTGATGAAGAATATGAGCTACTGTACCAGGCAACCTTCAAAGACTTCCAAAAACCCCTTGCATGGCATCATTTCCATGGTGACTCGGAATCCGGCGTGTCTTTCCATGCTCTCATTTACATTCCCTCGCGTTTGTGAGTAGTTGTGATGATGTTTATGTGCTTCTCACCCATGTCTTTCAAGGACTGAGGAGTTTTTCAACAAGCCACTCGATAATTCGGCAAAGGACGTCAGACTGCTGGTGAAACACGTGTTCATCACCTCTGACCTAGGTGAATATGGCTTGCCGAAGTGGGCTAGCTGGGTGAAGGTCATTATCGACGGTAAATCGGTTCGGTTCGGCCCAGGGAATTTGTGTTGACTTCTATAACTATCATCTAGCTGATGACCTCCCATTGAATGTCTCTCGCGAAACCCTCCAGTCCAGCTCTTTCCTCAAGCAGATCAAGCAAATTATTTTGCGCCGTCTCATTCAGCTCTTTTCTAAAATTGCTGAAGAAGACCAGGAAAAATATGCGGAGATCACGAAGCATTATGGTCAAGTCTTGAAACTAGCCGCGTCAGAGGACAGTAAAAACCGCCAGAAACTGGCAGCTCTTGTACGCTTTGATACAAACCAACGGGAAGCCGTATCGTTTGACTCGGTTGGTGGCTATCATTATTATCATTTGGGAGCATGGATCTAAACTTACACCATCCCAGTATTTGGAGAACAGGAAGCAAGGACAAAAGCAGGTGAGTGGTATTGAGAAGAAATGGAGCAACATGTTTGAAACACAATCCAGATTTTCTATCTCGCTGACATGGGCAAATCCATCGACCATCTATCTCAAAGCGTGTTTGTAGAAAAGTTGCACGCCCGCGGGTACGAAGTACTGCTTCTGAACGAGCCATTGGACGAAATCATGCTTCAAAGCATCCGAAATTGGAAGTAAGCACTGATGACCTTCACGATTGAAAGAATATTTTACTGATGGCAATTAACAAGGGGTGTCCCATTCCAGGACGTCGCCAAGGCTGGATTGGACTTCGGAGATGGTGAGTTCCTATCAACGTGAGTTTTCGTTATTCTCATGTCCGCACAGACACCCAAGAGGAGAAGGATGAGATCGCGGAACTGACGGACAAATACGCTCCCCTTCTTGAGTGGTTGAAAATTGAGGCTGGTGACAATGTTAAGAAAGGTGAGTATTCATTTTACGATTATATGACACTCTAGCCTGAGGTTGTATATTCGTCAGTGATCGTCTCTAATAGGCTCGTCACGAGTCCTTGTGCAATTGTCGCAGACAGCATGGGGTTCACAGCAAATGTCCAGAAGCTCATGAGTGCGTTGAACTAGTGACCTGGCAGCGCTGGTTGAGACTGAGAAGACATTTTCAGGTGCCACAAGCCGCGGGGCCCAGCAGAACGATGCTATGCAAGACTATATGAAGAAGCAGAAGGTTCTGGAAATCAATCCGCGATCGCCGTTGATCGAAGGCCTCCTAGAACACGTCGAGCAATTGAATGCAGATGGCGATGACAAAGACCTAGATTCTGAGGCACAGCTCAAAGAGGTTACTTCCATCTTGATCGACGGGGCTCTTGTTCGTTCCGGGTTTGAAGTTGCCAACTCCAACATGTAGGTCCTGACAAAACTGATAGAATGATGTCTCATAATGACGCCACGCAGGTTTTTGACTCGTGTGGATAGAGTGCTCAGGCGATCACTCGGTGTCTCTGAGACCGCACCGACAGATAACACCGTGAAACCAGCTCCTCCTGTTGACCCAGAGCTGCCTAGTGACATACCCAATCCTGATGAAGTGAACAACAACCAGATTCAATTCGAGATGGAGGAAATTGATGAACATGGAAATGTTGTTCACGATGAACTGTAATGTTGCAGTAGATCTCATAGCAGTTCAGGCTGGTCAATAATAAAATTAGTGTCTATTTACACCTGACCTAACAACGTTCAAGTCTGAGTCAACTATCAAGAAAATTCCTATTATGTACCTCAGTTGTGAGAAACGATGGCAGACATAATTTCTGGGTATACCAAGGCGATTAATGTACCTAAGATATAACGCAGTATCATAGGGGGTATCGGTAATATTGATGGTAACGCGGGGATCAGTACATAGTTCGTGGTTGGTTGTCAAGATACGCGCTACTTGGTCTGTTTCACAGGTTCGAGCGTTTACATGTTCAGTGAGAAGTGTAGGCGAAGCGCCGTCGTGAAGTGAAGTCGGGAGCGGTCCAGCGGAAGCAGTTCAGACGTCAGGCTGGGCCTCCTCTGACTTAAAGTAGAGACTAGAAAATAGATTAGGGGGGAAGTAAGATGAAGAGCTATCGTCCGATTCGAGAACGCCATCATCCTCTGATGATGAGACACTTTGAGTCTTCCGGCGAGTGCGCAATCCCTTAGGAGTACGGGAAGGACGAGATGGCGCTGAAAGCTTAAGCTTTCTGATCTTCATCGTCGCATCAAAGCCGATGTATTCGTCATTTCCAAAGACGACGGTCGAGATGATGCACCCAAACGCATCTTTGTGCTTCTCAATGTGAAAGTAGGGGATACCAGACCGGTCAAATATGAACGCGAAGCTCGCGATAGTCGCGGCAGAAAGATATCATGAGAGCAAAACGTCTCGAAAGCTGATGCCTCGGGATGATATGCACCTTGGTGTCTAGGGAAATGTGCTTTCCCGGCTTGTACTTGCTGCTCGTCAGTTCAGCGACTACCTTGATCCGCGCCCACCCGTGGGTCATCCGGCATGGTAGTGTCAGGTATGCGGCGGATATCTTCCCCTTTGTCGGGACAGTGGAGTGAGCCCACTCTATATGCGATTGCCGGAACAGACAATTCTTGGTGCTGCGCGAGCGCAGTGGTGCTGAGGGCATTGAAAATGCTTCCGTCGTTCTTCTCGGCGCGTTTGTTTTCCTTTGATTACCTTTGTTGACCGAGTCCGTCCAGTTTCTTGATATCCCACAGCGGTGTAAGGTCAATTTCAGCTATGTTGTGAAAAAGTTTGTTGATTCGCTCATTGCGATGAGCGAGGGGGATGAGGAGGTTAAGACCGGAAGATGTGGGAAGATGGTAACCAAGCTTGTTACAGTTGCCCCGCCTCTGAGAGGGACAATCCTCGATAACCAGACGATTTGATTCCCGTGTAGCTAGCTTGTCCATTGTACATAGCTACGTCGTTAATGAGAGAAAGAGACGATACCGTGACTTTTATCCCGAGGTTTAGCATTGAAAAATGATGACCACGTGGGAGGCTATGCCACCTCTTAAGTTAATCCCACCACAGTACTTGGGTATCACCGTTGGCAGCACCATCCAGAACGTCCATATATATATACGACAGCCCACGCTGAGCATTTGTTGGCCTTCACAATCATTTCTAGACTGGACACGAGTTTTCCGTCTGTACATACTTCATGGCTACGCCCGCAGCCTTCTCCCGCCTTCAATTAGCTGCAGCGCTACTTGGTAAGTGTGCGAGACTTGGTTAACCGACACCCTTCACAAAGTCTCTTGCAATTGCAGAGTATGACAATGATCCAACCAACCCCAACTTGCCCCTGGTCTCCGCACATGACAGCGCTATCTTCGCTCATCTCCGAAGAGGGCAGTCTCGTAAGAGTACTGACTACCTCGGAGTATCTGTGCCAAGTGAAACAGGCGATTCTACTCCAGGGCACCGAAGGTCTAGAAGCTCCGTCGACGGACTGAGGAATCCTTTCGGAGCTGATGATGATGAGGAGCTCGAAGACGAGGAAGCTGGCGAGGTAGATCTTGCTTCATGGGGCCTCGACGGATTCATCAAAGACAAAGACAAAGCAAAAGCAAAGGGCAAGGCGAAGGCTAAGTCAGAGGTGTTGCCTAACCCTCATCCGGTAGTGATGACGTATCGAAATGCCCGGAGCGCTATAGATGACGGACCTCGGGGAAGGTTGTCCCGCCCAATCAGTATGGGGACTATGGATGACTTTGGTGTTGGAGGTGCCTTCTTGGACGCTGAGAACACTGCTGGTTCAGACATTGCTCGTCCTCGATCTTCGGCTGACTTGGAACGGATGCAATCCCCTCAGCGTCCAATGCCACGTCGCCGTGAATCTAGCCACGCTCTCATCGAGACAATGCCTGTTGTACCTCCTCTTCATTCCGTTCCGTTTCCGTCTGTCTCAATTCGAGATGATTCTCCTGGTGGAGAAAGACCTGCTTCACGTGCTGACTTACATACCCGTACTCAATCCGACACTAGTATGGGCTCAAAGAACTTTTTGAGCGGCGCAAATGTTGATGCGGACGGCAGTCCCTTTTCTGTCCGACCCCCTTCACCTGACCGTGCATCCCGGTTTGATCCCAAAGTCAATCACGGCAGATCAACGTCTAATGCAACGATGGGTACCATGGCATCCAAGAATATACTTGCAGAGGAGAACCCCTTTGCTGTAAGACCTCCCTCTCCTTCCCGGTTGTCACGATTCGATCCCAAAGTTCGTGCGCGAACAATGTCCGTTGGGTCAATGGGTACTCGGGTCCTCATTGATAATGACACCGAAGCAGACTCGCACAGGGACCGACCTTATTCCACCGTTGAGCTACTTAGGCCAAAGGTTCTGGTTATGCCAAGCCCATTGCAAAATGTGGCTCCTCCCCCTCCTCCCCCTCCTTCCTTTACACCTAGAATTGGGTTTGAGACATCTACAGATGGCCCACCCTTGCCACCAGGTGCTCGCTCTGCGAACCGTTCGTCTACCTCTTTAACGAACTACATGACTCCTGCGTCAGCACCCATAGCATCCAATTCTTTCACTCCTAATCCCCGAGCAAGTCTTACGCTGTCTCAACTCGCTTTTCGCAACACACTTGTGGTCGGAGGGCAAAGAGATATTGCGTACTCTGATATTGACCGTCGTCTTCCTCGAGCGATGAAAGATGGTGAACAAGCGAAGTTCGAAGAACCAGAAGAAGAAGAGTCTCCTGTGCCCGTTTCAATACCCCTCCCTCCTGTTCCTCCTCCCACTGAGGTGGAAATGAAGCGCCCGGCTGGGAAGCTCTATGGAAGGAGTTTGATAGATAATCTAGAACATCGCAAAGCGGAGATAAAGCAGAAAGCTCGGTAAGCATCTCAATTGTTTTTTCAGTACCGTCCTGACGGTCACTTTAGTGTCTTCACTGGTGACGAAAGACCATCGATGATGGTCCGGGGTCAGATTCGCCGATCAAGCACTCTCATTGACCCCCAGACACTTGGTCGTCCCCCTTCACAGAATCTTGACAATGTGATCACTCCAAACCCTCGCATGTCTCTCTTACGCCGGAACTCCTCTGGCAGCAAGCCTCTCCTGGACATGGATGGAGAAAAAGCTCCCACGAATCTTGGTCCAGGGGCAGAGCAACTCTTGTCTAAAAGTCGCTCGGTGTTTGGTGTGGACACGCTGTGGGATCTTGAAATGGTCAAGTTGAAAAAAATGGAGGCAGAAGAGAAAACTGAAGCTGAAGCGCGGAAGAAGCGGGAAGAGGAGGAAGAGGAACATCGGAGCAAGAAAAAGAAGAAAGGAAAATTCAAAGGAAAAGGTAGCGCCATTCCGCTAGAGTCCATTTCACCCGACCTCCCCTCTGGACCACGAGTAGGCTCGACCCCTCCCACTTTGCCTGCCATCCAGAAGCCAATTCTTAAGCGCGCACCGCAGGTCGATGAGAGTGAAACCGACAGCGATGATGATGATGCTGTGCCAAAGGCAGCTCTCGAAAAAGCGGCTGACCGCTGGGTTTCTGAGTCTTCAGACGAAGAAAATGAACTCAGACGAACCACTGGGGTTGGGCTACGGTATCCATCACATGCCAACGCATCCCCTCAGTCTCCACAACTAAATGGCGATGACAGCGAAGAAGATCTTCCTTTGACAGCCGCTGCTCAGCGTGTTGTCAAGCGAGCATCGCAATTGGGGCCATTGGGCTTTGAGGATGATTCGGAAGAAGACATCCCGCTGACTGCAGCAGCAGCTAGGATTGTCAAACGGAGCACTCAGCTTTCGCATCACGCAGATGACGAGGATGAGGATGAGGACGAGGACAAGCCCCTGGTGGATGTCATCAACAAAGCCAGATCTATCAACTTCGATGGCCGATCCCGCGCGGATGAAGATGAGGACGAGCGGCCGCTTGGTCTACGGGCCTCTAGATTACCACTGACCTCTCAGACATCGTTGCCTTTCATTGGCGGTGAAGAAGATGACGACAAGCCACTGGCCTTCCATCCTGAGCAACAACGTCGAACACAGTACCAGATGTTCGCCCAAGCTCAGCAGCAACAACAAATGATGATGCAAGCTCAAATACAGAACAGCATGTTTTTCAACCCCGCCATGATGGGATCCGGCATTTTCACGCCTATGGCTGTCCCTTCAATGATGATGGGTGTACCAATGGCTCCCCCTTCACCTCCCCCAGCGCACGATGCAGGCAAGTATGGCCGTGTGGACAGGTGGCGACGTGATGTTGCTGTGGAGGGTGAGTGAGAGCTGAGCAGTTTGGGTTGGGTTTATGTTTCTTTGGCTTTATATTTGCTTTTTATCGCAGGATTTTTATGAACACTCTTTGGACATTCGCTCACTTTTTACAATTCTAGTCAGTCCTTTAATGTCCGTTGCATACAGAAATACATCGGTATAGTCGAGATCAAAACGCGTGAATAGATCTACGTGAGAAATACCGAGGAGCATTGAACAAATCCTTGAATGGTGGTATGGATTAAGGAGTATGCAGTTATGGTACGATGACATAGGGAAGGAGGGTGCCGATAAGTAGTACTATGAAACGCAAATAACACATAGAATGAGTGGCCATGGAATGCTTGATCAACAAGTTCATGAGGGGTTCGTTATCCATAGCCTGCGCTTGGGGACTGTGACGATAGACACCTCTCGTCTACCCATCTCTTCTTCTATCCGCCGCTGTCTGGTCTCTTCATCTACATCCTCCTCATCGTAATCTGTTTCGACTGAGCGAGGCCCACCGATAGTTGTGGACACATCATCATGGGCCCTGGCAGCGCGATAAGGAGGTTCATGGAGGTATGGGCCACGAGTATCGGTGGGGAAAGGATATTGTTCGTTGCCTACCATTGACAACGGACGGGAGGTCGGGGTCCCGGGAGAAACAGTCGGCGGAGGCTCCGCGCGAAACCGGGCGATGAGGTAAGTAAGTGTGGACCTCCTTGGTCGACCATGCCATGCGAGAGTAAAAAGGCAAATATAAAAGATAAAAGTCCATAGAAGAAATATTGCAAAGAGTGCTAGATGAGCCCAATTCCACAGCGCGATGAGGGAAAGAATGCAAAGAGCTAAAACGAGAGTATGGAAGAGGACACGAAGGCATATCTCAAACAACGAAGGCAGCTCGTGAGTAACGTGGGGGAATGTTGGTGTAGGCATGAGAGCACGGGTGCTCAACATCTCTGCTGTGTTGGGAGTAGAGCTATTGAGGAGGTTGCGTTGACCTTGGCCAGAAACAAGATCGAGTTCGTTCTAAGATGACATTGAATTTCTCTGTTAGAAAAAATTAGAAAGAGGTCGATGCTCACCACTGCGTTCAGACTGCGACGTCGATCAAGCCAGTCTACGTCACCCAAACTCCTTGGTGCAACAGGTACGCGTTGATATGCATCTACATTTGGGTATGCAAGCCCATTTGCGCTGGATCTACGAATACGTGCTGGGCGATTGACGACCTCAAATGCTCGTTGCGGCCCAGATGAGTGCACAGACTCGCTGTCAGTAGAGGTTCTTCCTTCCCGACTCCTGCGGCCCAGCAAGAAGCTTGAACCACCCCAGGAATGTAAACGGGTGCGAGGAGTATGTTGGGAAGGGGGATACTGTGAGTGCTGCGTGGTAGTGTATGCTGCGAGCTTCTCAGCAGTGTCGGTGGAGTTGGCGCGAGAAGTGATTGCCTCTGGACTGACCCCTTTCGGTGGCTGCGATGGCGAGCAACACAGATGAAAGAGATATAAAAGGGGCATCATCACATAGAGTGCGATGAATAATGCAAGTCCTGCGACTCCATGCCCAGTTGGTAGAACTGTACGGGACGTAGCACGTTTCTCTATAGTCCCTGTGGAGCTCATTGACGTGAACGCCGAGACGAGACCGCCAACACCAGCAGCGTATGCTGCAAGAGCTACAGTAGCTGATAAATAGAAGAGAGCAAGATTACGATCCGTGGGACGATGTGTTTTTGCTGGAGGCAGAGCCAAACGTAAAAGAAGGAGGGATGGGAGAAGAATGGCAAGAGAAAGGGGTGCCAGTAGTCTGTGCACCAAAGAGACATTATACGACTGCTGGTATGACTGAGAACCACTTGTTGTAGCTGGGGAACCAGACGGCGTAGTAGAACTAGAAGACATGAGCTGCACCGCACATTGAGTCAGGAATTGGACGGTAACGTTAGCACCATTGGCATTGATGCCTGTTTGAAGATTACCAGACGGAGCTCCCCAGTCACCGCCTGAGGTTGAAATGGATCCATTGTACGCTCTCAAGATCCAAACTTCCGTGAGGTATTCACCGGATTCATCCTGACCTCCGAAGACAATGGTATCAGAAGCCACGCTTTTATCCGAACCGACGAGAGCCTGAGAATAAGAAAGGGCAACAGCGCCCTCCCGAGGTGTGGGATATGTCTGAACGCCATCTTGGCCTGGATCACCGGCCGGAAGGACTCTGCTCCAAACGCCTGATCCAATATCCAGAACTGCAACCTCGCCCTTCTGCAGCCCACCTTGGTCGTCCCACAATGAGGAGTTGAAAGTCCCAAGTAGAAGGAACACCTGGTTCCCATAACTGGAAGAGGAAGGATTCAGGTTCGGAGCCAGCGAACCTCCGTATCGTGGAACAGGACACGAGGGAGGAGTGATTGACGTGTCTGATCCTACTCCCAGGACATACGAGTTACCCTCGGCGCATGATTCATTCGAGTTATCGGTCGTGTTACAGCCGCTCACAGAGATGAGCTGGGTCTGAACGACTGTGGAAGCCTGATTGACGCTGTAGCCTCCACTGCTGCCAACGGATTGGTTACTCCAAGCACCATATGTGTTATTAGTCGCCAAATTAGATGATAACGTTCCGGAGATGGTGAGATCCCAAACATCCGATAGGGGAAACATGTTTGTACCATCGGTGCCACCAGACATGTAAAACGTGTTGCTTGTTGTGGTAGCATTAGGCGCTACTGTATCATCTCGGCCACCAGAGGCGCCCCAACGTGGCGGTGGACCACTTGTCGTTACAGTGACTTCGGACCAGAATCCGTTTATAAAATCAAATTCCTGGATAAAGATGAGAAAGCCTAATAGACTGAATGTTGCGAGTGACACGAACCCATACGTCGGACAAAATTTGTCCAGAAATCCCCTTTCCACCCATCACCAAGTGAGCATGCCGACTGGCGAATTATAAGACAGACAGAAAAATGAGTAGAAAGTGTGATACTTACTAACTGGAGGAGAAGTCTTCACCGCTGACAGCCATGTACCTGGCTGGGGGTGAACCTTGTGGTAGACCCACCTCAGGCTGAGGAGTACTCCATTCAAGTGAGCCAAGGTTCAAACTGGAAACATTTTCTATATAACACAGAAATATTTGAATCGAGGAAAAATTGGACATACAGGTAGGTTTGGTCTGTTGGGATACCACTAGATGATTCACCGCCGAAAATGATAAGGTTACTTGACGATGGATCGTAACCAATGGACGGATATTTGACGGCAGCTGGTGTTGCACCCAGTAAGCTACCGGTGATATTGAGCCATTGTAATGGTGGAACTGTGAATATCTTCTGGGCATGAGCTGTCGAGATATATTTCATAAAGAAAAGCCAAGCAATTGCAGAACATTGACAAAAACCGGTTGCCATAATGCTCGTATCGGGTGTAAGATATTGGTGTCGAAAAGTCGTATATCGCGAGCTGGCGCTCGTTGTGAGCAACTACAGCGAATTGGAGACCAGAGTTACTAGCTGTGAAGGCGTTGGTTCGCCGTGGCTGCGAGCAACAACATCCCCGACCATCCACGGCTCAATTTTCCTATTTGGGAATCCGTTCGTGTGCTGGAATCCCGCGTGGTTCAGTCATTCCAAGGCTTATGCTAGGCTCGTGCCAAGTGAATAGCCTTGCGTACACTACCACGGACAAGTCGAGTGGCAAATACAATCGCTTATGTTATCTCACTTATTTCTGTTTTCCCCTTCTTCAGCTAAGCAGTGGAAACTATTCATCTATTTACGTCTTACAATCCCACCGGCTACTCAAGTTGTGCTCACCAACGCTCTAGATCCGTAGATGAGTCAAAGTTTTAACCACGAGTAATATGTGCTTACCCTCGAAGCTTGCGATCCAACTCTTTCAAACGAGTGTGATTTTATTGGGAATGGGTGGGGGAGCCAAATTCTAGGTTGCAGGATGCATTTTGGTGATTATACTGGTCCTGGGATTCATTATTCATAAGATTCATCGAAGCCTTGATGTTCAGCTAGCACTAACCTGTGTTGCAGCATCTTGAAACCTTGTTCGAATGCACATGACTAGAAGTGTCATCGCTGATGAAGCATTGGCCAGGCTGCGTCGTCGAAAGTACACCATTCAATCGCACGCGCGCGGGGCAAGTAATTTAAACGCATCCTAGGAGAGGTCACCTAGGTGGGTCAACTTCTGACATGTCCCTGCGAAACGGCTGGTCTGTAGCACCGTTACGTACCTTACTCTCATACCTCGTCCTCTAGGACTCCAGTGCATATTACCGTGGTTTGGCGGTTGTGCCCTTGATATGTGCTGCCAAGGCACTAGCAGTGCGTTTATATCACTTTCAAGCATGTGGATATTCGAGTCTGCACGAAACATCTCCACCTGATCAAGTATCCTAGCTGAAGTGCGTCGATCAGGTTCAATTTGATTACCGAACCATTATGATATTCCTGGTAATCGGCATCCAAAATCTGTGGTCGCCGCCGCCACCATGATGCTCTTGACTCGACTGTAACAATCAATTTGATGCTTGGCCAGATCGTCATCGATATTTCATCACGGTCCCCAGTGGCACAGGTTCATATCAAAATCAATTGTTCCAGACAGCAGCTTTTGCAGATCGTGGCTCTTTCCCCGTCTGGGAGACTCTCGGGTGATTGGCAGGAAGCCCAAAACCGGGACTATTTTTACGCCTTTTCATCCCAAGTTGAGCAAACCGTAAGATGACGCCCATCTACCACTGCCTCCGACTTGGCCGGAAATGACGCTTTGGGTCCCCGACTCGTCTGATGAATTAATGGCTTAGAATAACAGTTCACCGCTCAGCCATGTGTTGACCGGGGATGCTATTGACGTTCCTCCGAACATGCGTCTTGTCATCAGAAGGGTGTGCACGAGGCCGCACCAATGGGGATTTGCTTGCTAGCTGCTTATTGTCTGTCGGCGTATCAATGTCTAGATCTAGTGCGAACGGAACGCCCACAAAGTGTAAACCCGAGACAAAGGCGGGTGTTGATGATCTTCTACACATCCTTTAGTGCTTATGATACCATACTAGCCCACGGAGGATGACTGTTCATCAGTGTGGATACTGGTGAAGTCGTCGATGATCTCATCTCCCTTGTTTTTCTAACACAAGTGGCAATCGCAACTCTGACGAGCGAAACAAGGCCGTAAGGGGAATGGCACTTTCCCCTTACGACCTTCATCAGTGTACTTACGCAACCATTAATATCTATCCGCCGGCATGTGACATTGCATCCCTCAGGATGCGAAAGGACGTGGTGTTTAGCGCCAGTGAGTACACAACCAGAAACCTCGCCTATTGCATTCTGATGGTGGTGACTCAGTGGCATGACGGACGCGTGGAAAATACTGCGGTCAGCCTATTGACGGACTTCGAAAGGGAATATCTGACCCTTCAGTAGCTGCTGCTGACCCAATATAAGATATGTCAATATCTTTCTATATAGAAATCAACTTTTCGATGCTTCTCGCTACCAAAATCGGGAGTTATTCACAAAACATATTTCTCCAGCGAATAAGAAAATACGACAGCTGGAAGTTAGCACCGCTCGATAAAAATTCGATTTTCGATTTTCGCTCTTCACTTGATGAAATTGTGAGCATTATGTACATTCGAATTTTTCTAGTCTGCTTATTGTGGTGGGGCCTGTGTAGTAAGTATTTCATATGTGCCTGGTGGTGCACTGGCGCCCGATGCTTGGACCTTGTTGACAAGGTCGTGTACTGTAATGGGTGCAATCTTAGGGCCAATTTACTATGTTTGTCCTATGGAAGTGCATCGAACTTCACTAAGTATGTTGAGTGATAATCACGTCCCCCCACGATCACGACATAGTAGGCCAACTTCTGTGCTTCCATTCTCGAATCAAGCGTTATGAACCGCAGCTCCGAGTAAACATTACCGCCGGTGATAACTTGTGATACCTGTGAGGGCCATCTCAGTGACGCTCAACTGAATTTGATTTGGTGTTTCAGAATGAGCTCGGTTGGCGCCTAACCTTGTCTGATAGCTAGCGACGCGAGCTCTGGGAATGTGATCGATGATTCAAATATTCAAAGGCGATACGGGGCAAGTGCGAACAAAGCAACCAGCCAGGACGAGCCTCGACCTCGGTATCGGATCAATGTATGTACACGGTCGGTTGCTCAATCAATTATCCCCAATGGTCTGCAATGGTCTGACTTTGAACAACACAACCAAGTTTAACATAAGGACTTGTTTGAATTTTCAGTCTTGTTCGGCAACTTACGTTGCTGTGCCATTTCGATAATCTTCGAAGTCGAAGTACTTAGCTCAGGGTCGGCCCGATATCCAAACCTGGCCGCCGCCCATCACGTGCCTCATTGTTTCACCATCAATGCAAGTCTGCGTCCGTTGTCAACTGCCATCGCATGCGTACAGTACAAATCATGATTTCCTCACCCGCGAAACGCCTACTTACGGAAGATGAGCGCATTTCTAGGATCGGTTCGGAAATTCAAAGGAATGATGCGTGAGTGACGGAAATCTTGCATGAGCTTGCATTGCATAAACCCATCAAACAACAGTACACCATCCGACGTGACTGCGAGCATACGCAATGCGGCAATGAGAGTCAGAAAGAGTGAGCTTTACTGTGGCAAGGTACAGCGCGTCGCTAAAGTATAATGACGCGTATGTGCACGCGTAACGTAGATGTATTAGAGGGGTACCGTACACAGCCCTCAGCCCCAAGCACACCGAACAGCTCCCCAACGAAGTGTACCTCAACTTCTCGTGTAGAAGAGGAACCTTACCCTTGGCCAAATGATACGCTGCGACAAGTATTTGCATCTGCAACCTCCGGGAAATATACTCCTACGTCATCTCCCGCAAAGCGCAGACGCTCCGAGTCAAGCGATGACATTTCCTCGGACAGCGAATCATCAAATGAGCATATGGATGTCGAGAGGCCCATGAAACCCTTGCGGACATCTGGAGGAACATTGATGGCTGCAATAGGTCTGCCTCATGTACTAACTAGCCTTCCTGGCGGCGCGGAAATGACTCGTGGTCAAAAGTGCCCCGTAGTGCAGGAACACGATGCGTATTCCATTATGGATGTCGTCGGGTCAGCTTCCCACATTGCGCAGCGTTGAACTATGTAGTGATCTACGTTGTACGGCGAATGACCTGCACCACCGGAGGTTAGTCACTTTACCGGCTCGGAGAAGGTTAAGTTCTAGCATAACTTACGAATTGCAGTGCTCCATGACGATCAAAGTCAGGTCTATATTTATACAGGCGTTTTGCACGCCTTCTCGGTCGATAGAATGTAAGAGGTTGGAGAACTGTTTTATGTATGTACCTTGCTGCGGCGGGTTGGCAAGCAAAACATGAAGGATATACATATATTCGCGTACTAGCAACACTCACGCGCATCTTACAGAAATCTCAAGCAAGCAAATTGCCCTGGCATGAACAATGTCAAGATGTGAGGAGTGAACCATTGATTCCTTGCCTCAACCACGTTGTTGTCGCGCATTGTTCCGCCAGCACGACGAGCCCTTGTGGTGAGGACAGACGATGCGTACGTAATAAGCCATTTCGGTTGCGGGCCGTTTAATCGTGGTTTAATCGATCTTGAGCGGACCCACAACGGATTGGTTTCTGATACGTGTCTGTGTGCGCGCTGACCGGCCCCCCCAAAACACTTTCCCACAAATGCGAATGCAAAACTTATACACCTTTTCGGCCGCGGGCTATGCCTTTGTTGTATCTTCCGCGAATATTGATCTCCAGTGTGCAGTCAGTTCGCCCACAGCTGGAAGAAGTCCTGTCAAGATCTCCGACCAGAATGGGGAGTCGGTACTGGGAAAAATTAGTTCTTGATCTCGTAGCCTTTTCTATGAACACAACTTCCTCAGCCGGAGTGAACAGATCGCCTCGTATTTATACCCGTCCATTTTCAACCGAGTCTTAAAACCACCCCTCTCTCCCCAGACCATTCAGTCTTCAGGAAATAATGACACCGCTTTCTTCCGTATCTAACGCTCAGCAGTCCTTTGACAAAGCCAAGAAACACCTATGGTAAGTGGCACATCTAACATCTCCCTCCCTATGTTGGCATTGGATTCTTTTGCCTCTGGGTCATCGCTGGAGCCCCCGGCGATGCCCAAAGTGTTTTAATCTATCACATTTTGCCGCCTTTGCTTTGTTCACTTCGCTTACGACTTTCCTACGTATAATTACTGACGCCACATTCTTCACCACATCTTCATTTCACCTTCCTTCAGGGCTTCCGACTCACCGACACACGAAATGAGTGGCCAAAATAGACACTCCGAGCAGCCACGCCACTCACTCCCTGAGGTTGAACGGGGTTCTAGCGACTATGACGAGTGCCAACTGAACTCGCATGGCGATCCGTCAACTTCTCAGCGACGATCGGAGCGAAGAGGGTGTATACTACCTTCGTCTTCACGGTAATTCTTCATCCGATTTACTTGTTCGTCCCCTTAATTGTCATCCTTGTAAGGAGTGACCTGTACACTTTACCACCTCTCTCTCGCGAAGGAACATATGACCGAGATGTTCGTCCGTTACCTTCTCGGTTCACAAAGTTCATGGACCACTCGCCAGCACAAGATGGGCAGCTTAGGTATGCACGTTTAACGCCACTCGGCGAAGTACTAATCGCTTTGAAAAGGCGCACTTCCACAGACTTGGAGACCTACCACCACAGTCGACAACAACGACCCGTCTCCTTATCGGTTTTCAATGCACCGACGGCGACGTACGCTTGGGAACGCTATGAACCTGAATCTCAGATACCCTATCCACGCCCCCTTTATGTTGATTACATTGGTCGAAGTTCCACGCGGTCGGCATCATCAAGCTCCATCTCCAGCTTACGCGATTCTCCTGGCATGCCGTGCGTTTTTATCCGAAACAGAATGAAACATGGTATTAAAATGTAGTCGTCTTAGCAGATCTCCGGCGCTATCTGACCGCAGCATCTCCACACCTACTTTACTCCCCCAAAAACGAAGAAGTTCGTCCCCGGCTGGACAGTACGTGGCTTCTAATTACTCATATCTCTTCGGTTAAGGACATATTTCTTTCATTAGTTATCATGCATCTTCTGTCACGAAGATCATGGAACCGCTCAGGTACTTCATTTAGCATTCTTTGCAACATTGCACTTAACGGACTTGCAGACATGTAAACATTGAAGTCGATCATAGCTGGCCTCCTGTTTCTTCCAGGCCTTACCAGCGAACATCTACTCCTCCTGAAATGATCAGTAGCCCACCATTGCACAGATCTCAATCTGATCGTCATGTTTCGGCAAGACACAGCATTCTGAGCGGCGGTAATGAGCGTCACCGCCAACACGAGGACAGTCCATGCGGTAGTGATTCCAGTGATCAGTCACATATTACCCGCCCAACAATACCGCCCAAATCAGATTCAGAGGAGTGGGAGAAGTACGCTTGTTTTACTCTGGACGGCACGACACGGAAATGGCTGTGCACCTGGTCGACAGAGTCGGGAGGACAGTGCAAATACATGTCCAAGAAGCAATTAGTCAAACGCCACGTTGAAACGACCCATTTGCGTTATAAGTAAGCGACTTGATCATTCACGAGCGTCTTTCACTCATCTTGTTCATTTCCAGGCCATTCGTATGCGGTGTCTGCGGCAAAGGTTTTCCCCAGAAAACTTCTCTTGACACTCACATGCACGGACAGTAAGCAGCACTTTATCGATCCAAAATTCTGAACTCAATCCCATCATTAGCACTGGATCTACGCCGCACGCATGTCGGTATAATTGTGGGATGTGGTTCAAGGATCCAGCACGTAGACACAGACACATGGTCGACGAGCATCAATACGTTCCAAGACAGTCTAAGAAGAAACACACGAACGGACAACCCCAAGACACTTTGGACTTCGAATCTGTGCAACGATGGAATGTAGCCAGTGCCCCTTAGTGCCTGACCCCTTCGACGAGAAGACTAATGTGTGTCAGCATTAATGTAAGCCAATGTGACATTGGCTGACAGATATCGCCGTGATGTCGGTTCGATATATCATGTCTACTTATATGCATATCGTGGGTCGTAACATTTCCTTTCTCCACAGAGTGGATGAGGTGTGACCCAAGGACTGGGGGTTCCTATATTCGGAGCAATTATTATTATTATTATAACTGAATTATTCTTGCGAATTATTATTCTCATTATATATATATATCTGATGCAGATGAATGCAACTGCAAACTATAAAAGTATCCCATCCCTGGAAGCGCTGTCAATATACAATGGAAGTTTTTATAATATTGTGCCTATCGCTTGTTTCTATGTGTTCAAATGAGAAAATCGGTTGATGATCGGGAAGCCATTGCATCCAAGTACTGGGGAGGAACGTGGCCCACTTATCTCGATCAACACCTTCCTGCTGCGCTCTGCTGTGTCTAGTGACAGGAGTGACTGACAATGAGTTCCAAATTTTGTGACGGTGATAAGCGCTGTCAGGGGACTTTCTGCAGCGCGTTATGAGCGGATTGAAGACTTTCTGAAGGTAAACGCCGCCATAATCACCGCCGAGACACGTAGGCAGAAAGTCAGCCGACATGTGGTGAATTCTTGATCAAAAGAACAACCCCGACGGTCGCGCGGGCGAGCGCTAATCTGTTGAACTATAACCACACTTTCCTTTTTCACTGAAAACTTAAAATAAATGGTGCCGGCATCTTCCGATAGACATCATTGATCGACGTTCCATACAGGGCGATTTGAACCCGTGATTTCGGCTTACTAGCACGTGAACGACATGCCTTCAAAACAACCACCGACGTTAGGTAGTTTAGCTGTTCAGGCGACACCGCACTTGGTTCATGTCTCACCATCAACATGTCACAACCTCAGCATGTTCAAAGGTACATTCCAAGTCTCTTGTCGTAATTTGAAATTTCAAGTGGCTCAATTCTCATAGACCTTCTCAAAGAATATCGTAGACTGGATGATACGATTACTATGCGGCTAAATCGCTCAAATGCACAGTTCCGTGATCGTGATCGTGCAGGGACAAGCGGCAAAGGCAATATTCAGGACCAAGCTTGCGCGTACGTATGGAAGGAACTGGTCGGTAAGCCTCTTCGGTGTTTCATCCTGAAAAGGTCTTATACTCGTCCTGTGCTTAGAAAACTGGAAACGGCGTACAGAAATGATAAATTATTGCGTCGATATTGTCGATCAGTCCATGGAGGAGAAGCGAAAGTCATTGACAAGCGAAGATGGCGATGCCAGGGCTCAAAGAAAGACGCAAGCAGCCATGTTTGCGGATGAGGTGAAGGTAAGGAAGCTTTCGGCGTGCAACTCCTTTTCTCATAAACCCATGCGCAGAGAAATCAAGTTCACAATGAATTAGCCATCGAGAAGATCGTGCGCCAGCGATCACTTGACGGTGAGCGTGTTGACTTGTCTCATACGTACTGATTTTTGACGCTATTATATTTGTCAAATTCAGCGTTTCGATCAAGGTGTCAATATTTTTCGCCTCCTTTAACGGATTCCGAGGCGCGGAAGTGGTGGGATGCTGTTCACATCCAAGAATCGCCGTAGGCGATGCTAGAAGCCTAAGTTACTCAATACTATGAGTTGCTTATATAATCATGGTAATGATGCAATAGCGGAAGCACTTTAGAACAGCCTGGGCATTGTTTTTTGCTTATATAATTATGGTGATGATGCCACAAGTTCCAGCCCGTTCACCTACAACTACCGCTATCTATGCCTTGTACTATGTTATCCTCACTCTTATTGCTCGGATTAACCGGTATTGCGATGGCCCTAGCACCGCCACTGACGGTGCAGTATCAATTTCCAACACCAATACTATCCGATGATGTGAAAGTGCCAGTGGTTCTAGGAGTCATGTCTCGCTGCCCAGATGCAATTCTGTGTGAATCTGTGTTCAATCGGGTATTACAAAGAGTAGGCAACAAAGTAGAAATTTCATTGTCGTTCATCGCAAAGTACGTCCAAGCATCATGCCTACTTAGTACGTAGTTCATCATGTTCGATAGCCCAAATGCCTCGGAGCCCTTTTATGGTGTAACTTGCAAGCATGGACAAGCGGAGTGTGCCGGAAATGTGCAAGAGTTGTGCGCTGCCAAATATCACTCTACTTCTGAATGGTGGTCCTTTGTGCAGTGCCAAAACTTTCAGGGGCGTGATAATATCGGCACGCCTGAAACTGCCCTCAACTGCGCCAACGCAGCGGGAATCAACTGGGAAAACGGCAAGGCTGGTCAATGCGCAGGAAGAGACGGCCGTGGAACAGAAGGAATACAACTTTTGCAACAGAGCACCAGGGATAGCATCGCAGCTGGGATCCAGTACGTCCTTAGGAAGTTTGAGGATCTCATGGGAGCTAAGCCGGCAATAGGAAAAGCTGCACGATCATCATCAATGGCCGACAAGTATGTATACGGGATGGCACTTGGTATGACTGCGAGGTATGCGGTAAAACAACATTGCCGCACAATATACAAGACCTTACAACGTGTTCTCAGGGCGGTCATTCACCGGCAGATTTCATCAGACAAATCAACGCAGAGTATGACAGACTCAACAACGCGGACTAAAGAAAGCAGACATGTTAATCTCATGGTCCGCGTCGGTGAACGTACATAGATACCACTCAGCCACCAAGAATTAGCTCGTACACGATTATGACAAGATTCAGTCCTATGAGTGGTACTTTATGCAGAAACATCAGTTTGTCAGTTCCGACTGGAGGACTGCGCCACTTACTACGCATGAGGGTCCGCACCGCACTAATGAGGTTGATTAATCGGACTTTGACACCAGCATCTTGCTGCTGGGTATATCCGTATCCTGATTGATCATATGGTGGCTGAAAGCCAGCGGCGTTGGGGTTCTGAACAGAGGACCAGCCGACTGTAAAACGGCGTCAGCGAATGGAGCATCAGTAATGATGGTCCTCACTTTTCGCAAGGAATCGGTCCTCACTGAGGACTGCCATTGCATTAATTAGAAGGAGCGAAACGTAAAGAATTGTTCCGAGTGTGAGCATCGTTCCGCTCGCAGTGATGGGTTGCGGACTGGTTCTGTAAGTATTGTGCAAACGTGTCGGCGCAATGTGACTTCTCGTGACCGTGACAAAGGTAAAGTGCGGGCTGAATTTGTTGGGCCTTGGCTACTGCCAGAATCTTTGCAGGATGCAATCTGTTGCAAGACAAGTGCGATGCGGTATGTTGTAAATACTTCTGCAGATGCCAGCAGCTTTTAAGCTTAAGCACGATATAGCGAATCGTCTAGGTACTCCAGTGCAGTTCCGCATAGCTTCATCCTGCCTTCAATGGCAGTGTCAACGGAGGTATGTTGGTCAAATAGAAAGGGCGTTCTACCTCTTATCTTTCACGTTCGCAGAGCCGCTAGTTACTATAATCCTTTGCAGTGGATTCAGGAGAAGTTTGCTCCGAAGGCAAGAAAAGCGGATCCAGTGGAAGAGAAGAAAAGAGGTGAGCAGGAGAAACAAGGCCAGCAGAGTGTGTTCGAGGCAGCTGTGAGCCACGAGAAGCGGGCCCGACCTAAGACAACATCTGCCGAAAGCGCTCCTACTGACATCAAGAAGAAGGCTACTGAAGTATGACCCACACTCTATGATACTTACCGCACACCACTGATTATAAGCATCGCACAGCACAAATATTCTACGGCTAACTTCAAAATTTCACATAGGAAGCTCAATATGATTGGCCGACAGATATCTGGAAAGCCAATTGACCATGCTATCGTGCAAATGCAATTTAGTGAAAAGCGGGCCACAAGCCGGATAAAGAGCATGTTGGCGACGGCTAAACTTCATGCGACGGCATACAAAAATATGGATCCTTCCAAACTCATCGTTTGTAAGTCCCACTGACCATATATTTCAAAGGGTGGATATTCTAATACTTGTATAGCGGAAGCCTGGGTGACCAAAGGACCCAAGCAACTAAAACGACTTGAGCCTCGGGGACGTGGCAAGTTTGGTATTAGGGTTCACCCCGATTCACGCATGCATGTGATCTTGAGGGAAGGGAAGACATTCGAGCAATTGAAGAAGGAGCAACGCGAGCGGCGTTTGAGAAGAATAGTCTCTGCAGGGTTGGTTCGGGAGGATGTACCACTCAGAAACCCCGCTCGGACCTGGCAGTGGTAGCGGTCGTTTCTAGTCTTAATTATACTTTCAGTTGATACATAATCGTGCTTTATCCAAGTGTGAGCCTGTGAGAGCTCTTCAAATGTTAGCAAGGCTTGCCAGCGCGACGAATCGTGATGAATCCGAAATTCATTTATTTTGAGTTTTCATACCAGCATGTATAGCTAAAAATAGCACAACAAAGTAACGACACGTCGTTGCTCTTTCCTACAACAGACCACGACTCCAAATGGCACGACGCTGGTGGACACTTCCTTTGTTCCTCGTGAGTGCGCTTGCACCTTCATTCTCATTAGCTGGTCCCGCTTTTGAAAACACGGCTATCGTCCGCACAATCGAACTAGGTGGTTCGCTAGTACATGTCAGTACAACTTACGCAGTCAAGGCTCTCGAACCAGGACAAACTACATATCAAATCGCGCTCAGCAAGGTTGAGCGAGCAAAAACAAGTTGGCTCGAGGCTAAAGTCAAGGGCCAGACTACACCTCTTAAGCTCAGCGAGGATGAATCCAGGTGTGTCGGGTCGTGTGTTATTCAGTACGCGATATTCATGTCATGCAGTGCGGAGTATTTGTTGTCTATTTCCCTTCCAAAAGCCTTGGCTGTGAACGGCACTCTCAACCTTGTGTTGGAGACTATGCAGACTCACGCTACACACCCGTTCCCTGAACAGGCCGCTCAGAACGAGCCTCAGCTGCTCAAGTACGAAACTGACCTTTTCACCATCAGTCCTTATACTACCCTCGTACAGCGCACAAAGATAAAGTATGTGCCATATACTGCTTATTGTATGTCTGAAGATTTGATACTGCCATGACAGGTCCATAGCGCCGAACGTCATTTCCTATACTACCCCACATGACGTGGACAGTTTCGTGAGGGATGGTTCTGTCACCAGATCTGGGGGAACTATTACCTATGGTCCTTATCACGACATTCAAACGGACACAGATTTCGTGGCAAAACATCAACAATCTGTCTCAGTTCATTACAGCTTTGACTATCCTGTTATTGAGGTCGAAACGCTCCGCCGTACAGCAGAGATCAGCCACTGGGGTTCCAACTTGAATATTGAGGACAAGGCTCACCTCCATAACGCTGGGCCCACGTAAGTGACGCCTCTCGCATTTCATATACGACGTTCAATTTCAAAATTCAGTCTCAAGGGCCACTTCTCTCGCTTGGAGTACCAAAGCCAAAATTTTCAACGCAAGCAAGCACCGCATATTCTCTCTGACTTCACTTTGCACCTTCCGCCCGGTGTGACCAATGCATACTTCTATGACCAGAACGGGAATGTCTCCACATCTCATCTGCGCACGGCACCGTCAGTTGCAAAGGGCAGCAAGGCAGTGCAGTATAGTGTGCTTCAATTACGGCCACGCTACCCAGTTCTCGGGGGTTGGAACTACTCTTACACTATTGGCTTCGACACGCCTCTGCAAGATTCAGTCAGCTATGATGCAAAGGACGGCGTATACATGGTTGGCGTACCTGTTATGACTCCCATTCCTGGAACTGTTGTGAACGACGCCGAAGTCAAAATTATACTACCGGAGGGTGCAACGTATGTTGAATGAGATCGTGGTCTTTGGATATTGACTAATGTGCCATACAGTAATGTCAAATTCGTCTCCCCTTTCCCCGAAATTTCCAATAGTATGTCAACACACATCAGCTACCTCGATACCGCGGGGCGCCCCGCCGTCACCTTTACATACAAGGATTTGACTTACAAGCACACGGGCACTATCTATGTGAGTGCATATCCTACATGTTGGGCTTGAGGGCACCGAATTAATACTTTGTTCAGGTCTCGTATCAGGTTCCCCTCTCGGCTCACTTAAAGAAAGCCGTGTCCGTTAGTGCTGCTTTCTTCAGCCTCTTTGCTTTTGCCTTCATGGCCAGGCGCGTGAATCTGAACTTACATAAGAAGTGATATACAGTAGGCAGGCAGTTGATGCAATGATGAAAAAGATTCTTGCTTGAAGCACGTGGGTGGCATTTGTGATATTATTCATTCGATTCTTTGTGCCTCAAAACAACTCGATCTGACTCCTTAACTCCTTCTGCGTGAGCTGTAAAACCTGATTACGTCGTATCCCTAGGTGACATGAGAATGAGGCTTCGAAGATCAAACTTACAATAATATTAAGTACACGTTATCATAGCTCTCCGTCTGAGTCTTGTCCTAACATGCGTCAAACGATCCCTTGTTCGACTGTTGCCGAAATCATAATACATCCATGGTCCCTCACCGCCCCTACTGCCCTTGTAATCGTTCGCATTCGGAGAGCCGTTATGAACGCTATCGAGTTGAGTCACAACTTGAACGTTTGTATTAAGTTCAAGTTCCCGTATTGCCAAAGCTGGTCATGATCAATGTATGCAATCGTATCGTGTTTGATTATCGCGCTTGCCAGGTTCTCCTATCCAGTGTATGAGCGCACGTCCAGTAAGACGGGTCTGTAATAAGTCAAATAGCCGGATTGTGCAAATGGGGTCCAATGCTTCGAGGAAATTTCCACGTCTCTGCTGTCGGGATACTTCCATGGAGCAGAGAGAACAACAAGGCCGTGTAGTAAGATCGAGCCGGGTTGCTGTTTCGAACCGAGATGTATGAATTGTACTGGGAGACGAACTGAGACGAGCGGTGCGAGTGCAAGCGATATTGATCGGAACGTTCACCCGGTCGTCCAGATTATGTGCAAGCTACGTGGCCGTTTGATGCGATGACCTTGCGACTTTGTCGTGTTCGATCTGGCCTAGGCAGTCTCCGAGTTGACCGCTGCACAGGGGCCAAAATCTCCATTTGGGTCAAACTTTCCCACTGATCATCCTTTGCAAGTCCAACTTGAAAGTTGTCATTGACCGTACTAATCTGGCATGATTTCGAGTCAAACAGCTCGCAATGTCATTCTCAACTTGAAGCAGAAAAACTGGTGGCGATCAATAGGTTCTGGGATAACGATAGACTCCAGTTTAGAGCCAAAGCACGGTTCTTCTCTCCTCGGACGTGCGTCTGAGAGGCATCAAGGACATCCAGATAAAGCTCGGGCAGGCGGACCGTCGAACTTTCGGTCTCGCACCCAGCTGGACAAACGTCAAGGAAATGGCGAGGGGGTGCAGAAGAAACGTTTACTCAAACCTTATGACTTGTCAATTCAGCTCAAGAGTTTGTGCAGGGAGGGGGACCTTGACGGTGCTATTGAGCGTTTAAAGTCGACCCCTCGGGATGCGCAGAACATAGCCGTGTGGAATACAATGATCTCAGAGTGCTTGAGCGCTGAACGGTACCAGCTCTCCTACGATTTGTTCGTTGACGTGAGTGGGTCTATCCACCGGATTCGCTACCACTCTTAATAATGATGGGCATCTGCAATAGATGAAGCGTAGAGGGTTTTCACCCAACAGTATCACTTTCTCCACTATGCTCAGCGGTATTTCCCTCATCAAGGACTGGCCGAAATACAGCAAACAATTGCAGAACGCGCATTCTCTTTACGAGTCCTACCTCAAACACCTCGAATCCGTCAAATTTCACGAGGCTGACAACTCGAAGGAGATGTCCCTGCAGCCTCTTGTTTCATACATCCAGATTCTCGGCGATGCAGGAGAATACCATAAAATCTTCGACGTTTACTTCGCCATGGACCAGGAAGGACCTCTTGCACCTGACAGGTTTGTCTTCACCGCGATGTTCAAGACAATATCCGCACGTCAGAAGCGTTCGGTCACTGACGGAGAGACTTCTACTCGCAACGATGCTGCGTCTGATGCGAAGCACGTTTGGATGCAGATGGAGAAAGTTATGCAGAGGAATCCTGACTTCTTCTTGGATCCTGGGCTCATTGCAACAGCCATCCGCGCCCTTACGCGGGGAAGCCCAAATGATCAAAGTTTTGCATTCACTATCATCCATGATCAATTGGGTCTTTCAAAGCCAGGGGAAGATGTGCCTAAAAGGTTGTCAAACAATCTTAATGCATGGACGTTAGACGCTACCCTCCAACTTTGCAACGCCATGCAAAAACATAGACTCACCGTTCACTTCACGCGTCAAGTTATGGAAAAAATCAATTGGGATAAAGTTTGGATGCGTTACCTCATCGACTCTAACCACATACACAAACTCCTCAGAGCGTATGCTGGACTTGCCGCTCTCGGATCGCTCAACGAGTCGAGCGAAGCTCTGGGGGCATTGGAATGGAGTGTACAGAACGACATAATTTATCATCTCCCCAAGTTGACACCAACAGCGCAATCGTACCACCTCGCTCTTATGACATGCTGCCGCAGTGCAGACTGGCCAACTGCCGTCCGCGTGTATGAACTCATGACAGGCGTCGAAACCAGTCAATTCGAGTCGGGTGGAAGTTGTTCTCCGACGGTGAAGAAGAGGTCCAAGGGGAAGAACCTGCCGACGGATGCGGAAACCATATCGTTCCTTCTGCGCACCGCCCTTGCCGCCAACAACGTCACGTATATTCAACATGCAATGTGGCTGGCTGACTTTGCGCGCGTTGACACGCTTCTCAGTGATGAACATACGACCGCGTTCTACCGATCTAAACTTGCGTCTACCTTGATGGAGGCGACAAAACGCCTCCAAGAGGCAGGGGGCCTTACTCAGGAGCAAGAAAAGACCTGGAGCTCGTACAGATCATTGGCACGACAGGTTCTGAAGAGCACGAGAGGTAGCCCAACACCTGGAGTTGAGGAGGAGAGGTTAGGCAACATTCGGACACTCGTTGACATAGACAACTATGTAGCCTTCGAGATGGCATCGCGTAGTACCAAATCACGCACATGATGCAGAGCATTCCGTCAGGAGGTATGTTGCGTGACACTGATAAACAGTGACTACATTATATATACAAAATATAACGGGGATGGGGTGATAGATAAAGCAAACATAAATAGCGCCTGAAGAAAAAGGTCCATTGTCCGAGAGGCTACCCACAACATTTGCATAAATACAGGAAAATTGCATGATGAACAGAGCAGTCATGATATAGCCGTAGGAGGGGGTATGAGGGCTGTTATCAATTCACTATGCGACTGAATTTGGGCGGTCTCCAGGTCTTGACTGCCCTTTAAAGGCAGGCGATGGAGGAGCGAAAAGTGTGTCTTCAGTCAATGCCATCGAGACAGGTTGATATGTGTGTGGCTCTTGAGGGTTGGCATAATCGGGATACCTTGTAGCGGTAATGTTCATCGGCATGGGACTCAATCTTCCGGGTGTCTTGCGCGTCCGCGCACCCCTCCCGCGACGCCTGCACAGTAAGACAAGGGCGACGATGGAAAGTATGACCAAGACGAGGGCATTAAGCGCCATAACGGCAAGCATGGCGGGGAGGTATTTGGAGAGTTTGTCAATAGTGTTTGCTACATCCGTGGACAACGTGACGGTTGTTGATCCGGAATCACCGCTTGAAGCGTTGTAGGTAATGTTATTCTCTGGTGTTCCGCCCCGGACAGAGTGAAACTCCACCGATGCTTGGTCAGGATCGACCAGGGAGAGCATTTGAACATAAGGGCTGCCCATAGTCCCCGATGAAACGAAGTCGCCAAAGTCGTACACGGCATAGACTGAACGCAAAACGTTGTCACCTATCAACCAATCACTAGGGGTATGATCATTTGGTGATATATTCCGGAATGATTACCATAGACTTACAATTGGCCAGCCCCAACAGAAACACTTTGGGGCACAAAAGAGCCGACACAGATTGAGGGATCACTGAAACTCGTTGGTGAAACATCGAGGGGATGTATCGGGAAGATTTGGTCGCTGTTACGACAATAACTAAAAGATACGTGATCGAACACAGACACTCACTCGAACTGAAGCGCCATATCTATTTCTACGTCGCAAGGGACTGTCCATTGCCCAAGGCCAGAGTTATACTGAGCTCCAGATACGCCGCCATAAATGGCTTGACACACGTCAGTAGGCGCGTACCTGCACTCCTTGTGAATAAAGTCCGACTATTGACACAAATGATCACATACGTATACGATGTCCCGCTATCCAGAAGAACAACTGCTTTGTTTGATGGTGCCCCTTGCACGCCAGTGGAAACTGAATAGGTCTCTGTGCCAACAATGAAGGAGTCCAATAGCACATTCCAACGCGTTGGAGAGTTTACGGGCCAAGTTGGGATTTTGTTGGTGCTTGTGACATTGGAATATTGGGGCTCGGTCTCGCCTGCATTCTAATACGTCAACGAGTACATATACGAGCAATACCGTCAACTTACCAATTGCGAAGCTGCCTGTAACTTGATCGTCATCTGACGTACTCTGCAGGGATAATGCGATAAAGTTGGGTTCGGAAGGATTGTCGTGGAAAAGATTGTAGAGGAGACTGCGGCCGGTCGACGCACCAGTGGCGTTCACGAGAGCATCTATAGTCGATAATGAATCAAAACCTAGCCCTAGGAGTCCAGAAGCCCCATAGGATAATGCCGGATTTTGCGCGGATGAGACGTCAAGAAAAGCTTGTGAAGAAACGGATATCCTATTTGAAGTTGAATTAGTCTATGATACGTCACTTGAACGCTTACTTACCCTGCAAACTCGGCAGTGACATAGGAAATACCGCCATATGCCCAACCAATGCCATACTTGTGCGCTGAAGTTAAACCGAAGATCCCTATTCAAGCAGAAATGCGCTCACAGTCAAATTACAGTTCTGGGACTAGTGAACATAAGCAAACTATAGTGAGAAATAGCGTGTGCCACTCACTGTAATGTTTGTATTGGGGATGGGTGTTGGACTGTTGAGAACCCATAGGTCAGAAGAACCTAACAAAGACGTAAGATATGAAAAAGGAAAGGGAATAGGAAAAAATACCTGTGTCAAGTTGGACCAGATAATCTGGTTGATCGATGAGTCACCTTATGGTGTGAATGAGGTACGTTATTACTTACCAACGCCGCCAAGGGTAACCTAATTACCTGGTGAATAAGTTGGCATGGGAGAGCGAACGAAGCGTACTTACATTTGCCATATAAATGAGATCGTGAACGTCGCTATCTCAGTAGTCAGTTTGTTGGTACTGGGGAGTGAAGATATGGCTTGCCTGAGCGTAAGTGCTGTGGAGACCGAAGACAGAACTTGCGGGTGCGATATTGAAACGTCTGTGCCCCCACTTCGTCGTTGTAAGGCCGTAGGCTTTGATTGAATGAAAGGTATTTTAACAGCCACTGAAACTCCGGCCAGGAGTGCCAGAGAAAAAGCCTGTACCAACTTCATAATGGCAGAGGGTGAAAGGAATGACTTTGGCGAGAGCCAGTGTAAGTATGCTGAAGGAGTGCGTGCAGCCTTATATAAGGGGAGTCTATGATGATAGTAACGACAAAGCCGTGAACAAGCCGCACGAATCTAAACTGTGATAGATCAACGAGGCAAATGTCAAATTTTGTGGCAGGTATCTATTTTTGGCCACAGTTGATCAGATTAATCATGGGTCAATGAAACAGCACTGTACTCGCACAAAAAAACCAGGTTCAATTAGTTGTTAACGTTGAGGCCTTGCACATTGGCCAGTTTGAAGCAAGTATATTACAAAAAGAACCGTGCATGCGGGGCAAGTGTGCGCAGCAGGACAATGAATCTAATGTGCTAAAACCCAATAAGGAAATGATAAGGTGTCCCTGTGCACCAAATGTACTTGTAAAAATTATATGGCTGAAGTGTATATACTTGAGCCTCACATATGGAGTTGTGCGCATGCAACGTTGCAGTCGTGTAGTATACAAAAAGTTATTTTCGTGTTACCCCCACACGTTGTAATATTACCTCTCACGTGGTCTTCTTCGCGCCTCCGACGCGGCACCAAGTCTTTCTTCTGGACCTCCAAGTTCACACCATGGCACCAGCTGCAACGAGGAGTACAATCTTTCGTCTCATAAATGCATCCCAGCATTCAGCATGTCCATGCCATGGCTGCAGATCTGCAACTCATAACCATGCACATCACGGTGCTCTTGCCCTCAACCAACTCAGGAAGTTCGCAACTCCCGTCCAAACTGTTGAAAAGGAGTATGCATTCGAGGTACGCCCTGCAAAGTAGCGCTATAACCGCTTACAGCTCCCATCCAGGTTGCAGCATCGAATTTGAGATTTGGAGAGGGCGTCACTCGCGAGGTTGGTATGGACCTCAAGAACATGAAAGCCCGCAAGGTCAGATGGTTTCCCACATCTTCGGTCCATGGTCGTCATTACTGTCAATAGGTTGGCGTCTTTACGGACCCAATTGTGGCCAAGCTGAAGCCAATGCGAGTTGTAAGCATTCTTGTCACACAATTTCTCCAGAGTTAATGACTTGGATTTTAGGCCCTTGAGTCTTTGGAATCCCAAGAAGACCTTCCATTCGAGGTATATGATCAAGTGCTTGCAGAACCAACAGAAGAGAGCTGGAGGAAGGCCATCGCTTGGGCGAGACAACACGATTTCAGCCACTTCTTGGCGTAAGTTACGGTCGACCGTGTGTAACCGCGACTCACCATGGTTATAGTGTCGGCGGTGGGAGTGTCATCGATACCGCCAAAGCAGCGAACTTGTAAGGCTTATATTTCGTCTGTGTTATGTTTACCTCACACCTTTTAGGTTCACTGTTTACAAGGATGCTGATCTCATGGACTTTGTTAATGCTCCCGTAGGCAAAGGTCTTCCGATCTCGCAAACCTTGCGGCCTCTCATTGCAGGTTGAAATGTCTGCATCAATATTGTGTGAATCTTGCTCATGAACTTGCAGTTCCTACCACTGCTGGCACTGGATCTGAGACCACTGGTGCGGCTATTTTTGATGTCACTTCACGTGCTTTCAAAACTGGCATCGCAAATCGTGCACTTAAGCCTGTCTTGGGCGTCGTGGACACGGCTAACACGGAGAGCTGCCCAACCGCTGTGCACATCAGCGCAGGGTTGGATGTGTTATTTCACAGTTTGGAGAGCTACACAGCCATTCCGTGAGCTTGCACTTGAACTTTTCAATAGGCAAACAGCAGAGCGATCTTTTAGTTACACAGAACGAACGCCACGCCCCGCAAATCCAATTCTACGACCCGCCTACCAAGGAAGCAACCCCGTTGCAGATATTTTCTCGATGTGGGCTCTTCGTACAACTGTAAAGTACTTGCCTCGTATTGCCAAGGATCGCGGTGACCATGAAGCGAGAAGCCAAATGCTGTATGTTTCCTACCCGTTTCCCACATTACTCCTCTGATTTAGAACTAGTCTCGCGGCTTCCTTTGCTGGTATTGGTTTCGGAAATGCTGGTGTGCACCTGTGCCACGGAATGAGCTACCCGGTACGTACAGCAGATGGTGTCGGGAATCAGGACTGAGTAGCTTTCCTATAGATATCCGGCTTGAACAAGAAAGGCCCGAAGTACAAGCACCCTGGATACGTGGTTGATCATCCCATCATTCCCCACGGGATCAGGTAATTCAAATACTGACACTTCAAAAGACGGAGATTGAACGTGAATTTTGTAGTGTCGCTTTGAGTGGACCCGCGGTCTTCCAATTCACTGCTCCATCTTCTCCTGACCGTCATCGCGAAGCACTTGCTGTTTTCAATGGTGTGACCGTTACCGACCCTTCGATAACAAGCATCCCTGACTCCGAGGTTGGCGCATATCTGTTCGAGTCTATCGCATCCTTCCTCGATGGACTCGGTGTTCCTCGTGGGCTGAAGGCCGTGGGATATAACAAAAGCGACATCTCGATGCTAGTCGAAGGTACGCTTCCGCAACGCCGCGTTTTGGATTTGGCTCCGAACATCGGAAATGTGGCAGGCGAGGATGGGAGAGAGCATCTGACGAGAATCATGGAGGCCTCTTTCGAGTACTAAAGGATCCGCCGTCACGCTTTCGAATTGCTTTGAAAATGCTTTTGTACATGTATAATACCATCAATTGAAGATACAATATGCTTTCGGAACAGCTCTGCTGGAGCACTTGTAGTTGCAACATCGATATCTCGGACTCGGATAATTCCGAGAATGGCTCCTGAGCAACGACGTAGCACGTTCCGCCCATGCATTGACCTACATGAAGGACAAGTAAAGCAAATCGTCGGGGGCACTCTTTCGGATCGCAATGATGACGGATTGAAGACGAATTTTGTCGCAACGTGCGTATATACACTCTGGCCCTTTCTCTGATTGATGAATGTCCCTGCAGGCAACCTCCAGAATATTTTGCGGGAAAGTATCGTGACAATGGTCTGGAGGGAGGACATGTCATAAAACTGGGGCCTCGGAATGACGAGGCAGCCAGGAGAACATTGGCAGAATGGCGGGGTTCGCGTCTATCATATTGTTCTCAAACAATGCTTTTGACTGACGTATTCATAATTCTAGATCATCTACAGATCGGCGGTGGTATCACCTTTGACAATGCCAAAGAATGGCTTGATGCGGGTGCGAGCAAGGTTAGACAAGCGAAATGCGCAAGGCGGCAACTTACTTCTCCCCTAGATCATTATCACATCCTACCTCTTTCCCGGCGGCAACTTCGACTTGGAGCGTCTGCAGACAATCTCATCTCTTGTTGGAAAGGACAAGCTAGTTGTAGATGTTAGGCACGTCATTTACTTTACGCGTCGAACAGAAGGATCTCATGTAATTTCAGCTGTCGCCGGCGAGGAGACAAGTGGTTTGTTGCTATGAATAAATGGCAGGATATCACTACAATGGAGGTGAACAAAGGTAAAGGACTCTTCATAATCTTTCGCTTAATAGGCGCTGAATTTTATGTCCAGAGAATCTCGAGATGCTGGCACAGTATTGCAAGTGAGACAGACTCATGGGCACTCTGTCTCCGTCGCGATGACCTTTCATGTCGCAGCGAGTTTCTCATCCATGCAGCTGATGTGGAAGGACTATGCCAAGGTATTGACGAGGAGCTCGTTAAAAGTTTGCGCATCCTTCGATATTGTCATTTCGCTGCTGACTTTTCATAAGAGCTTGGCGAATGGGTGACGATTCCTACTACATATGCTGGAGGAGCTAAAAGTAGGCGGCTATGTCCCTGAGTATATTGTATCCTGACTCGACGTGTTGCTAAGGCATTTCTGACTTGGAAACGGTGAATAGACTTTCGGGAGGACAAGTGGACTTGACATATGGCAGGTAAGCACGATCCCTTGATGTTTTTAATAGATAGCTCATTCCTGTTACTCTAGCTCACTGGATATCTTTGGAGGGGTTGTGAGCTTTGATGGATTAGTGAAAGCAAGCAACCAGTAGTATCAATATGTAGCGCGTATGTTAGATTCCGGAAAACATTATACGTGACTGGGCCACAGGGGAATACCTTTTTGGGCGTGGGAAATGTGGCTCATAAACTGTATAGTACCACACCGCGTAGCGCCAGAATTATCGAGGCCGTCGCGGACGTACCGTACGACAGTCCCCTCAAGGTAAATGTCTAGTCATTATGGTGCTCGGCCATGTTCTTGAGGCATCCTGGACCGTTTCCAGGCATATTGGTCTCGTCCCGCTCTTTTCCGCATCTGTTTGGTCGATCTCTTAGACTCGGTGCTAAACATCTTTCATTTCATTGTACAGACATCCCTCAAAATGCCCAGCAGCAAAGTCAAGGCCTACGAGCTCCAGTCCAAGTGAGCCTATAATGTTAATGGAAGACATTGCGCTGATTGCAGAACGTTTTGTTGCGTGATATACACAGGTCGAAGACCGACTTGACCAAGCAACTTAATGAGCTCAAGACCGAGCTTCTTTCGCTGCGCGTACAGAAGATTCTTGGTGGCTCGGCCTCAAAACTCACCAGGATGTACGTTTGAAATTCTTAAATGTCCGGTGCGAAAGGACTAACTTAACTAGCAACATTGTGCGCAAGTCGATTGCACGGGTCTTGACTGTGATAAACCAGAAGCAACGCCAAAACCTCCGAGAATTCTACAAGAACAAGAAATTTCTCCCTCTTGATCTCCGACCAAAGAAGACACGCGCTATCAGACGGAGACTGACCAAGGTGCGCGCATACAGTCGCTATGCAAGATGTGTTTAACTTATGCTACCTATCTGTACTAGCACGAGGAATCATTGAAGACGCTTAAGCAAAAGAAGAAGGAGACACACTTCCCCATTCGCAAATATGCTGTCAAGGCATAAGCGTGAATGTGTTGTTGGCTGGGTGCGAGAGGGCCCGTCATCATGCTGGAGATTTTTCTGTTTTTGCATTTTTATATTTGTATGCCCTACGCCTTGATCAACTCGACATGCATGCTATGCCATGACTCCTTTCCCTGGAAGTTGATCCAGCATACTTCTTTGAGACAAATGCACTGATTGTGGCTTGACTATCGTATGATCAGTACTATTACCTGGGACATGTGCACGTGAGCGCTCTCAATGAATCACAACATTCCCGGGTCAAACTTGATGATCCTAGTTGGTGTCGCGACATTACGGCCTCGTGTTTGTTGTAACTATGATGGATCTCCAACTGCTCTCACGAAACTATACCGTATCTGTGACAATACTCCATCGCCACTCCACTCCATACTACTCACGTCAGGTCGTAGTAGGTGCTGGAGATCCAAAGTTCATTTCAAACCAATCTTAGAATCATAATAAGCAAGGGGCCTTGCGGTTTCCTCGTGCACTTGCGACAATCAAGTTAGCCTGACATCAAAGTCCTTTCCCGTACTTGGTCAGTTCGTTTCTTCCATATCTACTCTATCCAGTCCTTTCATAGACTTGGACGGGGATCCCCCGAACACGTGTGGAGCAAGTCTTCTTAATTTTGTTCGACATGAGTTGATGTCACACAGCAACCTGTTGCCCCATGTGTTAGGCCCTGTCAGCGCTCTGTCCACACCATGTCGCCTGGTAGTCGCCTCAGAAATCTCTCATTGACTAACATCAGCAATGGACAGCTGGCCTCTCGCTCGTGCTCGATGTCACCACAGACAAGCCAGGATAGGGAGATGTATCCCAGGGAGCCTTACCCTGTTCCAAGCAACAACCCGGCCTGTCAGTATACGCTCATCGAGAAGCTGGGAACAGGCAGCTTCGGGGTCGTATACAAGGCTATGCACAACGAAACCAAGCAGATAGTTGCTATCAAGCAGATTGGTGTGTAGCTAGCAGGGCTTGATATTATGTTGGAGCTAATCTCTTTATCTTTGAAATAGATTTAGAAGACTCTGATGATGATATCTCGGAAATTCAGCAAGAAATTGCCAGTCTCGCTCAATGTGATTCGGAATACGTCACCCGTTATTACGGGTCATTCGTTGTTGCTTACAAGCTATGGATCGTCATGGAGTACCTGGCTGGGGGATCATGTCTTGACCTCCTGAAAGGCGGCGTGTTCTCTGAAGCGCACATCGCAGTTGTTTGTCGGGAGCTTCTGCTAGGTCTCGAATATTTGCACGCGGAAGGCACCATCCATCGTGACATCAAAGCTGCCAATGTCTTGCTTTCTGCTAGTGGAAAGGTCAAACTTGCCGACTTCGGAGTGGCGGCACAACTAACCAGCACGCTGAGACACACATTCGTGGGTACTCCATTTTGGATGGCACCGGAGGTCATCCGACAGGCGGGTTACGACGCGAAGGCAGATATGTGGAGTTTAGGCATCACAGCCATAGAAATGGCGAAAGGAGAGCCGCCACTGGCCGAGTATCACCCCATGCGGGTTCTCTTCCTTATTCCAAAGGCGAAACCACCAGTCCTTGAAGGTTCATTCTCTGCCGCATTCAAGGAATTCGCGTCACTCTGTTTGACGAAAGACCCTGCTGATGTGAGCTCGTGTTTGTTTGTCCTGTGCTTGAAATGCCCTGACAGTCGCTGTAGCGTCCTACAGCCAAGGAACTTTTGCAACATAGATTTATCAAAAGCGCAAAGAAGACATCGTATCTCACAGAGTTGGTCGAGAGGTACCAGGAGTTCCGTGCCAAGTCGCCACAGAAAGGTCAGCCTACAGCATACCAAGCGACCGTTCGTGGCACGGCAATGTGGGAGAGCAACGACACAATTCGAAGTGACTGGAACTTTGACACCGTCAAGTCGACTTCCATTATGGGTACATTTAGTAGTGTTGCCAAGGATTTGGTGCCTGACATGGACGATGAAGACATGGGTGACGAGGAACGCTCGATATACGAGGATGACGAGGGCTCGATTGAAACCGGAGGAGCTATCAATGGAAGCGCTCCGTCCGGTTCTGGGGGGATCGGAATAAATATTGGTGCAGCGCACTCCACTGTTGCCATCAAGACTCCTCTCGATGAACCAGATATTTCAGTGCTTCTCGCTGCTGAAGAAGGTTCAGAAAGCGAATCTGTAGATGGTGCCGAACCAAGAACACCGCCATCCCAAGTTACTCACCCTGTAGATGATGAAACGTTTTTGGGCTCACCTCCAGCATACACCGGCTCCATCCGCTCGGCAATGAGGTCTTCGTACGCTGCAAGACACAAGATGACTGGTGCTGGTACTATCATGCGGGAAGCAGATCTAGGTTCCGGCGTAGACACCATCAGACCTGTCAAAAGAGTCGACGCAGCTGCTTCTCTGAGACTATCTGCAGAGTACGTCGGCACTAGGAGTAGAGAAACTTCGCCATCATCCCCTACTACTCCATCCAAAGACCGGCCTTCTTCGTCGTTCAAGCGGAGGGTATCTGATGCTGAGCGGGCGGGAAGGGTCATGATTGATGATGTCGTCCTCCCCGTTCTTCAAAACGTGAGTTATTCCCAAGTATACCGCTACAAAAGAATAACAATGCACGACAGGCCATCCGAGATGACATGGATGCTCGAGAGATCGAGTCACTCAGTATGATCTCTCGTGGCTTTGCCGAATTGAGAGAGGCGAATCCTGCCCTATCTTACAGCCTCATTCTCGACATGCTCTCTGGTATCAACGAGTGCGTATCCACCAGCTGAACTGAGATTCCGTTCATTTATTTTCAAAATATGCTAGAAACCCCTCTGTCCGACAATACGTTCAAACTTCTCGGGGACTATTTCCTCACAAACGCGTCATCCGGAAGAGCGAGATGACTGCAAAAGGCCTTGTGGTCACCGAAGTCCAGGAAGATATCAGTGGACTCCCCATGGACTCGAGCGCCTCATCATTAAACTCCCTCAAAGCTGACGGCTCTGGATCACCCGTCCGAAAGACACCTATCTCTGAGTTGCTCTACATGCGTTGGTTGGAGGGCCTGCGAATCAAGTGGCCCAGCATTTTGTCGTAATTGAGCTTCAGGATTGTACTACGGACTACGTTTTGACAGAGTCTTATTGTCTTCATTGCATACAGCCCTTACATTGAGCACGTCGCGCGCGCGCTCACGCTGATTGAGTCGACCTCCTTCCATGCTGCTTTCTTGCGTTCGCTCGTTCATGAAATCTTTTCATGTTCCTCATTCTTTCACGAATTGTTGAACGACCTTCACGATCACCCTTTTCTGTACATGTAATTTAGCAAATTTCGGCTGTACACAAATGTCTCACTATGTGGCATCTTCCAAGTATTACCTGTTGTTGTACTACATCGTGTGTCTTGATGAAAGTCTTGAACGACTAGATAAAACAACGTTGAAGACTGCGAAGTCGGGGAAGTGACCTACTGCAACGCTATTCTTGCTAAGATGATTTGCTCATAAGAGCGCCACGTCAAGGCTGCCGATGCAAAGAAGACACAGCGCGCGCCAGGCAGTAACACGCTCAGTCGAAAACAAGATCCATATGATTGTGTGAATAATCCATGTTTGCCAAAATAATAAGATGTAATATAATGTAACCAAATTGTGCACGGTTGTACAATTGTAAGATAGTAATGTGCGAAGTCCATGAATGTCTCTTGCAAAAATCCGGTACACTCATGCCATGATAATTCCAACTGCAGCTGCGATAATGACTGTGATGACGCCAGAAAGTGCAAGGGACGCAGCGCTGAAGTGAGTCGCCCCGCTCTTCTGGTTGCCAAGAGGCTTATTGGAAGAGGCAGGTTTTCCAGATGACAGCGAGGACGAAGCCGGCCTGTCATATAATCAGTTGCGTCGACACTGAAGAAAAATCAGCTTACTGTTTCACAGTGGTTGCCGTCGGTTTTGCACTGGTAGTGCTGGCGCGGGCCGGGGGCTTGACGGCCAAGTCGCCTACTTTTGCTGGGATGACCTGTGATGTTGAGTTCCAGGCGTTCTGGTAGACTGAACCAGCATCTAACTGAGCAAGAGATGTCCTCGTCCAGCCGTTTGAAACCATCATCGGGTATGCGTCCATGAATGACTTGACGGATAGATCAGACAACTCGTGTTCCAAAATGACAAGTCCGGGGGTCTTTGGACCTACATGGCACAATCAGTTTCAGACACCGCAGACGATGACAGCAACATACCGGTCAACCACTGTGTCATCTGCTGTTGGATTTTCTCTGGCGTGGTCAATGGGACAGGCTCGCTCAAGGTCCAGTCATCAGTGCTAGATTGAAGTCGGTATCGGTAAAAATGAACTTATTTTCGGTAAAATCACATACTCTTGATTCCAGATGACGGTTGTGAGCCCGAACACCTCCTTTGCAACAGCCCGGACGCGCATATCGGAGTCACCGTAAGGCGGCCTCCAGTACTTAGGGATACGCCCGCCCGTCGAGTTGTGGATAAGCTCTATCGTCCATCCGAGCTCAGCGACAACCTCGAGGTTCGACTTGGTGGTCATGTATGGGTGAGTCCAAGTGTGAACGGCGATATCATCCTGGTTCGTCTCGAATGCAGTTTTGAACTGGTCGGGATACAGGAGAATGTTGGTGCCAATGAAGAAGTGCGTCACATGTTCCGAGTGACTAGCGAGGAACTGATACAGTTGATCTGATGCCTGAACGATGCGCGAAGTATCAGCTATCGTTTGAGTAACGCATTCAATAACTAGGTACGTACCGGTAGCGGGCCATCGTCAAAACTAAGGGCGATAACACCTGGCGGAGCGTCCCACACGTCACCTGGCGTAACACACTTGGCAGTCGAGGAGCAAACAATAGCGCTTGATGGGTCGTATCCAGAGGGGTATACGGGATCCAGTCCGTTGGTACTTGTAGACTGGGGAATATCGGGAATCTTGCCCGCCGCAGTGGCTGTGTTAAGAGCATCCACCCAAGCCTTGGGGAGCGTCGTAGTATCCGCAATAGCTGGGGGGAAGCCAGCGGACCAATCTGAACACGCGTGTTGAGTAAGCGGGAGTGAAGAAAATTAAATACAAAGGCTTACCTGGCGTTCCTATTGCGGGATAAATAATACCATCGCCGACTGGTCCGCGCTTGAAGAGGGCGTGTACTGGATGATCATCTTCATGATACCACCTGTTACTAGGGAGCTTGTTCTCGGTATGAGATTCATGAGCGGGGGTGACGGACGCGTAGACGGCAGTGGTGGCGAGGAGGAGGATAGTAGAGAGACGTGACATGGCGATATGTGGAAGACGAACAAAAGAGAGTAATGGTATAGTAGTGGGTATGAATAAAACGGCGAGGTGATGGAAAGAAGAAGAGAGACAGAATGAGGAAGACAAACCAAGCTGCCCATTTTATGCGGCAGGTAAAGGAATTCTGCTGGTTAGCCACCCAACAACGAATACTAACTTCCTTTTTTGGCATTTGATCTTTGCGCACGACGCTGGTCATGACGGTGTTGGCCCCAGAGTTGCTCGACAGTAGTGGACGTCTCGCGTGACCTTTGGAAACAGGCGAGCAAGGCAGTATTATTGTCCAGTAGAAAGTAAATTAACTCATCTCGAACGTTGTGATCTGCTCAGTATGCCTGCGGAGATGCCGACGAGTTTCAGTAAGTGATCACCCGATTGTCGAATTAATGTTGTAATATGATTGGTCCCCGCCAGGTCGCAAATTAAATATGTACCTACTTGCCTACGGAGGACCATGAGAATCGCTATCCACTAGAAGATGTCGACCAACCTCGACCATAAATGTGATGCAGTTTTTCTTCCAGTTGGGTTATCCCCAAGGCTATCCGACTAAACCAGTTGTATAGAACCTCATAGGACCTAGATCAATCCAGAGCACGACAGAGTCGTTCACAGAAATCTAAAGTACAATCCCTCAAGTCACAGTGAGTTAAGATGTTGGCGAGGCAGCTGCAGAAGCCTCGCTATTCCTCAAGATTAGGATACCCCCCCTCAACTGAGCGACCTCCTTCACCATCGCAGTAAACTTTGCCTTCTTCGCATCTGTAGTCAAGTAAGGCGTGAAATGTTGGATACAGTCCCGCGTTGTCGCGTTGGGCGTATTCTGTAACCACTTGACGAGCATCTTCTCCTCCAATTCGCCTTCCGGGGGTGGGCCAGTGGGAAGCGGTTTCCGTTTCTTCGGCTTCGGTGCACCATTCACTACAGCGCCCGCCGACGGTGCATTACCGCTGAGGTCGTCAGTGGCCTTGCGTTTGTTCGACGTTGGCTGTCCATTTGGCGTCGGGCTCCCTGGACCCTTAGCTAGAGGTGAAGGACTAGTTGCTCTGCTACCAGTGACAGGGCTGGTTGCCCTACTTCCAGTACCCTGACCACTAGTTACGCGACCGTTGTTCGTAGAAGTTGTCTTAACTTTCGGTGCTTTGGGACTCGTGGCGCGTTTTGCAACAACAGAATGACCACCCATACTCGCAGGCGCCGGTGAAGTAGCGCGAGAGCCAACAGCAGAACCGTTTTGAGCAGTGCTGGTAGGTGGCTGCGATGGTTTCGGAGTTGGTTGTTGGGAAGCTGATCGGGATTTAGTCTCTTGAGGTGGCTCTTGAGGAGGAATTGGTTCTTCTTCCTCTTCCTCGTCATTCTGCCGCAGTATTAGCACACATACACGGAAGTAAGGAAAAGGACACACTGAGCTCGCATACGGATTACGCTCCTCGTCGCTATCGTATGCTGCGTTCTTCTCCAGCTTGCGCATGAGTTTCTTCAAAGATTTGCCATCTTTCGTCAGCTGGCTCTCCCCATCCTCAGACTCCGACTCATCGACATAGCCTTCGCGGGTCTTGTTGGCACTTTTATACTCTCGTTTGAGGCGTTCCTGTTGTGTGAATGTCAGCGCTACAATGAGAATATCGAAGGGTTGACATACCTCTAACTCTTTGGCCTCCTCTTCGTCCATATCGGCAGGACCTGCTTCATCATCATCCGCAAACTCATCATCAAAAAGCTGTTCATCCAAGTCTCCTTCCATGTCATTCTCCTCCTTCTTTCTTCTAGGACCACCTTCGTCGTCGTCATCGCCACCACCTTGAGCCCCGCGGTTCGTTGTCCGCAGTGCCCGTCCACCCATAGCTCGACTTTGTCCAGACGAGTAGACCAAAGACGAGCTGCCAGATATGACACGATTTTCTGCCTCCGCTTTGAACATTTCTGATGTTGCTGACGAGGGTGCTTGCCCTTTTCTCCGGTGCAGCAGCCAACGTTCCGGGTCCTTATTCTTCTGAATCTTGGCCATCTGAGGGGAAGCGTCAGATTACAGCGAAGCATATGCAGTAAACAAAATACCAGAGCCTCCGCCTCCTCTAATCCAGGGACATGATGTTTAGGCTTCTTCTGGAACTTGTACCAGCGATGGGCAGGAACGAATTTGAAGAATTCTTGTGCAGCTGGCATAAAGAGAGCGTGTGTCTCGGCCCTCGCCACCTCCTCCAGTTTCCCTACCCACATCTCGTTCTGCTTTGCGTCCTCCATCACCCAGGGGTAACGCTCCTCGCGTCGCAGTTGACGGGTTGCCTCAGGCACTAAGAACACCTGCCGTGTCTTCTTCTGAAATTTCTTCCGCCCACCAGCTTTGCCTTTGTCCTTGTCCTTCGACTGAGTCTCACCATTGTCCTTTGCTATCGGCCGACCATCCGCATCAACCATGACGATGTTCCCATCCGAACCAATAACAGGCTTTCCGTCGGGCCCCAACATATGTCCCGTAGGCACTTGAGATGGACCGGCCTCCTCCCTTCTCAACTCCTTCCTGTTCAACTTTATCGGCTCCTCCCAAGTTGATATGTCTACAGTCTTTCTGGAATCAAACTTCATAACATCATACTTCCATCCATTGAGAGCAGAGGACATGAGCTTGAATTCGGAAAACTCGCCATCAGGGAGCTTAGAACTGTCATCTGCATCACCGGCAGGTGGGATAGGCTGTACGCGGGGAGTAACGGATTTGCGGGGAGATTGCTGTGACTGAGATTGCTGTGATTGGGATGGTTGAGAGCCTTGTGAAGTCGTCGACGGTGTAGAGGGCTCCTTCTTTATCGCCTTCTTCTTGTGAAATAGAAGAGATTCAGCCGATTTTGGGGGCATTGAAAAGATGGCTTGAAGACAAGTCTTGATGATGGTATCAGTTAATCAGCGCAGCAGACGACTGGGACAGCCACGAGTTAACGAGCGGAAAGGACAGAATCACCAGAGAGCATGTATACAGTTTTGTTTTCACAAGCGAGCAGCAATAACCAGTGTTGGAGAACAAGGCTCACATGCTGACATAAGGCACGGTTCGCAGCGCTAACGTCTTTCTCCTATACCTGATCATGCAGATGGATGATATGAAGGATGCTTGATAGTCATCATAACAATTGCGAGGAGAGGATAACCTAAGGAGAAGACTATGTACACTTCATGTGATCGTGAAAACTTGTCCATAAAAATGAGAACAACCATGCTAATCACAAGCTCGTAACTTAAAGAAATCGTAGGATTCAGCAGAGGGAAAGAGGCCAGGGGAGGCCAGGATAGGTCTACCAACTACATCGGCTGTACCTCTGATTTGTTCGTTGGTATGCTCGCCACACCATTGGTAGTTGGCGCTGGTGGTGCTCCTGCTGGAGCTGAAGAAAGGGTGGTAGGTGCTGTCGGATATGGATTCTCCGACGATGGTGGCCGTGGCTGAGGCGGATGGGGCGGTTGCTGATGCGTGTGCGGTGGAGGATGAGAGATCGCTCCTGGAGGTGGTGGATATGGTCCTGTAACTGGTGCGCCCTGTCCATACACCATAGCGTGGGGTGGTGCTCCTGGACCAAAAGATGGTATGCCTTGTCTCATGCTTTCCAGCTCGTGTCTCAGCATCTCGATCTCACGAACCATGTCTTGGTGACTTTGTTTCAAATTGGTAACAAAGTCGATAGCTGCATACGTTATGTCAAGGATTGCCGCGCGCGTGTAGAGACCCGGTCTGCATACCTTTGCTAAGTATTTCCCATTTACTCGCCTTCATGCCCCGATCTGCGGGTAGCTGGTCCCGCAGCTCATCAAATAGGTCTTTCATTTCTTTCCGTCGCTTTCGCTCGGCAAGCTTATGCGAAACTCGCAGCTCGGGTGAACGAGAGTAAGGTGTAGATCCCGGCTCCTTCGGCGGTTTCAGGCTAGATGACGGAGAAGGAGCCGAACAAGGCTCCTCCGCAGGTGGCGCAGGCCCTACAGCAGGAGTGACAGTCTGGCTATTTTCGCGTAATTGACGCGATGGAGGTCGGGACCGCGAACGAATATTTCTTGTCGGTCCTATTGTAGAAGTCGAGCTTTCTGGCACTGACATCCGCCTGTCTGGCGGGAATGTCATCGGGGGCATCATGGTCATCTGCATAGGTTGTGTTTCGAAAGAACGGGGGTGGTGCTGTATATTAGGATCTTGCGAACCGTCCGGGTGTTGTGCTGCAGACCACGCGAAAGTCGCCATGCTGCCTGGCGTCGAGGGTGCAGCAGGTCGACCATGTGGCTGATCGCCGGATAATGCCGAGGGGTAGCCACTAGTGGTCCCGTTTGGGAACGACGGTGGTAAGGAATCCCGTCTCTCATTCAACCACCAGTGCCCATTTCCTCCTGATACTCCTGTGCCCGCTCTTGACGCTATCGCTCCAGAATGCACTGAATGTCGCCTCTGGTCATATATGCTCAGCTGGGCTATCCTGCTCATTTCAATGGTCGATCCTCGCCGTTTTTGTGCGCGTCCTTCTGAATCGATGTTCATGGGACTAGGTACCCCAGGTCCTACCAGTTGCGAATCTGTGTCGTCACTTGTATCGGCTTCTCTGTAAGTAGATGTCTTTCGTTTCGTTCCGTGTGGCATTTGGGAATCCGAAGAATTCTGTAGATCTGTCAAAATCTGGCTTTCGAATGTGACGTCGATGACTTACAGCAATCGATTGCCTTCGTGAACTGTGATCACTGTCGTCTGCTTGTCGTGTATTAACTCTGGGCGATTGTTTCTCATTACTGCTGTCCACGTTCATGTGATCGGTGGTTTCTGACAACGTTACCACCTCTATGTTCACAAGATGCGTACAACAAATGATACTTCAAACTCACTAGTTCCCCCGTTTGGAGGAAGTGATGTCTGTAGAGGTGCAATACCCTTTGCAGGCTCCCATTCTGTAGATGGGGAACGCAATATCTTGCGCATTTGTTTACTTGAAGACTCGGAATTGTGCATTGAGCCTCCGCCATCACCGAAAGTGTAGTTGGCAGCTGGACGTGGTCCTGAGAGGATGCCGGGGCATTAGCGACGGACATGGATGATAGCACGGGAAGCAAAATCAATACCATCTATATGACGGGAAGCTGCAGACGAGTTTGCCGAGGCAGCGTGTAGAGATGGATCTGTGATAGAGCCCCTACGATGCTGTTGTAAATAATCGAGAGGGGGAAGAGAAATGAGTGGGGAATGTCTGGATACATCTTTCAGTGCAGGGGTGCCGTCGGTGTTATCCTTTGGTTGAGAAAAGAGATTGACGTGCTTGATCGTAGCAGTCGTTGTAAATGCAGGCATTATGCCTGTGTAAATAGGATGTTGAAGAGTAGTTAAGAGACGGCCTAAGGATGGTCGATGTGAATGACTTTGTGAATGTCGACGTTATAGAACTAAAACTCAGTTACCAGATACGGCGTACAGCAACGTGGGTTACGAGCACGTGGCAACGCACACCTCCAAAAAGGCTAAATTAACGAGTGAGTTTGCCAAGATTTATTCCTTTTTCAGCTTTTATGAAACCTTTCTCTGCTCACTCAGTTGGCAAGGAGGGAAAGTTTACAACACCGGTAAAATGCCTGGGTACATCGCAGGCTATCGCAGGGCTACAACACAGCAACTCTCGTAAACTATCCACCATTTCCATCAATCCTCCTCGAGCCCCTGGATTCTAGTACAAATCAGCGCCTGATGTTGATCCTCTCTTAAATCAATAGTCCGTATATGTCTCGCCTTCATACTATTCCTTGTTAATCTCCCAGACTTCACCTTCTCCATCTCATCCCACGCTAATCGCTCAAGAATATCATCCACATTAACCATGAATCTCACCCACGGTATGTAATCAAGGTACACGCTGCTCTGGGGCATGAGAGGTGCGGGTGGTTGAACGATATCCTGCAATGCGGTTAGCATCTGTGCTTGATGCTCCACGCGAGCTCGGAAGAGCCTTGTTTCCATGTCAGTATTAGAACCACTAGCCGCGGGGTTGATCGACGTTGTGATCGGAATAGCACCCAAAACCTCGTGTTTACCACGTGAAAGGTGGATGGCGTCCTGCACAATGAGCTCATCATTGTGATAGAAGGCAAGTCCATCTCTCGTGTCAGAGACGTGGGACGGCCGGATTAGTATGGCGTGTCCCAATTCATCGTCAAGCAAAGATTCAGATAGGTTGTATGACAGGGCCTCGAATGGTGAACTGTTAGAAAAGCGGCGAGAAAAATGTGCTTTGTTGCCCTCACCTCACGTCCATCTAATGGTGCCCTGCAGAGATAGCTGTCGGTATAGGAAACACAATCCGTGTAAGTGGAAACCCATCGCCACAGCTCTTCCGTCGATGTCTCAGAAACATCAGCACTGCTTTGGGCGGAAATTGTCATAGGGAGTGACGGAATGTTTTCAGCGGCCCCCTGTGCTTCTTGAGGGACCTTAGCTTCGTGGGTGGCGTCAGTACAAATCAATTGCAACTGGGTAATAGATCGCCTGAGATCCGGTGGTGGTAGTGGTTCGGTTCTGGGGTTGAGCGGCGCGTCTGGAAGATCCATACTCTGCACGATGTACGTGGTTTCGTAAAGCTGGGTTAACTTATCTCTTGGGATAGCGTATCCCTGTGTTGCACACAGGCATTGCAAAAACGTGACAGCGGGCTCGGAAGGGCAAGGTTGGAACGTTAGAACGGATTGCAAAGGAAGATCCGCGACGGGGACAAGTTTAATGTCTGTCAAGGCGAGTTTGAGTTCTGGAAAAGTCGACATGATTAGAGCACAAGTACCATTGCATGTCATGATCACGGGCCGGCGGCACTCCTTGATCAAGTCTACCACTGCCGGCCAAAAGCCAGCGTCTTCCTTGAATAATATATCGACTTCTTCAAGGAGAATGAGTGATTGCCGAGCCGTGGCAGACGGTTTCGCCGGTCCATTTGTTTTTGATGAGCCAACTCGTTCATCAACGGTTACAGGTGGTTCCACCGTGTCCTGCAGGGACTCACTGGCAGCATCCACGAGGACATGTGTGTCAACATCACTAGGATGCTCGGTATCTGAGTCTGTTGGCGAGGGTTTGGGGTTGGCTTTTCCTGTTTTAGGGAAAAACGTCGAAAGAGCAGCGCTCGCTCTTGTATCACACTGTGCAGCTGCCGTCCGGTATTTTGGCCTCGTCTGTTGGATGAGGTGATTTTTACCCACGTCTCCAACGAGGTTATCGAGGTTTGCGCCGCTGCGTCTTCCAATTCCAGGATAGACCTCGAAAACTTCCCACCCCAGCTCGTCTGCACACGCATAAACTGCTGCGCTCTTCCCACACCCTGGAGGCCCAGTTATAATAAGTGTGTTCGTTAGAGTATCGGTAAAATTAGCGTCGGAGGATTGGTAATTTGGAATGGTCGGGATATTGTCGATACCAATATCTGAAGTCGGTGGACGTTGCTCTAATAGCCGAAAATGGTCCTTTCGCTGGAGGTGGGCAAGCGTTCGCTGGCAAAAATTAAAATCATTGGCATCAGTTTCTTCCTCTGGCGCATCCAGGATCATATCGTCTTCGTCCTCGCTGCAAGCAATAAAAGCATCTAACTCGTCCTCGGAATCCAGCTTCCGTCGTTTCCTGCCTCTCTTTTTAGCCACAGCTCGAATGACACGAGGTCGCTTGGGCGCCCTGTCAGGGGGGTCAGGCTTGACCTTCCGCCTGCCTGTGACACTTGCACTACTTTTCGCGGGAGGGGAGTTTGTAGCATGCAGCCGAATTTCGAGAGCTTTGAGCCAATCTCGAATATACAACGCACGCGATTCATTCCCTAGCACTTCATCCGCTTTCCTGGGGCGGAAGCGAGTGGTCCATATTTCTTGCTGGGGCGGCCCAGAAGCTGTCCGATTGGCATAATCCTCGCCATCCAAAAATCTAGATATTGTGGGATAATATGCGGCATCACGGGGCCCGTCAATACCAATATAATCTTCACGTTCAGACTGCGAGGGGATTCGGAGAAAAATCGACTGTTGAAGAGGAGGATCTTGGTATCCCTGCGATAAAGAAGAAAGGAAACCTAAAGACACATCGTCTGTGGTATCTGGCGGATTGCGTTTGTGACGTTTCGGCGGTTCCGAACTCGGACTAAAGGTATTTTGCGGTCCACGAACATGTTGCGTCTCCTTATTTGGATATGGCGCATCCGGTGTCATATCACCTAGGAGCACCTGTCGCTTTACCGGAGGATGGACATCTCCTGGAACGTATATACGACTTGTTGGTGCAGTAGCTTGTACCAGGGATATGTTGTACCTGTTATTTGGCACGTCTATGTCCTCGATACATGATAAAACGGTGATTGATGGTGATGGGTGAAGGGAATTCATTTCTGGAGGTGACGAAGAACATTGATGAGATGACGGTGGATGTTCATCCTCAGATACTTCGATAAGAATATCTCCACCGGTGTCTCTACTCGCAGTTGTAGAATTTGAGTGAGCAGACTGCATGGGTGTTGTGGATGGGGTCCCGAAAATAGGAAACAATTTTACCGCTTGGACTGTGAAACTGAGATGATAAAGAAGAGTGCTCATATCAAATAGTGCTCACTGTGATTTTGACGGACAGAATCCCGTATAGCTCTGCGGGGTGCCTTAGGACGTGGTGGGGTTGGTTCGTCATCAATGACTATAATGTCTACTGGATGTATCGAAGATGACGCATTGGCTCCATCCAGTTCCTTCGAATCTTCTTCCGAATGTTTCGTTTCATCATCCTTCTGGAACAAATCGTGCAGAGTCTTCTGAGCGGATGCCTGCGTGCCTTCAACGTCAGGAACGGGTCACATGAATGCCACACGTACCTGCTTTGCACGCGTGCTTCGTGTAACTCTGCTTTGGCGTTTCTCAGTCATCTCATGTGAAGATCAGGGAGTTGAAGGCGTGCAAAGAGCGTGCAGGGTTTGAGTTTGAGCACCGGAAATGATCGAAAGTTCGGAAACGCGTCTGACCACGAAGATCGCGTTGCATGTGACCTCGAATACTATGAAATTACCTTTTCGAGTAACACTCAATCTTGCAATTTGTGGACTTTCACGCGATCATACTGGCACAGACTTTGAGCAGAGCCTCACAGATGGCCCTGGAGTTGGATCAAGCAGCATCGCCGAGCCTAACCCACGATATCGCAAGGTGGATATCACAAGAGTATCATGGTAACGGAATTCATTCTTAGGCTGATCTTATTGATTCTTTGGCTAAAATTTACTTAGATATGAATGGCTCATCAATTCAAACACTCGAAAGCCCTCCCACAGCAGCGGAGTTTGCACAGCTAGTCCACATATCTAGGCCTGTTGTCATCAAAGGTCCCCTCATGTCAATAGACAGCTTAGAACAGCCCGTGATATGAAGTTCAGGTTTCCAAATCCCAGCCTTGAAACGATGGACCGATGATTATTTGCAGACCAAGCTGCAAGACCAACTTATATCAGTGGCAATCACACCCAACGGGCGAGTGTTTATTTCTTTGAGCGCTTCTGTGACTGAGGGTAGAGCAGGCAAGCAGACGCTATTACAGCTGGCCCAGGGGGCAGGCACTTTTTCGTGGAGCCTTTTATCGAGAAAGTTTTGATGGAAAAACTCCTCGAGCAACTTAACGCAGGCACTTGCACACGTTTACCTCCTAAAAATTGAACACGAGCTAATCCACATTTCAAGCAGAACGAAACAGCGATAACCTCTCCGCTTCCTATCTCCAATCGCAAAATGGGAATATGTATTCCAGCCGTTTCTTTGAGTCACCGAACGACGATTCATCAGAATTTGGTGCCCTTAGGGGAGATGTTCCAAGTAACATCCCATGGGTCACCGAAGCACTAGGTTGGGAACTCAGCTAAACTGAGTCCTTTCACTTATAATATGAACACAGGCAGAAATCCTGACGCCGTAAACCTTTGGATCGGGAACAGTAAAAGCATAACCAGTATACATAGCGGTAAGTAATAACTAGGCCTTTGAATGGCGCGCACTAGACCCGTCCGCATCTCCCATGGTGGCAAGATCCGTACGAGAATATATACACTGTGATACGTGGAAGTAAACACTTCACGCTTCTACCACCTTGTGAAGGGTGGTGTCTTCAAGGTAACACGACTTGTCAATGCTATGCGAATCACAGTTATAGTTTGCCTCAGAACGGATGTATCCTCACGCAGTCTACGGTCATACCGACAATAGTAACTGTCTGAGTGTCATACCCTCTTCAGATACTCCTCAAGTTCGCTGGTCTTCGGTGATCAACCCGGACCTTCCTGGATCACTGCCTTCAGAAGCTCATCCACTGCATGTCACACTCGAAGCAGGAGATACGTTGTACCTACCAGTTGGTTGGTGGCACTACGTACAGCAATCTGGCCCAACTACCATTGCTCTTAATTGGTGGTATGACGCCGAAGTACGAGGGATGAATTGGATTTGGCTTAGCTTACTCAGGGGCAGTGGTGATGTGCCATCAGGAAATGATGAAACTGATACTCGGTGATTGGACCTAGTAGTAGTAACACATGTACACATAATTGTCACTGCAAGTCGGTAGGAAACGTTTCGCTTACAAGGGTACCATCTCAAAGTATATGTTGAATTATGAAGCGTGACAGCTTGACCTTGTGACGAATGATTATTGGTCAAGTCACGAACTTTCTTGTCTTCAGCATCCCCTTGCTACGGCGTCAGCTCTCGCAACATGCCCAAGGACAAATCAGAGAAGCGAGAGAAAAAGGAGAAGAAGCCAAAAGTTGATGATGCAGAGGCAGATGCAGATGCAGATGCAGAAGATGTAGAAATGGCTGATGTTTCGGAGGTGAGTGCCTCGCATGTTTCCAAGTGTCCTCATGTGCATATCATATTAGTCCCCAAAAAAAGCGAAGAAGGAGAAAGAAATCACCATTCCATTGGAAGATTTATCTCCTCTTGCGCAGCCATTGGCACAGAAAAAGCTTGTGAAAAAGCTGCACAAAACGATCAAAAAGGGTTCGCCTACTTATTTTTGCTTTCTGGTTCATCTGCTCATTATTTTTCAGCTTCGAAAGCACGGCAAGTTAAAAGAGGTGTAAAGGAAGTCGTTAAGGGCATTCGCAAAGGAGAAAAGGGGTACGTGCTCTTTCGTCTTCAATTGATCAAATCAATTAATTGATATCTTGTTAGATTGCTCGTGTTGGCGGCAGATATCAACCCCATAGATATAATATCTCACCTCCCAGTACTCTCAGAAGAAGCTCAGATACCATATGTCTTTGTGACGTCTAAGGAGGAGCTCGGCCATGCTAGCTCAACAAAACGACCAACAAGTTGCGTTATGATTTGCCCTGACCAGAAGCGCAAAGCCCAAAAGAAAGATGCTGAGGCAGAGAAGGACGATGACTACAGGGAGTTGTATGAAGAATGTCGAAAAGAGGTGGCAAAGCTAGACCACAAGATTGTATTCTAACTTTACCTGTGTTGGCAATCGTGTATTTTATATCTCTTTAATTATCTTGGATTCATGCATGAGAAGAGTACGCACCGTCGCACTAGGTGTCAACGTGTCTCCGGAAACCGGAGTTCGAGGCGGCAATTTGACTACATAAAATAAAAACGCTCGCCCAAGTTCACACACACACACACAACTAGGTGCAACTTGCTCTACCCACTTGGCTTGGTCTTTCCGTTCTTACGATCTCTTCCTGCTAAAATGCCCGCTCAAAAATCTAAATCGTCGGCCAGCAACGGTGCTGCTAAAATTCACAGTGCCAAAGTGACACCTGACTCTACGGTTCCCTCGTCACCCGCTTTTTCTAAAACCGACCTTAGTGGGCCTATGGTCACAGGCTCTGGAAAGCCAGACAAGGCTGCATTTGATGCAGAGCAAGAGAGAATCAGGACTGAAATCGATGGCTTGCAGACTAAACTTGTGCGCGCTTTACTCGATTCCCTACTCGGTGCGAGACTCATGATCACAACTCCACGCTTAGGCTGCCGTCCGGGCAAAAATATCTTCGACAAATAAGTCGGATACTGGAAACGACAAACGGGCAGCTCTTAAGGCTGAACTGGATAGCATACGCGGTCAACAGTCATCTAATAAGTTAAACCGAGGCAAGACACACGAGCAGCTCAAAACGATTCAAGATGGTATTCAGAAAAAGGTTCGGCTGGTATCGACCCGCATTCACTATTTCCTGACGAAATGTGCCATGCAGATAAAGGACCTGCAAGCTGCTCGTGGCAAAACACCATTCAAAACCACAGCAGATGTCGACGCTCATATCAGGTATGCCTACTCCCTTGACAGCACACTGCCCTCTACTGACGCTTCTTGTTTCTCAGCCACCTGGAAACGCAAGTGGAGTCTGGTAGTATGAAAGTTGTGGATGAAAAGCGTGCCCTTCAGGAGATCAGCCAGACTCGTCGGACGCGTAGAATGGTCGAAAAGTTCCAGGCAGACCAAGAGTCGATTGAAGCTGACCGTCAAGAAGCCGACCGACTGAAGAAGCTGCTTGATGACCCGGAGTCCAAGGAAATATCTGAGCGTTATGATACCATCAAGGCTGAACTGGATGAACTCAAAAAGGAATCTGACGAGGCGTATGCAGGCCGAAACAAGCTTTTCGAAGAACGAGACAGTATTCAAGCACAACTAAACGCTCTCTTCAATGAGAAGCGTGAGGCAGCACATCGTTTCCGCGAGGCGAATGACCGGTATTGGACCAAGGTGAACGAGGACCGCGCTCGACGTCTTGAGAAAGCTCGTGCTCAACGTGATGCAGAAGAAGCACAGAGGAAATTGGCAATCGCCGACGGTCTGCGTGAAGAAGCGTCAATGCCTGCATTCCAAACGCAGATTGAAGACTGCCAGACTCTCATTGACTTTTTCTCTGGGAAGTCCTCTGGCAATGTAGTGTCGTCATCCTCATCTGTACCAACCAAATCCGATGTTTCTGGTGTTCCGCAGTTGGAGATTCGACAGGTGGATGCAGTTGGGGAGACCATGGTGGCACTGAAAAAGAAAGATGAAGAATCGTATTTCGTTGGGAAAGGGAAGAAAGGAAGGAAAACCCCCAAAGCCACCTCTCCAGCTGATACCAGCGCCATTCATCTACCTTACGGCCAATTATCCGCTCTGCTTTCGCTATCTATACCGCCTCCGACGGACCAGGCTGATGTTCCTCGCGTTATTGAGGACCTGAAGACAAAGAAAGCCTGGTTTGAGGCTAACCAAGCTCGTCAAACAGCGGAAAACGTAGCTAAAGCCGAGGCGGAGATCCGACGTCTGACGAATGGCGCCAAGCCTAATGGCAAGCGGAGCGTGACCGTATCCCCACCGAACGGCGGTAGCGAGCCTCTAGAACCTGCTCTCACTCCTTCGGGTAGCGCAACTCCACGGATTGATGATGAGGTCGAGGAGAAGCTTGAGGAGGTTCAGGTTAATGACGCTGAGGAGAACTAGGCACAGACTGAATCGGAGCATCTTTTATACCTCACACTTATACTACCAGATCGCCTCTACTTATATCTGCAAATTATGTCCGGAGCGGGAAGGAATCAGTATTATTCAACAGAATGAAGACCTATACAATAAAAGTACGAGAAGAGGAAGAGACGGAGCAAAAGTGGCAATACAGATAGGACACTGACAAGGTATGAATAAATGACGGAACAGAACATATACAATCACTGGAGATACTATCTTTGACCGAGTGGTATAATTTTCAATCGAGCTTCGGGGACTAAGGCCCAGCCTCCGTCTTGACGGACTCAGTCTCGCGATCTTGCTCGCCATTAGTACCTGAAGAGGTATTCATGCCCAAATCTTGCGTCGCAAATGACGCAACGTCGAACGAGTTCCCGGGTGCATAGTCAGAGAATGAAAGGCCTGACTGGTGGACGGGAGGAATAGAATCATCCGGCTGAACTGAAGTATCCATATAATTCAAACCTCCATATGCATCTGCATTAAATCCAGAAGATGATGCGTCCAGCGCGCCGGTCGGGAATGGGTCCTGCTGTAAAGCTGCGAGCATGCTGGAGGTGGTCGGGGTATGGTTCATGACGTGTTGAGCGGAACGCGTTTCCATGGTGTTAAAACTTTCCTGGCCGGCCATGGGAGATAATGAAAAGAACTGTTGCTGCATGACTGGTTCAACGGATGCGGCCACGGAGTTGGTGGAAAGTGCCACGCTGCGCAGGACGTTCACCGCAATCCAATCACTAGGTGAAACGTTAACGACATCTCACGAAAGGAAAATAGATGGACTTACTCTAAGAACAGCTTCATGATCTGAAAGGCTCCGAAGGCTGGGTCGCTGCGAATGGTCTAGTGGCTATTGGTGAACGGAAGAAGAATGATCAGGGGAGCTCTTACCAAATCTCTCATGACCTGACTGGTCACGTAGCCCCAGCGGATCAAGACACTTCGGGAACTCATGGTGCCTCGATCATCACCAGTTCCTATCCGCTGTCCCATGAGCCTCTCACAACATTTGTCAGCCCAAGCCATGACCTCCCTAACCGGTTCTGGAGTCTTTGCCAAGCTGTCCATCATGCCCACGAAATCGACTTCTAGAAGCTGAACAAGCTCCTCGTGACGACAATTGCAAACAAGAGCAGACTGATTGCGGACAGATTCAAAGTCCACTTTCTGCCAGGAACGGCGCATCTCGGAAAGCTGCTTCTGGTTCGTCAATACGGTATTGAGGGCTTGGGTAACTTGGTATATGTCCAAGAAGCGCACTGCAGTAATATGAGCCAAGCCAGTAAAAGTGCCGAGAAAGTCACATACAAACAAGATGGCCAAACCGCGCTCCAAGTTCGACCTTAGGCTCAACAAAAGTGTTGCCATATCCCTCCAGCGCAACAAGCAGGATCTTCTCCATTTTGCTTGCCAACGTCCTAAGACTAGTCATAGCAGCAGGAGCGATCGGAGAAAGCATTTGGGACCTTAAAAACTCAAGTATTTCCTGTCGAAAAGGTCAATGAGACATGCCAGACAAGGCAACATCCCGGACGTACATCGTATAGAATTGCGTCGGCTTTGGCCATTAGACCAGCGATAGCGGGGGCATGCACTACTTCTCGATGAGTCCCACTCAAGCTGGACCAGAAACTTCGGAGGTGCATCTCGAATTGGTCGAACCTGAAAGCACGAGCGCTCTCGAGGACGGCATCGAGATGGTCTTGGAACCATCCCCACACCTCACGAGCAGCGATGCTCTGCGGAGATGCAGAGTTAGATCCTATCGCCTCTTCGATGGACGGGAAATGTGGCATATGGCGGACCGACATATGCTGCTGCGATGGTACGAAAGATGCTCCAGTGCCAGGTCCAAGCGACATGGTAGATTGTGCAGTGAGGTTTGGATCCGATTGGCTGACATGTCGACGGATAGAAGCATGGCTTGGATATGTGTTGCTTCTCGCAACAGCTTGTGCCTGAGAGAGCAAGCTATTAGCAGTAGGTGTTTTGTCACTGATGTCTCCATAAGTGAGACCAGTAGCCTTGAGGTCTCCAGAAAGGGTCAACGAGTTTCTCTTCGATGCACTGGATCCCTCGGAATCTTCATCTTCATCTTCGTCGGACCGTTCTTCGCCTTTATTTGGATTGTCGGAAGATTCTTGCGCGGCACGAGCGGCGTTGATGGAATGCTGGCCAGCACTATTGTTTGATTTCCGGATGTAATCCTGAAGCCATTCGGCTTCAGCCGAAGTAGCGGGACGAATGCCGCAATCTGGCCGAACGTGGCGTCAATCAGAATTCTTCCGATCACCATCAGATGTGGCACTGAAGCAGTGTACGCACAATGATATTTGCTATTTCCGCGAACACCCAAGCGCCGTGTCTTGATAGTAGGAAAACACAGACGAATAGCCTTTCCTAGTGTAGCCGTATTAATGTGAGGAATCCCGTACTGATCGCACACTCGTCTGTACGAAAAGTAAAGACCCTGGCGGGGTACATTGCCATCTGGATAAGGCGCGTAATTTGCTGTCAACCTTTGGGCGCAGTAAAATGATGAGAAGATGGGTATGTGAGTAAAAAGCACAGCATGAACTCACCAAGCCTGAACAAAAATTTGTTTAGCTCTATCAGATGCACTGGTTGTTGTTGCGACGCGGACATTGGCAGCGAGCTTTTCCAATTGATGATCAGGACCCAAAGACATCCTGCCAAAAGCGCCAGCGGTGTGGATAGTTTCTTGATTAGAGGGCAAGGTAGAGCCATGCCCATACATGCTAGGGTAGTCTGAGGGATTTCCAAGGAACATGGAAATGTCGTCTGTTTCACTGGATGAAGAGTGGACACTTTCTGAATCACGGGGGTACGGAGAAGCAGCAGCCCGGGCTCTGAGATGAGTTTGACGGATATGGCCTTTAAGCGCAGGATTAGTAATATTAGTGTTTGGAGGAGATTGACCAGGGGGAGTCATGTCGGAGGGAGGAAGTGAGAAGGAGGTGTGGCGGGTCTGATCAGCGCTCATATAAGAGAGTCGGTAGTGATCGTCCAATGAGGTAGGTAAACCTGATGACATTCTTGACATACCGCCTTGAGAAGAATGAGGACGAGAATTAGGCGAATGAGTAGAGGATGAAGAGACAGAATTTGATCTTGAATGTGGGTGATTGAGTGGTAGAAAGTCGAAAGGGATACTTGAAGACATAGTCTGCAAGTTGACGGCAGCCATATAGATATATATGAGAGTTGCTGATGAAAGGGAATAAATGAAAGTGGATGCCGATGTAGTGATCAAGGCAAATATAGTCGGTCCAGCCGTCGATTTTGAATGAACGACAAGAGATTTGGTTTTGTGAGACAGAAGCCGCCGCTGACTGGCAGATGGTAAGGCAGAAAAGAGAAGATTTTTAGTCGATGGGTGAGTATCTGCTCTAGTGCAAAACGAAATAGCAGACTCAAAAGGACTCTAGTCTTGAGCTAGGCCAATATGAATGATAGAGAGGGAGAGCAAGTAAGCAAAAAAGATAGATTTTGCCTCCTCGAAAGACGCAGTAATAGGTTTGCAGGAACGCTGACGAGATCTTCTAGGAACTACTACAGAAATGTGGTCGGTGGTCAAGGCAACAACGCCGTTTTAGAACGGGTTAAGAATCAACAAAACTGATCAAGTAAACACAAATAATAATCCGAATCTCCTCTACACCGCCGCCGCGCACTTCCCACACCGCCATACCGAAAAAAATAATAATCCTCCTACATCGTATCAAAACTGATCATCAATCATACGGACACCCCGGCCTCACCCCTTTTAAATATCTTCCCCTCCCATATACATATACTTCTTGAACCGCTTTCGGAGCTTTTTCTCCCGCGGCTTCCCCAGCTCGCAGGCTAGATCTAACCATGACGGTATCGTAAGATCACGCAGTTCATACGGTGCAAGCTCTGATTCCGTTACCCCTGCTTCGCGGAGCGACTTGGGTAAATTTCTCAGCGGTACGGGTCCCTCCGTGAGGTGCAGGCTCGAAATCGGGAACGTTAAGTATTCCAGCTTAAACTTTGGTCCGTCTTTCTCATCATATTCCTCAAGTTGAGGTATGTAATACTAATTTCCTTATTAACTCCAAATGAAACAAAACTCGTAGAAACATGACACACCTGCGCATATCCCAAAGGTGTCCACAACGTATTTTGCCGCGACGGAGCGTGGCTGTCAGAGCGCCAGGGACGAAGCTTGCACCTCCACGAGTCCCGATATCCCGCACCCATGCATTGGCGGCCATCGTTCCCATCATTACCATGACGATACGGTAAATGCTTCCATCGGGAGGCTCGTTCCTTCTTTGTCATCAGGAGATACTCGTCTTCACCGACGGCACCCACAGTCGTCGATCCCAGCCCCGAGATGTTGTAGCTGAACACTCTGAAGCTGGGCAAATATGGATTGGGCACCAATGATGGGCTGACCGTGACTACTGCATAGTCGTCATAATTCAAATGCTTTGACCCCTTCGCCAGGGCTTTAAAGTTGGTCATCAATGCTTCAAAGATTGTACCCTCGGAACTATGAGGCACCATCCCGTCCTTTTCAGGGCTGATATTGAGATCGGCGGCCTCGACAAAGTAGAACTACAGCCGAGTCTCGATTAGAGTCAATTAAATAAAGGGAGCCACTTACGTGATCAACATTCAAGTGCTAGACAAGCACTGTCAACCCTTTGTTCGGCGACATACTTTGAAACATTACTCACACCAAATAAACTGCCTAAAATGACATCTTGATATCTCAGGCTCAGCTCCGCGTATCGGTAGTACTGAACCATACGTCAATCACCCGTGCATGCACAGCCCACTGAAGCACTTACACACTCGGGAAAGTAGTGATAGTCAGACGGGGGAATATGTCCTGAAAATTCGGCATCAAGACAGGTATGACGTTTACAACAAAGGCATACCAGTAACCCACACCTGTCAAATCGACGCCATGTTATTTTATCACCTAAAAAGTGCCAATGCGTCATACCTGCATCTGCCGAGCCCGAAACATTTCAAGCTGTTCTTCCAGCCAGTCAAACTGCAAGTTACCGGGGTCGCTAGCATCACCGACTAGACACCCTCTCACAGCTGTCAATTTTACATGTCAAAGAGCATATTAGGCGGGTCAGGTATCAGGGACCTGACCTTTGTTATTATGGTAGAAATACATTGTGTTCAGACTAATCGCCGCAAGTGCATCGGGTATCACTTCTAGTGCATAATATGCGCCGTCTCGGAAGGAGGTCTTGAACCCTGACGGAATAAATGCATCCCATATGCTGTCCAATACATCTCAGCGAATGAAACGAGACATCAAAGAGTACGAACGACGCAAACTCATCCGTTATTTCATTAGGACCTTAACCGACGTCAGCCGAGAGTCAAATCCGTCAACACCGGTGGCACTCACCTGGAGATAAAGTATTCTGTAGTAGTGGATGTTAGAAAGACAAAGGGATCGTCAAGATAGAAACCACTCGCGTGCGCTGCCAAGCCGACGACAACTCTGAGACATTCACCACAAAAAACTCAAATATAAGCACTCACGCCAAACATCATTATTTCCTATTCATGGACAGCAGCATCGATGAATATGCAATCTCGGGACTACCGCGCAAAGAACCCACCCAAACTTGGAACAACCGGTATTCCTTTCTTGAGGAATACATCTTCCATCTTCTTTGCAACGGCGCGATTAAGAGCAAATACTTCGTCAAGTGGTCGAGGTATCTCATGGTCCTCGTCATGTCTGGATGATCTGTTGTCAAAAGGGACTCCAGGTGACTACCGAGACTCTACCTAGCGTTATCACCGGTCCCTATGACACCTCAAGTTCAGCGCGGGAAAGGAAATTTCAAACGATGAGCACGCGTACATATAACAAAGTCTATCTCAGAGCTCCAATGCTCCTCTAGATGTTCGAACGTGATATTCGTCAATGACCAAGGCGAGTCACAGGTGCTGCAGAAGCATGTTCGAGTTGGGATATGCGACTAAAGGAAAAACTTTGACTGACCCGAAGGGTGTCCCATAATATCCTGCCCGCTGATCATTATCTGACGGTTCCTTTCGATGGCATTGGGACGACTGAGAAGTACCCTCTGCATAGTATGGGTCGGGATGAATATCGGTGATGTGCAGGAAACGTCCATGAAGTTTTCGATCGGATGTACTCGGAGCCGCGTGCAAGACAACTTGAGGCGGCGCGGCCAGGGCCTGCCCACACCAAAGGCCTGCTAACCACAGGGTACGTTTCTTCATATTTTAGGGAACCAGAATCGCTCAATCGTCGAGCTTTAAAAAATGCAAGGCATATACGTGGTGATTCTCGGATCAACTTGAACAATTGACGTTGACTTGCGTTAGACGCGAATTAGATGCGAATTACATCAATCGTTCGATATTCATTGGCTAGCGAGTACGTTGTGTGGCGACAATGAGTCACACTTATTAAGTACGCGTGGTAACAATGTCATCGAGGACTCGCACCTTCAGCGTAGCTCAACGATATTAATGACACAACGTTTTAGATATGGGTGCACTGAGAATAAATATGCCACGTGCTTGAGCGCTTGAACTTTGAATAGTGACTCAGTACTCGAGTTCCATGACCTACTAGTACACTTAAGTGTGAGAGCACTACCTACCATGGACCGTGACCCACATCATCAATCAGAAATCACACTGCATGTCGGGTGCTTGCAATTAATATGTTGACGATTCCGTAGAGTACTAATCATCCACCTATCTATCAAAATACAAAGGTAAAAGCCTAATGTCTACAGTAATTTTGCGTTCCAAAGAATGTTGCTGTGATGATACTACATGGTGCATATTTACACCGCAATGATGGCGACAAAGAATGAATGAATGCCCATACCCAAACGTCTACGTGGGTGAGACGAGTTAAACTTTTATTCCCGAAGTAGTATGGGTCATATCCACAGTCATGGGGGAGGGAGCAGTGTTGGGCCTGTGCCAGGCGAGCAATATCCTCGCATTGTCTTCTGTGTTAAGAACACTGCGGATAGACTGCTCTGCAAAATGACAAGTCTTATGACCAGTTCAAACTTCAGCGAGCGAACGATGAAACGAGAAGAAACACCATACCCTGCTGTATCCCCCGGCTTTTAGTGTTTGACGAGATCTTGAGATTGAATTATGGATAGAGTCGTATGCGTGTCGACGTCTGTGTCGGTGTTAGCACTGCTGTGGCCGATATCACACGTGGAAATACATACAGGACTCGTTCGAGCTCGCTCGGAAAACGAGGGGGGATGAAGAGATCCTCTCCAGATAAATAACGGTCGAACGCGTGATAAGAAGCACAATGGGCGACAAGAGACTCGTCAAATGAAGGACGACTGATGTCCCAGTCTAACCAGTCCTCGCTGGAATTTCAAGTCAAAAGGTGGACTTTGTGACGATGCAATACCGCGTACCTGAGCTTGGAGTGTGCCATTGCTTCTGTGCTGTGTGGGGCAAGAAAGTTATCCATGGCCGTAATCTCTGGACGGGAATCAGGCCGATGTTGGACAACGAGGAAGGAGTCGGATAGCTCCTGACGCACCCACGTAGCACCGACTATGTACTTATAGGGGTTAAACTGCCTCCTCAGGATGACACCATAATTATTTTTTTTTACCCGAAACACTTAATTATTATGTAACTGATATCGCCTGATTTGTTTATCGTTATCATACACTGCATGTTAAGGCTTGGCAATAGAAGGATGGCCGCATCATGCGCTTGTGCACTGCAGTACACAGGCTTTCTTCTGCATCAAAAACAGCTTTAATGTTCTACTAGTACTAGCACTGGTTCGGTCTGCCTTCTGGTTTTTCTCCTTCAAAGAATTTACTTTTGAAATAATAATTTTCTATACGAATAAGACTAGATAGCTAGGTTCATGTTTCGGTTCCGAAGACGACGCAATATCAAACGCCGAGCCGAATGATGTCGATGAAGTTGTGCAACCGGACCCTCCCGGATCTTGTGACAGTCTTGGTGAAAGGCTGTCCTTTGGATTCTTGGAAGTGTCTGGCATGAATACCGAATCCCCTGGCGCACCTCTACTTTTCGCGCCTCCCGATGCTAGAACCTCGCGTTGCGTTGCGTTCCTCACGAATGTCAATAAGAAATACGGACTTGCGCTAGATTCGTACTTTGACCTCTACCAATGGTCTATCGGCCACATCGATTCATTCTGGGACACTGTATGGGATGAAGTCGCTATCGTCGGCTATAAAGGGCAAGGTGTCGTCGATAATAATGCTCTCCCAGCAGCAAACCCACCATGGTTCAGCGAAGCGAGGATCAACTGGGCTGAGAACATGCTGACATGTCGTTCGCCAGATAAATTCGCGCTTATACAAGCAAGTACGTTGATACAGCCATATTCGTTGATTTACGCGATAATCATGACCGATTAGCTGAGCCCACCCCCGAGTGTCCGAATCCTCCTCATCGGCGTGTCACATATGCCGACCTTTACGCGATGGTTGCTGACCTGGTTTCAGCGTTGCTAACGCTCGATTTGAAGCCCGGGGATCGAGTAGCTTCGTACTCCTCGAATTGTATTGTACGTCACTGCCAGCTAAAGGTACACTGCCTACTCTTAACTTTACGCCCTCTGTCAGGAAAATGTCATCGCCTGTCTAGCTGCCACCGCCATAGGTAGACCATTTCTGCCACTGCTGCTTTTTGCTGACCTTTGTAGGGTGCATCTGGGTCAGTGCAGCAGCAGACTTCGGGACTCAGGGAGTATTAGAGCGGTGCGCGAATTTATCGAAATGCTGTCGCACACACTTGATAATTTGTAGATTTGAGCAAGTACAGCCTCGAGTGATTTTTGCGGTCGATGCCGTCGTGTACGTCGCTCCCCTGGTAAATTAGGGTTTTGTGGTTCAAGTCATGCAGGTACAACGGAAAAGTACACCATCATCTGCCAAAGCTACAATCTCTTCTTTCTGGACTCTCCGAGCGATGCTCGCTGAACCCAGTCGTGATCGTCATTCAGTCAGCAAGGAACGCATCCGCGTGGGACGACACCAACTGGGTCTCATGGGACTCCTTCATTTCGAAGGGCAAGTCCAGCTGTTTGGGCCGCACTGCAGAAGGAGAAATCGAGTGGTGTCGTCAAAGCTTCGATTGGCCGCTGTGGATACTTTTTAGTTCGGGCACAACAGGTGTGTAGCCCTACATACCCGTATTCTAACGCAGTAACACTGAACTCTGTTGGTTCCCGCAGGTCGCCCCAAGTATGTTACTGTAGTCAGCAAACCTGTTAAATCATGCTGATTTTTGCAGACCAATTGTGCACCGGGCTGGTGGAATGTTGTTACAAGCGAAGAAAGAATTTGTAATCTGTGCAGACCTCCGCCCTGAAGACGTCTTTTTCTATTATACCACGACGTAAGTTGTTCGTTTCACTCCCAAACCGTCTGCATATTAACTTGTTGTGTTGTAGAGGATGGATGATGTGGAATTTCCTAGTAAGCGGTCTCAGCATCGGATGTGCGCTAGTACTCTACGATGGGAGTCCTCTGAGGGACCCCTCTTATCTGTGGCATCTTGTGGATGAACTGCAAATATCCATTTTCGGAACGAGTGCGAAATACCTTGATCAGTTATCGGTGAGCAGCCACCCTAACTATGGCAATTATTGAATACCAATGCTTGAATGGCAACAGCGGATAGGCTACAGGCCTCGTGACCATCACGACCTGACTTGCTTGAGGCATATTTACTCGACTGGTTCGCCATTGGCCCATGCGCTCTTCGACTACGTGTATGAACGTATTCACCCCAACGTACTTCTCGCGTCTATAACAGGTATGATCTACAAAGTTATTTTTGTCATGCGCCATGAACTGTTCTTTCAGGAGGCACGGACATCTGCTCACTCTTTGCCGGGATGTGTTCTGCGCTGCCGGTACATCGTGGGGAAATCCAATGTCGTATGCTGGGAATGGCAATCGAAACCTTTACTCATGACGGGCACAATTGTCAAGCTGGCGAGGCTGGCGAGTTGGTATGCGTTAGACCATTTCCATGTATGCCCATCGGATTTTGGCCCCTAGCTGGTTTCGGGACGGACGAGAGTGTCAAGGCTGCAGCAAAGAGATTTCGTCTATCCTATTTCGCTGAATACAAGGACGTGTGGTGTACGCGCCCCGGATCATGAGATTGCGCCTCCCCTTACTAACTTGATTTGGATTAGATCACGGAGACCACGTGCTGATCACACCTTCTCAGCATGGAAATGGAGGTGGACTCATCATGCTAGGAAGAAGTGATGGGGTCCTGTGAGTATACTACTTTCACACTCCTTTCGTTCTGATCATTTCATAGAAATCCTGGAGGGATCCGATTCGGATCGTCTGAAATATACAACGTCCTTGAAATGTGCTTCTCGTTTTCTGAAGAACGGAACGCGAACGACACAATTGAGGATGCATTGGTTGTGGCGCAGTCCATTGAAGGCGGCACAGATGAGCGCGTGATCCTATTCGTCAAGCTTTATGGCAAGCGGACGCTATCAATAGAAATGGAGCAGAAGATTAGATCGGAAATAAGATCACGACGGAGCCCACGCCATGTTCCTGCTCGAGTGTGTTCCATTTTTATCAGTCCCCCGGAACGTTGACTGACTATCCGCGGGGGGTTAATAGATAATCCAAGTCGACGATATCCCATATACCTTGAACGGGAAGCGCGTAGAGATTCCAGTTAAAAAGGTATGCTCTTATGATTTGATGAAGGATTCGTGGTAATGAAAATTGGCCAGATCATCAATGGAGCCCAAATTTCGAGTGTGAATTCTGCTACACTGCGAAATCCTGAATGTCTGGCTCAGTTTGCAAGTATCGGAGAGATGCTCCGAAATGAGATATCGATAGCGATGAAACGTTGATTTTGACATGTTTGTACGTTGTTTGTAGGGTAGAAAAGGAAAATTCACTTGCGGGCGTTTCTACTTACTCTGTCAAGTGATCTGCCTCGAGGCGTTTACGCGGATTAGTACCTGTCTTCCACAATATTGCTTAGAAGGCCGAAATTTTTCAGTCGTTAAAAGAATGCCTGACTTTCCTGCTGCGTTTGAGCGGACGCACGACTCGTGTTTCCCCCGGATTCCTGATCGTTGAGGTCTGCCACGCCTTGAATTGCACGGTACACGCCACGCCGTCACAAGTTAGATTTACGAGAATCAAACGCCCCTCCACCTCGTGTACGCATACTTTCCGTACTATATCATGAGGCCCGCACGTCCACTTCCCCTGAATTGCCAACATCAATCCACCCGCCAGCAGCTGCATAACCAGCCTCCTCAGCATCACTATACTCGGGAACGCCAAACGTCCCGTCACAAGCGACTCCCTACACTCTCTACTATCTCAAGAATATTCACGGGGAAAGCGATGCCATCAAAATTTAACATCTTTAGGACTTGTATTTACGGTTAGCACTCATATTCATGGGGTCTATTACGGCCTTGCTCACTAGATGACAGGCGTAGTCTTTATTTGGACAGTGATCTGCCTGGCTATTGCAGCTCACTTCCAGAGTCTACTGGTCATCACAGATCTCAGTAAGTTTGCTGCATATTTCCATAGATCGTAACTTACGCGAAGGCAGCTCGTTTCGTTCCTTTCACCATTTTCGTATGTAGTGTCAGCATGCTCATTCTCATCATTTTGTGAGTTGATGTAAAGTTCACACGGCGCATCGGCACTGACTGGGATCACAGGCTTGGATGTAGCATGGTTCGAACCAGCAATCCGATCTCCACGAGAATCGAACTCGGATGCCTCGGACTGCTTGGGACTTTCTGGCTTGGTACGCGAATCACGGGCTTAATAGCGGTTGGACGCTGATTGACCGGTCCAGCTTTGGGTGCCTTCCTAGCAAGCTCTGACTCGGAGAACGCCAACGTAGAATGCTATTCATCCGATGCAGAGACCTCTCCCATCGATGTTCCTGGGTGTAAGTTACAAGTGTATGTCCGTTCATAGGGAAGTCTAACATTCGTCCCCAAGTCTCTACAGAGACATACCAGGCTCAGTACCGGGTTCTGGAGGCATTCTCGCTTTTCAATCTTATTCTCAGTAAGTGAATTGAATCCATGTCTTGGAGCATATCTCGAGCTACCACAGTATTGGCGTTTTTGTTGTTCTTGCTGGCGCTCGCGGTAAAGCATCATTTCCGCGTCAACCGCAATGTGTGGTACATTGCGGTCACTGAATACCCGTGGTTTGGAAAGACTATGTCCAAGTTACCAGCGCCCGTTAGCAGTCGGTCACGATCAAGAGGCAAGACCTACGATGAGAAAGCCTCAGCGCCCTGGGAGAATGAGACAAGACGCGGGGACTCACGTTACCCCGGATGGTCAGCTCAAGTCCCGGCGCCGGCACGCGCGTCGGACAAGTATAAGAGGGATGCGTCACCCAGGCGGTGACCGCTGTATACGTTTCACAATTGGGTTTTATTGGCATAGACTGTCATGATCTGCGTTTACTTGGGAAAACTAATAAATACAGTTTGTACTATAGCACGGGACTGTCAATATCATGATATTCTCTTGAATGATTTTTAATAGCGTTGCCTGACAACGCATCCGTCTTGCGGGCCGGAAGTAGCCTACAAGTGACGGGTTTGTGCGGAGTGCACTTTCACCACTCATGGCGACTAATCTCTATGTAATTGACAATCGACACACTCCGTTTTTGCCTGCAGGGCCATGTTGTTGTCGCGTTTGAGCGCCTGAAGGATGCCATGAGGCACTCCAATTGTTGGTTATAGGCAGCTATATTGATAGCCAAATATAGCATTCAATCATCGAATTCATCCGAATCATCCTTCAACCAACGTTTATATCATATACATATTGCACTGTGCTCAGTTACCTTCTCCTTCTTTCCTCATTGTTTCGACACGACATACCTTCAATTCACGTAACTACCACCTTATACCTGAAACCTAACGAGGTTTTTCAGTCATGACTGTCATGTTTGTGACCATGAGGCGCATTGGATATAGTATGTCGCTCATGCACAATCCACGACCCTAATTGATTGATCAATCGATACTATCCAGTAACTGCGTTTCTACTCTCTGCGGCTGTCCTCGGATTGTCGGCCAACTTCGCAAGATTATTCCTCCCGCATATCAATCGTATGTATTGCCACATTTTTATCGGTTATATGGACGCCTCAATCGTCTTATAGGTGATTTCGTTATCTTTGCCCTGATTCCACCATCAGCCACCATCTTCGCATTTCTATGGATGTGAGTTGGACCCACTACTGATCCGCCTTAATTAGCTTATGCATTTACAGAATGCAGTTCTCGCAGCCGATAGTGGAGGTGACGCTCCACTTCATCGTCGGTGTATTGTGGCTAGGTAAGCTGGCAGTGCTACCCTTTACCCTTCTTTCTCCGACTAACTTTATCGGTTCGAATCAACAGCATTGGGTGCATGGTCTGCGTAAGTGCATAGTTTCTTGATGCATGAACGGTTATGAACTCCACGCTCAAGGGATGTGATCGGATATCAGCAATGCTACCCACTCCAAACACAGCAGCCTACAACCAAAGGAAGTAGTAAGTGATCAATGCGACATTTCTGCACGTATCAAAGCTCAACGCTCACATAACACTAGTCTCTTCGCGATCATATTGCTACCAAATGAAGGTCACTGAAGCCCTATCGTGGACTCTATTCGTGTTATGTGTGCTCCACTTCCTACGTTCATAGTGCATATACTGAAGCCTTCCATCGCAGTTGTATTCTTCTTCACTATCCTGATCACGCTTACGTCGCGTGCGGTCGTTTGTGGCCGGTACTATGCATGGCGGGAACATATCTCGCAGCTAGGCTGGTTTGGAGAATTTCCAGGATACCCCACTGAAGCCATATACCCGCGAACCCCAATGTATGGAGGATACGGTCAGCCATATCCAATGATGGGAGCATACCATGTTCAACAGATGCCTGGTCACTCCGTCGTGGTTCAGCCAGGTGTTAATGGTGGCCAGCCTATGGTCACTCACATGCCGGCCTAGGTGTTAACATTGGAAATCATACATACTTCTATGTATGCCTGCAGATTCGACGTGTTGGAACGAGAGCCCACGATATTTTCTGATTGTACTTTTATTGTACTTAGAGTACTTGGCACACACGATTTGCCAATGTCGGCTGGTCCCGGAACTATTACGTAGAACAATTGATGGAGAATGAAATGTGTACCTCGTGTCCGAACCAGAAGGGTAATCCAGGGTAATTCGGCCTCATGGGCTTCTGCTGGTCGAAAATACAAGGAGCATCTGGTCATTGATTCCCACCCACCCATTTTCCACTTCTTTCTTACTTCTATCGTCACGAAATGGCTCTGTTTACAGACCACCCGGTCAGGCATGTTCTCAAAGGTGCGTGCATGAGCCTTCATGATATGCGAATGGTATACTTAGCGTGATCTGCAGGCATTTTTGCTCTGGTGATGGGCCATGTGATCATGAAATTTTTGCCCCACTCGGTTCGCAAGTATCGTTGTATTTTGGGCGCTTAGAGTAGTATTTTAACGAATGATCGTTTACAGAGGTTATTCATCTGACCCAAACATCAGTGACGATCTTAGCGATCGGGGCACTTATCGTATTGTATGCCAATATCGGATTTATCTCCAGCAGCAAGCTGATCTGAAGACAGGGTAGTGAAACACCACCGAACCGGAGGGGAAAACAGAGTCCTGTCGCAAGGACAGGAGGAGTTAATCTTGATTGCAGCGTTTGGGGCATTCTGGCTCGGTGAGCTTATCCCATTCAATATGATGAGATAATAATTCAGAGGTCTTTCGTCTTAGCCTTCCTCTTGGCTATGCGCGCGTGGAACCAAGGTAGTGTCGACATCGACTTGGCACACCCAAGCCACATGTTCCAGTCGAGCACTGGTGCTGCTCAAAGCAATGTTGTCGGTGCTGACAGTCGAGGCGTTGCGGCAGCAGCGGCTAGGCAACCTGCAGTAGCGTCTGAACGGCTCCAAGGCGCGGCAAGTTATGTCCGACAACAATATAAGCCTCAAGCTGGATTCCGTAAACCATACCCATGCGACCCGAATGATGCTTATTGTGTTGTCGAGGAGTGGACCTTTTACTGAGTATGTACATCGATCCTGGTATTTGTCGGTTTGTATGGATTGCGGATGTAACGGGGCGTCTTGAGTGTGACGAGGTTGTAACACTAATCTTCGAGTGTATATCTTGTTTTCTACGGCGGCGTTGTTGTAGAGTCTACTCCAGGGGAGTATCAATTGGAATATAATGACAGTTAATGACCATGACCCGGCTTTTCTCGGTACTTGAAATGAATATCTCCGACACCACGGTATTAGACGTACCACTAGATTAGCCTTATATTGCATCCAGTCGCCAGCGATTGTCACGGTCCAAGTGACTTCAGTCTTTGCGTCTTCCACAAACCCATACATCTTGTATTCTAGTAAACATGATAAGTCTGTTCTTCAGAAAGCTGCGTTTCAAACTTATTTGGTTTCATTCTAGACACACCTCAACAAAGCGCCGTATCGAGACAGATGTCATGAAACTGTAAAGACCACCTGCCTCAAGGTGACTCGCACCCTCACTGATGTAACGATTCACAATCCAGGCTCATGTCGGATTACGAGGTAACCCTCGTCAACGACAACATGCGCGAGTTCTACGTCCGCTTCTATGGTCCGGGAGAAAGTACGTTTCCTAATCACTCTTCCGTGCACGTCGGATTAATCAGCACCAGCACCCTTCGCGGGTGGTATATGGAAGATTCATGTAGAGTTGCAAGCGGAGTATCCATACAAGTCGCCAAGCATAGGCTTTATGAACAAGATCTTTCATCCCAACATAGATGAGTTGTCAGTGGCTATCGCGATGCTTCCCGAAATGTCGATTTATACGTTCCCTTTACAGGAGTGGCTCCGTATGTCTGGACGTTATTAATCAGACGTGGTCGCCAATGTTCGGTATGCGGTGCGGTTGACGCACGTCCGGTTATGTCGCTGATCTGTCCCCTTTTCATAGATATGATCAACATTTTCGAGGTGTTCTTGCCACAACTGCTGCGGTACCCTAATCCTAACGATCCACTAAACGGAGAAGCTGCTGCGCTCATGATGCGACACCCAAAGGAATACGAGGCAAAGGTCAAGGGTAAGATTATTTCCGCCTATCGTCGCCAAGAATATAACGCCCATTCCTGCTCAGAGTACGTACAACGTTTCGCAACAAAGGATATTATGGATGCCGCAGAAGACGGCAATGAAGACGAAGCAGACGAGGAGATGAGTGACATCGGCAGCATCAGTGAGGATGAAGAGCAAGAATCCTGATACCTCTTTCGCCGGCATGCCTTTCTCCCGCATTTTTCATCACTGGGTTTCTGCACATCACTCAGTTTCCACACATCACTCATATCATTTTACATAACATATCCATTCTGTACTTCACCTAACCTTGCTCAATTCTGTCTTGTTATCTGCCATCATCATTCAATTCGTCCTTTCGCGGGGATACCCTCTTCGCTCGTCTTTTTGATATTTGATGACCTCTATCCCTATCACCTCTGGACAATGGTTGGAAACATCTCATCCCTTTTGCCGTGTTGTATAATTAGGGATTGTGTAGTGCCAACTTCACTGTGTGTCATAATGTATTTTGCTTAGACAACCGCGGGACTGATGAGAGGTATTCGGTAACTCGGGAGTGGATTCGGCAAGCAATATTCAAGTAGGAGCGGGAGTCGTTGCTGTAGATGGTGGGAGCGCCGGTACGAGTTCATCGACTCTCTTCTGTATGTCTGCGGCGGCCTGCAAAACGTTCGTTGAAACAACGTGAGTGCAGGAGTGAAAAGACAAAAGATTGTTCGCACCTTCATGAGTGATTCTATTTGTGTTTTGACACTTTCCACGGTTGCGAGCTTAAGCTTACTATGCTTAAGGAGTTCTTCCTTCTGTGCTGTGAGTTCTTTTCTTTTTTGATCGAGTCTGTTGTTAATGATGAGACACGAAGATCTATGCGGTAGATTATCTATTGAACGTGCCTCTGCCTTTCGACAAGTTCGAAGCTTAGGCGATTGAGCATTAGCTGATGAACATTCTGCAGCACATCATCTGAGCGCGCTTCAGGTGGTGCTAGAGTTTTGAACTCTGACAGGGAGTACAAGGGTACGTCCTGGTAAATGGAACTGTGCGAACGGTCAGCACAGTTTGCAGGGACAGATAAAGAACAACGAACGCGAATTGCCTGCATTTGTCGATCTCCCTCTCTAGATGACGCTTTTCATAAAGCAGATTCTGGAGGCCAAGATGTGTCTGATCCATGTCATGGCGGGCCTCTGTTGTTGCTTGCTTGCATGCTCTTGTTGCAGCATTTGCATTTCTATTGAGGGCTTTGAGACGAGCTACTAGAGCATTGGCACGGATTTGAATAGACGTTGGGTCTACGGTGGTCAGGTCAGAGGAGACTAGCTCTTGAAAGTGTTTTATGGCTTGGTCCTCTGCCATGGCGAAAGACTAAAGCTATAGAGAGCACGTGTTTGATTCGTCAGGAGCGGACCGAATAATGAGTCCGTGATGATGGGAAGGTGAAATAGTAAGCCGCGCGTTGAATCAGCTACTAGACGATTACAGAGATTGCCATCATCCCGGTGTGCATAGCCTGTCCAGCCTCACGCTGACGAACGCACGGCCCCTCACGGTAATGTAAATTTACATCTATCACTACTACATTGACAGTCTTCTCACACTCACGTCAATAAGTTTAAGAACAACTTAAAGCCCCTGCATCTATCTTTCTGCAACACATATCTTCCTCGGTCAACATCATGGCCTCAATGACACGCACAAGGTCTGGTACGATCCCATCCATGGAGACCAGCGGTGACGAATTCAAAGATAACACTATCATCGTTGGTGAGTCCCCCCTGTCCCCGCCATCATCACCGTCCGAATCAAATCTCTTCATATCTAGTATTCGGTGCCTCCGGTGACCTTGCAAAGAAAAAGGTGGGCGTGAATGCTCTTTTATCATCGCCCTAGACGATCCTGAGCACCCCGATAGACGTACCCAGCTTTGTTTGGTCTCTACCGCAACGGTTATCTCCCTAAAGATGTCCATATCATCGGCTATGCACGAACAAAGATGGATGAAGAGGAGTATCACAAACGCACCACTAGTTACATCAAGAACCCTACCAACGATCCTGAAGTCGCTGCCAAAATCGAGGAATTCAAGAAATTATCCTCCTATGTCTCTGGCAACTATGATGATAATCCTTCTTTCCAAAATTTGGCAAGACACATGGAGGCTATCGAGAAGGGCTATAAAATTCGCGGTGTAAATCGCCTCTTTTACCTTGCCCTCCCGCCGTCCGTGTTCGTTCCTGTTGCACAACATGTCAAAGTGTGCTGCTACGCGACAAATGGAACCAATCGCATTATCGTTGAAAAGCCATTTGGCAAGGATCTTCAATCCTGCAGGGATCTCCTGTCCTCACTCAAGCAGTCGTGGCAAGAGGAGGAGACTTATCGTATTGACCACTATCTCGGCAAGGAGATGGTGAAGAATTTGTTGGTCCTCCGTTTCGCCAACGTCGCTATGGGCGCTGCGTGGGACAAGCATTCAATCAGCAGCGTCCAGATCAGTTTCAAGGAGCCGTTTGGCACAGAGGGTCGTGGTGGTTATTTCGACGAATTTGGCATCATCCGTGACATCTTGCAAAACCGTGAGTCTCCTGTGAGTTTGTGTGGGAAGGGGCTGCCACGCTAATGCCTGTGTACACTCAGATTTGTTGCAGGTCCTGAGTATCTTGACCATGGAACGACCTGTCTCGTTTGCATCGGAGGACATTCGGGACGAGAAGGTTATCCCTGCGCATTAGAAGTATTTCTTGTGTTCTCACGCTGGCTTGTTCTTCCCAGGTCAAGGTGCTTCGCTCCATCCCACCTATCAAACGGGAGGACGTGCTTCTAGGCCAATATGTCGGAGCCAATGGGAAGCCAGGTTACCTGGATGACGACACTGTGCCGAAAGGCTCTGTCTGCCCGACGTTTGCTGCTACCACGCTCTGGATTAATAACGAGCGGTGGGAAGGCGTTCCGTTTATCTTGAAGGCGGGAAAGGGTATGTTACGTCTCGGATTACACTCATACAATAGCCCCTGACAAATTATGCACTTCAGCCTTGAATGAGGCAAAGGTTGAAATTCGCGTGCAATTCAAGGATGTCACAAGTGGAATTTTCAAGGATATTTCACGCAACGAACTCGTCATCCGCATTCAGCCATCGGAAGCCGTTTATCTGAAGCTGAACACCAAGACGCCTGGATATGCGTTCCGCGCAATTCCGACTGAGATGGACCTTACATACAAGAGGCGATTCACGGACACAAATATTCCGGAGGCATATGAGGCACTGATCCTGGATGCGATCAAGGGTGACCACTCGAATTTTGTCCGAGATGACGAACTGGATGTTGCATGGAAGGTAAGCATGCTGCTGCAAGCCATGGTCGAGAAGTGCGATTGATCGCCAATGTACTAGATTTTCACCCCCATTCTGCACTGGATAGATGGGAGAGAAGGACCACGCCCTAAGCCCTCGCCCTACCCATATGGCTCTCGGGGACCTAAGGAGCTTGATAGTTTCATTGAGAAGCTGGGCTACAAGCGTGGCACAGGAGAGGACTAGTAAGCATACACGTGGCCCGATTCGGAAGGTATACGATGCTAACTGGAATTGCACTACAGCAGCTGGCCCACGACAAACGTGTCTAGTTTGTGAATGGGGATGTGTAGTAGTAGTAGTAGTAGTAGAATCGGTTTATCTTCTCGTTGCACGAGGTTCGGGTGTGTAGGAAAAGTGATATGCTTTCGTAAATTGACTTGCATGTGTCTTTCATGATTCTGGAAATCGGTAGCCATGATTGTATGTCCTTAAAGTATTGTTACATATATGCAGTAGTTGTGGCGGTTCCGGTCAAGACAGGAGGTGTGTGCGAAGGTCATCATTGGAAGGGCCAGGATCGGCGATCTGTTGCAGCATGAGTTGATTAAAACGAATAACGTTTAAATTGGGCGTGGAAAGTGTAGCCGGGAGTGCATCGTGAATCTCTTGATTGAACGCTTGAATCGAGTTTGGATCTTCTCTCTGCTGCATACTGAACCATCCTGCGAGGTAAGAAACTGCCTTTTGTCTTACCGCGGAGCCTATCCGAACCCTCAAGCTCGTCTTTCATCCATCCTTATAGTATTGCTGATGAACTCTGGCACTCGTAAGTGACTAGATTCCTTTCATTTCGTGTGCTCATATAACTGTCGCATAGCCCTTCTTCATTGCTCTTCGTCAGTGCAGCCCCAGCAACAGATCTTTGGAAAGTTATGGACCATCCTTCTCCAAAGGTCATTCTCCATCTTCTGCACTGTCCTCTTTGCTCGTCATCTCGTCTTCTAACAGACCCAACCACTCTACGATGTGGTCACACCGTCTGTTCATCACATATGACCTCAGATTTATGCCCAATCCCAACTTGTTCATCTACTCCACCAAGTTTCACGCCTACTATTCCACCTAGTTCTCGAGTCGCGTTCTTTCCAGCGACTACCGATAGCCGTACGAGTTCTCCTGAACCAGCTGAACGAAGAATTGATGTCAAAGTGAGAAAGTTGGTGGAATTGGTAATGAAGGCCGCAGAGGATGAGGCAGAGCAGTCTGACCACCTTGTGGACACCTATTCTGACTCTGGAGACGATTCCGATGACGAACAACAGGAGCCGGTCGCCTTTCCATTGTCCCCGTCATCAACTGACCGTCCCGTGACACCTGTCTCTGGCTCCTCCCCTACGTCAACAGGCTCTTCTCGACCACGGAAGCGGCGTCGACGTCATACGTCCAATCCACATTTACCGGATTTTCATCCTTCTGACCCTGAGGCTATATCGCTAGCCGAATTTGACAAGAACCTCACTACGGAGTTGACGTGCGAGATCTGTTTTATGCTGCTTTACCAGCCTATCACAACGCCTTGTCAACATGTACGTGTGTACAACTCCTTTTCTGTATGAAAGAACCCTGACGACAGTAATGCCAGACTTTTTGCTCTAAATGCTTACAGAGATCGCTAGATCATAGCTTGTTATGTCCACTATGTCGCGTGGAATTACCTGGCTTCGCTTACTTTCATGAACACTCGTATAACAAAGTTGTCCTTGCTCTTCGTCAGTAAATTACGTGTGGCTCTTGCATTCATCTAATTTCCTGTCAACGTGCAGTGCTCAAAGCTTACCCTGAGTCCTATGACGCAAGGGGACAAGCAATTGCGACAGAAGAGCGCGACGCACGTTTAGACACGCCAATTTTCGTTTGCCAACTATCCTTTCCGGGAATGCCAACACTCCTGCATTTCTTCGAACCACGCTATCGGCTTATGCTCAGGCGTTGTCTCGAGGCTCCAACACCGACTTTGGGCATGATAATGCCTCCACGTGCAGCACCTGTTGCCAGTCTCGGCGTTGATGCGGGTGCAGATTTTGGTACCATGCTTGAGATCCGCAGTGTGCAGATGCTGCCAGACGGGCGGAGCATGGTGGAAACCCGGGGCACGCATCGGTTCAGGATACTCGAACGCGGATCTCTAGATGGGTATATGATCGGAAGAGTGGAACGGATCGACGATTATGAAGACCTTTCTGATGACTGGGAGTCTGAGATCGAGGAGAATGCTGATTCTTCGTCATCCGCATCATCATCGTCTGCTTCTAGCGCCTCGGGTCATGCACCATCATCTCCACAACTTTTTTCGCGCATCATGTCGAACCTGTCACCGCCTTCTCCCACCAATCCACCTCTAAGCACCGCCGCGCTCCTTCAAACGTGTCACACGTTTCTGGAGCAGCTGCGTGCAGGTACTGCACCGTGGGTAGTTCAGCGTCTAAACCACACATACGGTCCGCAGCCGCCTGACGAGAACCCTGATGCGTTCTCCTTCTGGATAGGTATGGTGCTCCCGATAGATGAGCATGAAAAGGCCAAATTGTTACCCATTAAAAGCGCGCGACTCCGTCTGCGGATGGTCGTAGGCTGGATCGAACAGTTGAATAGTAATTGGTGGGTGCTGCACCTTATTTTACCCCTATCCCGCTCTTGACTGTGACTCGATGGTTAGGTGGTTTTCGCGTGGATGCATTGTAATTTAGCCTTGTTCCTTCACATCATATTTTCTTACTACACCATAGAATCGGCCTGATCACCGTGAAGGAGATGAACGAAAAAACAATGAAGTTTGCTTAATATGTATCACGTACTCTACCCACGTACCATATCATCCGCACTGTTGCAGTGTATCCTACCCATGCGCTCTATTTATTCCCATTTTCTCTTCGATTCTTCACTTGGTTACTACTTCTGCATCGGATATGGACTAGCTTGATTTTTTTTCTGTTGGAGTACCTGAAGGACTATATATGCTTGACGGTACCTTGATAGTCTTCACCGGCTTCACCTTAACCGCCTTATTTTTGGGAAGGTTGTGATTACCCTGACTTACCTTTGCGAACAAAAAAATTGTGCGCGCGTGTAAGGAGTAGTTACGAAGTGCCCCGAGCTGACTTGCTGGGCCGCCAGAGGTGCCCGTTGTGTCACACCGGGGTCACACCCTTATTAGCCAAAGTGTGACACTTCCGAACTGCTTATTCCACTCCCTCGGACGTCAGTGCTCAACGTGAGCCATGGCGAACTCAATCCGAGGCCCACCACGGTTGCTCATGCCAACTGTGCGCCCGCCCGCACCTCTGTGCATACCACAATGTCCCCCAAGCCCACCAACACGAAGGCAAACCTCATCAAAATTAATTCGTTCGCGCTCCGGCTCGGCAACTGCCATCATGACAAGCGCGGCATTCAATACGGGGACAGGGGTGAGCGAGGATTCTGTCGGGGAGCGCTGGATCGGGAGGGAGTCTCGTCTTGAAATTGCTGAGAATCGTGTCGAGCTCCAGGGTTATCAGATGTATGCAGTCGAGAAGTGGTTCGTGGGTTGTCTTTGTGTGAATTTCGGCGTGTGTTGACTGACGCATAGGATAGTTGAGCGTGTACGCCCTGTTACAGTGCTCATAGTGTATACGGGAGACCCTTCCCATAAGGTATGTTTTGTAATGTAAGCCTGAACTTCAGCGAGCAATGTTCATCCCCCTTGCTATGGCTCCAGGTTACTGTCACCGTGCTTAAGCCTGCTGACCGTTTGACACACGAGGAAGGAGAGTTAGAATTCAAGCTCTCTGTACAACACCTTCGCAAAGACGGGGCCCGACCAAAACAGGTACCTTGGCACTTGGGCGGTATACTCGCTTAGTGCTAATGCATACGCTTTAGACGCCCATGGGCATTCTGATGGTCACCTCTTTGGCAAACTTTCGGTCTGATTATACAATCGTGCAGATTCCAGATGGTGACTTTCTAGCAGTACAGGAGCGTTTGTACTGCAACATCAATCTGCTGCGAATGGGGTGCAGTGGCCGAAGTGCTGTTACGCTCGAAGAACCTGGGTAAGGTTTGGGCAATCGGCTTTTGTGTTCGCTCATTATTTCGTAGCGAGACGACAAAGGACCGGTTTAAATCATTGTACTTGATTCCTGACACTCCTTCCGCGACACATCCATTTCGCTCTAAATCTCCTCCGAATTCACGTGTCCAGACTCGCACTTTCTCGCATTCTCCGAGCCCCCTTATCCTTCCTGACACATTGAACAGCTCTTCTTCGCATGTCCAGCCATTGTACACTGGCGCCTCTCCGCAGCACAGCACGTCTAATATTAATGCACAGCAATCGCAGCGTCACCCACACTTTGCAGCCACTGTTCTAGAGCTGGTGAAACTGATGCAAGCTGCATTGTCTGTGTGTGGAATGTTCCCACTGACTTCCCTACCTATGTTGGATGGCCTACTTTGTGATGTCACCATAGATGGATTGCAAAAATGGATGGTGGAAGTAGGAGAGAGCCTTCCAGGTATTGAGGTCCGTGAAACTACCCTTTCATTATATTGAGACCTTGGCCAAATTAAGCACTTTCAGGCAACTGAACGTATTGCTGACCCCTCTGCAGTTGGGGCACTGCTTTCATTTGTGCTCTCAGCGCGAAATAAACTTGCGTCCTTTGCACAAGCAGTGCCGAAGGATCCCTTCCTACATCCACACGTGTTAATTGCTTGCATTAGTGCATGTGCACAGGCTCAGTTGTTGGGCATCAGCTCGCATCTTAATAATGGGATGCATTCGTCGCCAACGCTTTCGCACACGGAGACACCTCTGCTAATCACGGTATCGGGCGCCTCCTCACCTGGATTGTCGGTGTCGCCGGCAGTCTCCATATGCTCGCCATCGCCTTCCGTTGGTGCAAGTTCCTCAGTTCCTCAACCAGCGCTCCCAACTTATTTAAACCTTCACTTATACAATGCGCTTACCTCCACGCATGAGGCAAGGCTTAAGCATTCTGACTCACGGCGTGTGCAACGCATCATTTTATCAACTCTTGACCCTGCTTCTGAGCCGAACTCATCTGATGATGAGCGACGCGGGTTAAGCGGTCGTGTCAGGGGTTTTGTGGGGCGCGGTGGCGTGGCTGGTGCGGAGGGTGTATTGGTACCCGTGGCGGACCTAGGCACGTTCGTCAGAGCTGTCATAGGGCGTGATAAACAGCATGAGAAAGTTGGGTCCAGGGCCGAGAAAAACAAATTGGAAAGAGAGCGTGTTAGGAAGGACGAGAAACCCGACGAAGTGGATGAGAAGGAACGGGTAGCCGGTAGCGTGCGTGCTCTTTGGACCGGTAGAGTGGAGGTAGCGGTTCGTTTACGGGCGCGTGCAGTAGGACCCACGCAAACATTCCACAGAACCCGGGAGAAGGTACGAGAAAAAGATAAGGAACGACTTACGTCAAGTGATGTGGACGATTTGGGGATAGTGAAGAGCCCAGGCGAAGACGATAATGATCTTACCTTCGGAGGTGCTTGGTCTGGAAAGGTTCAGAAGAAATTGGAGTTCTGGGCTGGGTCAGTAGCTTCTTAGATTCTTCCGCTCCGGGCTGACACCTTCATTATAGCATCAATCGGTCCAAGAGATCGATAGATCTATCATCTCCATTGAGATCTGCAGGGCGCTCATCGTTGATAGCAGTGCCGTTGTCTGCACAATCGTCTTTATCGGGCCACGTGTATGCCGATACAAGTGTTTTGCCCGTACCGTCTGTGGTGTTATCCCCGTGAGTACCATCCCTTGTCTGGCAAGATTCACACTCAATCATAAGAGGTAGGAATAGCGGAGATGACGAGGACCTCCCCAGCAGCGGCCAGGTGTCACCCATCTGTATGTATACAAGTGACTTATTTGGCTAGACTGTGATCTAATGCTTCAATCCTAGCAATCTCAAAGACACACAACCCGTTCATACTTGACCCTTCTGATGCATCCATCACTGCGCAAAGATCCACGTCCAACCTTAACAAGGATGATCCAGAGTACAATCGCCGTGTGAAGTCCTTCCTTGCTCGACATCCCAGACGACCTAGAGACGAGAGTCGTGTGTCTAGCTGGTCGGGTGTAGGAAATGCAGAAGAAAAGAGAAAGTCTGTTGATAAATCTACTGAAAGAGAGAGCGAGGCGGAGAGTAAGAGGAAAATGTTGAGCCCTGATATCCGGAGGTAGGCAGATGAAACCCAATAAAGATATTATGTGCTAATACTCGCGGCAGACGGCATAGTTTTCATGACCTGGATGCTTTTCGAGACCTTCGAATCCTTCCTTTCAAATGGATGCGAATCGATGTAGACCTTTGCAGCCACCTATTAGTCATGCATCGGCGAGAAGAGCATTTGAAATGCATGCTTGCTTGCCTCGAGGTGAGCGTTTGTGTTCATGAGTTCTTTGGATACCCGCTCATCACGACGCGGACCGGTCTAGCATGTATCTTCAAACCTGGCAGCGACCAACGCGGCTCTCCTAAACGATGATAGAGATCATCGCGAATTTCTATCTAATCTGTCGAGCCAACTCGAAGCCCTGCAACGCGTGGAAGACGCAAGGGTCGCAGCACACAGTAGTCGTCAACAAGTCGCAGCTCTTGACTACGAGGCGGGGCAGTTCAGACGGCAAGACCTCTGGAATGCAGCAATTGCGCCTCGAGCAAAAGTGCTCGAGCTTAGGGGTAAAGTTTTTGGATCGGACACCGTTAGCTCGAGAAAGCGACGGCGGAAGCAGTGGACGCTTGGCGGCCAGGAGCGAGAGGTGGATGTATGGGGACGGACAGAGAGCGAGGCGGAGGAGGAACGTCGTGCAGGTGCTGGGTTGGGAGATTTACGGGTGCTTGGTGATGAGACGGATGACGAGATGAGCCAGGCGGAAGAGGATGATGAACACAAGGACGCTTTGATGCAACCAATGTGGCTGCTCAAGTTCCTTACCAGATGGACCGCAAGCCTGGGATTCTTGGCGGGTCAAAGTGGGGTGCAGGCGTCACCATCTCAATCTCACGCGCAGTCCCGCGACAGCAGTGTCCCTGCTACGGATTCTCGGACCAGCGGTTCTTCCATTTCTCCGTCATTACCTTCATAATATCTTACTTCGACGTTATTTAATGGTCTACTGCTTGGTCAAGGATATATGAAATAACATTTTTATGTACAATAGTCCTTCCTACATGTGATCTTAATAGAATATTTATGATTTCCTCACTGCCTTGCCTTGTGAACGTTTTAAGGCACGTTTCCGATCACGCTCAATGATCTGATGCGGAAGTGGTGAGCAAGGAAGTAGAACCCGATATGCAAAGACTAACCTTTTTCTGTTCTGCAGCACTCAGGCGTGAGACGCGTTCTAGTTCTGCTTTCCGCCTTGCGACCTTCTTATCCTCGGCCGCTTCCTCCTTCTTTTCCTTCACAGCCTCTTCCCGGATTTCCTTGTCCACATCCTCTCGGACCTTCTTCATCTTAGAACGGGTTTCTGGCCGCAAATTCATCTTCGTTAAACCGTCAATAAATGTAAACATAGCCGAGACTAGAGGAATGGTCTCGGCGGCCTTGTTTGCAGGGGGAACAGCCAGACACAAGATGACGTGTTTCTCGCGTTCGGCAGGTGTAAGGGGGACAGCAGGGCGTTCACGCGGCTGGTCCGTCACGGAAAGAGATTTGAAGTATTTGAGATTAACAGGGTCCGAAAGGAGCTTGGTTAGTGATAGCGTGGGAGTAGTCTTGAACAAGTTGTCAGTCACATCTGCCCATTCGGTCATCACGGAGAGCGAGGCTGGAAGTGAGGCATGATCGGCGGTACGGGTGAACGTCTGTGACATGTAAATTTAATATAAATTGATTGTAGGGTATGAGGCTAACCAAATCCCAGCGCTTGTCCTTGATATTTGTGAATTCATCCTTTGCAAGGACAGCCCATACGTAATCTGGGATGCTAGCAGCCATTTCCGCGTCGAGTTTGAAGTCCAGAGTGAGTTCATCGTATGGATTGTACCTGAGGTCGTACATTTGCCAGCCGAAATGATAGATAAGTTGCAGTGGATCTTGACGTGGGCGAAGTGAGAATACAGTGTGCAGAGACGCAATAGCACGTCGACCGGTGGAAAAATTGAAAAAGTCCGTGTACCCATCTGCTATGAGCCCTGAGGCAGATGTAGGTGAAGAGAATTGGTCTTGAAGGAGTGTGAGGTGAGCATTGTACCTGAAAGTGCGTTAAAGACGGCGTAGATCAAGATTTAAGACATACCAGGAATTAGCTCTTTTAAAATTGACATATTTGCCGTAGATAGCTATGGCTACATATGCCAACAATCCAGCTAAGAGATACGCCTGGCTTTGAAAGACTGCGTCATGCGGTGAGCACGAGTACGTTAGAGAAGAAAACCGAATACAAGCACATACGTCCTGGACGGAAAACCAAAAATTTCCATTTAACTTCCCAACCATCATAGTCTGTTGGTTGTACAAAAGGTGGGGGCGTCATAGCACCCAGAATTTTAACCAGAAGACTTGCCATGGCTTGCTACTTAGCCTCGGAGACTTAGTGAAGTTAAAGAATACCTGGGAACTTTCGGAAAGAAGTCCGGGGTTCGGTAATTTCCGGAGGAGGGCCGGTGCCACTTAATTCGCTCTAGATCGCAGTAGACAAGGTACTTAAGAAAGTTGTGGGTGTTATCATCCCCTCCCTCTTTCCTTCAGACACTGACAATGGATCCGTCAATGCTTGTCACAGGATCATTGCTCAATCAATTTCAGGTAGAGATGGAGGCAAGTTCAAAATAATTCGTAATTCAGTGTTTCTAAACACGAAAACAGCCTAGGCAAAGCCAGCCAACCGATTATGGCCGTTTTGTGATTCATATTGTAAAGCGTATGACACAACAGTCAGGCGTTATCGACCAAACCATGTTACGTCGGGCGATTGGGCTCGCATCGTCATACCTTGTGACTGATACAAGCACCAATTCCGACCGTGGTATCCAGACGTGGTGTACTGGGTTCCATCGTCTTGTCGATATTATGGTTGTGTTACATTCAAGAGGGGAGCTGGAACTTGACACAGTCAACGAGGCATCAAAAGCGTGTTCTGAATGTTGGAGTGTGGCCGGAACTTGGCGGGGCATGGAAGATTGTCGCCAGGGTGTGAAGGAGGTTGCTGCTAAACTTAAGAAGTTACTTGATGAGCCTCACAGAAGAACGTATAAAGGATCCAAAGTGTACACCCCGAGCAGTAGTTAACTTGGTAATGACAGTACAGGGAAGGAGAAATAGCCCCTAGAGTGGCGGTGCCAGCCATGATGTACGTAATATCATGGCCGTATATTGATGTCTTACATTGGAGTCTCGTCAACTGCGGGCTTCCAACATTCCTTGTCATGACCACACCACCTCCCCAAAACTCTTCCTCCAATTCAAAGCACCGGCCACGTCGGCCAACTCGTCAGATACCTTCTGCTCCAAAGCCAACTGATGGCGATCCACAGGATCCTGTTCCTTCCGAGGAGCGCTATTTGGTTCTGACACCTCTCCGAGCTCACTACCTGAAGAAATCACTAATACAACTTCAATTCCACAAAGAATTAAATCTTATAACAAACGCACCTGATGATGGTGGCTCCACCCTTGCATACCTTGGGACCCCGTTTACGCCGCCTCCAATGGGTGCTCAGCCCCTTGATTTACCCTTCTTGAAGTATATGTTCCGTCAATTTCTTTTAACATTCCCCCTCCTCGCAGCTGCAGATAAAAGTTTCTATCCAAATAAACTACAAGTATTTGTTGCTTCCGCTCTTGCGAAGAACATATCCCCCACCTCATTACTTGAGGATGAAAACGAACCCAGGGCTGCTCGCCTCAAATTGCTTGACAGTATGGAACGGAACTTTGCCCTATTTTTCAGCGCTGGTACAAAGCTAGTAGAACAAGAAGAGGTCGTCCGGCTCAACCAACATGATCTTGATCGCCTCGAGCAACTCGCTAAGAAGCGGCAGGCACAGTTAGCCAAACGTCGCGACGTATTCGAAGTAAATATTGTATGTGTGAGGAATATCACAGACAAGGGTCGAGTCCGCAGTCGGGTTCACGAGGTTTGCTGGCATATATCGATCATCAATCATCGATGTCCTCATCACCTAATATAGGAATTCATCATCAGGACTCGGCTATCAGAAGATAGGGAAGTTTGCGTGTCTCGAAGGTATGGCGACTTCAAAACGCTTGCAGATGAGGTACGATTTGTGCGCCTCAATCCTTGACACAGCCCATCACGTCTCCTATGTAGTTGCGCAAATTTCATCCTGAAGAGATGGTACCTTCCCCACCCGTCAAAGATCGTACGATCGTCAATGTTCCGCGCTCGACATCTCCTCCAGATATCTCCACCATATCACGGATGCAACGCACAACCCTCTCCGATTGCAGTGCCACCTTCTCGGACGGTTCATCTGAATCGCTCCCGCACTCTTCGTCTTCTCATCAGTCTTGGAATGGGAGATCTCCACCGCGGCTGTCCCGGGAAAAGAACAGGTTGACCCTTAGAGCTTATCTGCACTCTCTCATGAACAATAGGGTAATCGGGAGCTCTCCCGTGCTCAAATCTTTCTTACTCAGCGGACCTACTAGTTTGGGTCCTGAAGAGGTAGAAGATGCTCGGAGAAGGGAAGACGCAGACAGAATTCGTGAAAACGGGAGGAAACGGTTTGCGCACGAAATTGCTGCTCGTGTCGATGGTTTAAGAGATGCAGTGAAGAGCGTCAAGGGCGACATCATGGGGAAAGGTCTGTCAACTTCAGGGGTTGTTTATCGCCAATCTCACATATTCATAGATGGACTCAGTCATATTTTTGCCATAATTAAGGTGACTCCCGACATAAACCAATTACCTCCTAATTATCGGGCCGTGACAGAATGGGGCAGAATAACGTGCGTATACGTCACTTTCAATAATCAAATAACTAATCGTTTTGGTAGGCTAGCCTCGACAATCTTCCAAATGTTCGTTGCGTCTGATACTGCGTCGGAAACATTCGCAAGCATGAAACGTTTACATGGATTGATGCCTTACTTTTTGCTAAGGACAGCGCTCAAGATAAGCAGTCCAGTTGCCATGATACGCAGTAAGGTGCACATACCCTCTCAGGACTGATGTATTAATGAATGCTAGGCGTGGTGGACATCTTTCTGGCGACTCCGTTCGGTGGAAGAAGTCTCCTTCAACGGTAGTCCAGAATTTAACCGGTCAACCAGCCTGTTAATGCTTTACCAGAATGTTCTCTAGCTCTCTTACGGAAGAGGTCACAATTATCGAAGAAGATATCGAGGCTGTAAAAGCCAAAGTTGATGACCCTGTCATATGTGAGAAGCTCCGCTTGTTTGTCAACGCCACGCGCGACATCCAGGATACGTATCGAACGGATGCAAAGAACGGGAAAATTCCCGTACTTGTTGTCGTTCTGCGATCTGGAGAAGAACCCGGGTTAAATCGTGACCAATTACGCAGAGTGCACCGGGCGCATCTTGCACATGCGGCATATCTGAGGGAGCGGGAAAACCTTGTGGACTCAGACGATGACGATGGGCCAACCAACGAGGAGGCATGGCTGTTTGAGGATCTAAAGATGCTCGTGCAGCTTTATTCCCGGTTGAGAGACAGGGAACAGTTGATTGCACTAATATTCGAGGTCAGCCTGCTTGACAAACTGTCGGTATCTCCGCTGACGCACTCCCAGGGTGTTACCGCTGAGTTGCTGAAGGATATCATCTCCATTTTTTATGCGCCATTAGCCCAAGTATACCGGGCTGCCAATATTGGAAATTCTGTATCAGATCTGCAGAATTTCATCACCGATTTAATTAGGGTCGTCGAGGCTACGGAAGAAAGTAAGCTCTTCGCGCCCATTCTTAACGGAGAAAACCTAACCATCGAGCGATTAGTGAGCGACGAGGATCCCCAGGCCACCGTGCAAACCTTTATTGATCTCGTCGGCCGGCATGAGCAAGCATTTTACTCTTTCGTGCACAAGGTACATGCAAACGGGAAGGGCTTGTTTGAAAACCTGATGCAATGGATTGAAAAATTCCTTACTGTCGTCCGGGAAGGTCTAGGATCACCGGTGTCGCTCGAATGGCTACTTCCCCACGGTGGGCAAGAGCGCACGAATATGGTGAACGAGATAGATGAGGTAGCTCGGTACCATTACAAGCTGAAGATCGCACACGAAGAAAAAGTGCGCAGGCGTTTCACGCGGGCTCAGGGACATAATGACGCGGACGCCGAAGATGAAGCCACGCAGGCCCTAGTGCACAGCGTGGTAGGCGAAATTAATTTCGGGGAACTGGTTCAAAGTGATGCTCTTGATCTTGCCGCGGAGGAAACGGATGATGAAAGCGATGAGTCTTCTAGTGAGTACGAAACGGAAAGCTCGGGGAGCTACGAAGATGCCGAGAGCGAGGAGAGCGAGGAGGAAGGGCCAACTCCAACTCGGTCCCGAGTTCAAACAGCTAGGGCATCTCCGCATATGTCGTCCCCGCAACGCCCGCTGACGCCTCCACCTGTGCAACAACCTCCCCCTTCTACCCGCCAGCGATCCATCTCATTACGGAGCACGAAATCTGCCAATTTCTCCCATCAGTTGAATTGGAAAGATGTTCCTCCTGTCCCGCCATTACCGCCATCACTTCGTCGTGCGGACAAACCGTTACCCCCGCCTCCCCCCACCCTAGCTGCACGTTCCGCGGAAAACCTTCAGCGTGCACTAGATCACCCACCGCGCAGATCGAAGGGATCCACAGACATGCTCAGACCTCCTGATCTGGTTTACATTCCACAGCTGTTGCCATTATTTGTGGAAGTGGTCAGCTTCTCCTCTTCAAACTCGACTTCATACTTGTCACTCACTCCTTCTTTATAGATGCGACCGAATCTACGTAGCAGGGATACATGATAAGGTCAAGTTGGATCAGCAAGCTGTTGTATTTATAGGAATTCTGCGGAGATTGATATTCTACTATGTTTTTGACGGATCTCGTTTCTGCAAGACCCATCTACTGTGGTAGATCTGGCAGTACAACCATGCGAACTTCGATAGAGCTCTCTAAGGATGAAGACGAATTGGCGGATCCTACATCATACCCAGTCCTCCTGGAGGTTGATTGCTACCCAGCAACCTCCCGCAGTACCTGCGTCAGACCAGTGAGCTCATTCCGGAGATAGTCTTCCTGACGCAGCATTCAACAATGACGGACGTGCATGAACAGTTTCAGGAATATCGTGTGAAATGTCTTTGTGCGCGTTTAACTTGCTTGAACGACAGTGTGGCGCAGTAGGATAGGATTCACTGACACACTGCCATGGGTTAGAGTCAATGGCCATACGCATTGAAAAAAACACGCTCTTTCCTGCAACTCTTCCGTCCTGACCTTGAGCATGTCCAACTTACACGCGCCATTTCTCTGCAGAAAGTCAAAGCCAGCCAGTTCGCACTGATGATGCCCCCCAGAAAGAGACTTCTGAGTGACAGCATGCGATGTCAAGTGCGGAGTCCACGGACTTAATTACTCAGTTTGTGCAGATGTTTGTGTAGACCACGTCTTGTCCTTACTAGCATCTGAGCGGCTAGCTCTTGGACGGGCAGCACGGTCTGTTCGCGGGGATTGACGTTGAACAACGCGATAGCCTGAAAACGATGATGAAGCGTAGAGTATGAGTATGATTCGATAATCACCTACCTTAATCAAGAAAAGGAAATGAGTCGTCTTTGGGTCTGCGTTCGTGAACGTGAACGCGAGGTCTAATTCTGCCATTGCGTCGTGCACCTGCTGGTTTCCGCAGAGGGCGAGGCCCTTGGAGATATAGCCAATCGAGGAGGGCTCAATGCTAACTGACTATGTCACCATCCAGGTTAGCCCATATTAAGTGGGGCGTGACAGGTCAGCATATTTTACCTTGGTCGCATCCTGAAGCGCGTCATTCCAGGCAAGCTGTCTCGCCATGACGAATGAACGATTGGCATAGAAATCAAAGTTGTTGGGATCGGCGTCGATTTGGTGTGTGAACAACTGTGTAGTAGTAGGCAGGTCCCCAGTTATACATGCATTGCGGGCTGCCGCGTTCATAACGAGGATCTGCATGAAGTATGTTCACATTGTACGATAAGAGTCAAAGCGACTATATGATTATAGCGGTTCTGCAGCAGAAATGTACAACACTAGTATACGAGAACACATCAGAACACGGCATGTCCAGACACACATCCTCGAACGACTTACCATTATTCCCGCGAATGAACGCGTCCCCGTATCGATTCGTAACTACCCCATTCACATGCTCCTCAGTCTGCTCCAGCGCAATGTTCATATATCCATCTAGACATGAAAGCACGCCTACGCACATAAGCTTGGTTCTAGATTGACGCAAGGCAAAGGAAAGGATACCTCGATAATCAACACCTGATGTGAGACGCACGATGACCTTTTTCCCGACCACGCCTTTCAAGAAATCTGTTGGTGTGCCTGTTGATGCTGATGGTGGGGGTGGGGGTGGGTATGCGTCGATATCTGGCGGTGGAGGTGTTGACTCGTCCATGATGAAAGTCGAGTCCAAGTCAAAGTCAAAGATTTGGACTTATTTGGTTTTCGCGGCTTTCGTCTGATACAGCGATGCTCTGAGTGCTGATCCTTTCCATTTGGGAGAGCATATATACGAGACAGGGGAACAGAGCAGGAAGAAAATCAGATATTGTCCACACCATATGCGCAGCACGACAACGACGTTCTCGTATGGGACTTCTGAATCGGCTTCATTCAGACGCTGGGGGACACAATGATTACATGCCAAGATACGCCGATCATGGTTTGATGCCTCGGAGAACACGAATGTACGGAAGGAGACAAGAACGAGACAATTGCCTATTTTTCACAAGTCACCGAACTCCTGATCGAATTCTTTCTGCGAAACAGCTCCCTTCCGCAATTTTTTGGCTAATCGTTCTTCTCGTGCCAGTTCGTCCCAATCGTCCTCTCCGCTACTCTCTTCTGGTTTGGCTCTGCCTGTTTGGAGGGTACCTTTTAAGTCACCACCAACAACATTTTGACTTTTAAGCCATTGCTTTTTCCTCGCCTTTTGTGTCCGGCGCTTGTCTTTGTCATTTTTATCATCAGCTTGCTGACTCCATGCAGCATTACGTTTGCGCTTAGCAGCTCGAGTCTCGGAGTCGTGCTTCACCACAGCTTTCTTCGAATCTTCTTCAACTCGCTTGGCTTCCTGTGCCTTGTCCGCATAACAGTATGAATCCCACTTCATTCATCGTAGCAATCAGTATGTGTGATATCTGGGAATTATTGAACATACATCAAGTTCTGCGCCTTCCCATTGTGATTTATCACGATCTTTCAGTTCGGGCATTCGTGGCAGACGCAGCAGACCGAAGCTTTTTGCGACGCCTATTAAGTCCAGGTCTTTGATTCGGAAGATGTAGGAGGCCTCATGCTTGGAGTATGCACGAACAAAGGAGACAAACGCCTTTACAGCCTGTCAAACTGTGAGAATGGCCACGTATATCAGATTTGGGAAAGGCAGCTACCTTGTCATGCAGCGCGCGATCTGTCATGACAGTTTGTCTGATTTGGGACATGAAGGTACTGACGACATCATCCTCTGTCGAGGGGCAATCTGTGTCCGGTGCTTTGCTTCCATCGGCTAGTATGTATGGATGCTGCCTGATTGGTATTTTTCGAACGGATAAGAAATCTATTGACGCGGACGTCAGTTCGAAGATGTAATGTGAGTGCGTATGAAAACAGACCAATATACTCAATCTCTCTTCCTACTAAAAGTGCATATGCCTTCCCACTCCTTCCAGCTCTAGCTGTCCGGCCGCAACGATGAGAAAAGGCTTTTGAGTCAGATGGAGGGTCGAACTGAATGACAACATCCACATGAGGAATGTCAAGTCCTCGGGCAGCAACGTCCGTAGCAAGAAGCACTGAAGGAGAAGAGGACGACGACAGAGTTGAAGAAAAGGCTGAGAGGGCACGAGTACGGGCTGCGGGAGGGAGGTGTCCGTGGAGAGAATGGAGTTGAACATTGGATGGTAAGAGCGTTGGTAAAATCTAAATCCCATTTGGAATTCAGGAGCAAAAGGTCGATATAAGAACGCTCACGCGATAAAAATAATCAACACATGCGCAAGTCGCAAAGTACACAATGAAATGTGGCGCGTGATGAGATGAGGACTCCTGCTTGATTATACGTGTCAGTTGAACCAATTTTTCGGATGGGAGACAGCTAATGTATAAATTTTGAAGTCTAAGGAGAGAGGAATGGGTAAGAAATGTTACGTAGCACATACACCTTACCCTGCAGGTATCCGCCTTTCCTCGATGATTTGACTTTCTTGCAAGGTTCCCGAACTCGTTCCCCTTATTCTCTTTGATTGAACTTTGACAACGATGCGAGCAGGGTTTCGTAAGCCAACGCGAACCAATTCAGAAAGAGCATCAGCATCTGTCATCGTCGCACTGAAAAGACCAGTTCTCCTTTGTTTCGGAATATGAGTGATGATACGAGTCAGAGCAGCTTGAAAACCTAGGTCTAGCAAACTTTAAACGTCTTCAGCAAATAAACTCCTACTCCTGTAAATGGGAGAGGCCCACCGGTCTGCTTCATCTAACACCAACACTTCCAACTCCTTGACGCTAACAACAGTTTTCCCTTTGCCTATAAGAAATTCTTCCATGCGTCCAGGTGTCCCGATGATGATATCAGCACCACTAGAGAGAAAGCGCTGTATATCCTGAGCTGGGGAAGATTTATCTGATGAAACAAGTAGAAGGGGTGGAGGAAATCCTGCTCCTGAGTATTCAGTGTCTGTTGAGGGTGGTGGTGATCCTTCTCCATTCTCACACTCCTTCAATGTGCTATTATCTGGTTGGGCATTCAGGAAGAGAGAAAATACGGAATGAATCTGAGTTGCAAGCTCTCTTTCGAATAAGGACTAGGATTAGACGTTGAGTAATATAAGAGTTCCTCAGAAACTCACCTTGTAGGACTGACAACCAGTGCACCGACTTCGTTTCTTCTAAGTCTAGTATCCCTTCTGATAAGACGTTCGAGGATAGGGATGACAAACGCTAGCGTCTTGCCAGAACCTGTCACAGCCTCGACTACTACGTCTTTATGCTGCATAAACAGCGGTATTGTGGAAGCTTGAACAGGCGTCATTTGGGTATGCCCCATCGATTGTATAACGTCCAGACTAGAAAACTTTGATCTCACTGCTTGAAGTTTAAATGACGGTGAACTCACACCCATGGTGTTAATGGTGTTGGAAGTGACGACCATAAGCCAGCAAATGCAGCAGATTGTGACATGCTTGAGCAAGACTTTCGGAAGTGGACTAGCGATCTTTGAGCCAATGGCTGTAGATCCGTTCAATTACTACAGTTGCTGATGAGTTGTGATCATGACATGCTGCCAAAAACTTCATCATGAAAGTCACGAGACTATTACTTACTACTAATAGCACTCATTGTATACTATTCCCTAAATTTCAGTGCTCAGCGCCAGCGCTCAGCAGTCGATGCAGGCGACTAGCTAGGCTACTTTACACAAAGTCTACAAGAACTGTAGCCACTATCCGAGTCCGTTCCAACGTACGACAGCTAATACTACAACTAGTAAACAGAGGTGATCATGTCACAGTAGAAACATGATTCACTCGGTCGACGGTCACGGTGACACAACGTTGACTAACTCAACCTCCCATTGCTTGGGTCGAGTGTACAGGTGGTGGCACCGGCATTTTGTGAATTTCTTATCAAGACTCTTGAGACCTGCCGACCTGCACTGGACGTATGTGATCCAACATGATTGACGATGCAAGCGCATGGTGATGGTACTTTGGGCGCGGGATCTCAGCTGGAATGCGGTCACAGTGATATTAAGCTCGCTGGTTGGACACAACATACGCAGCCAAATCCTCACTTACCTCAGGCGAATCATAAATTGTCGCAATCTTGAAAATTAAGAACACTGCCTCGAGGCTCGAGTGTCCTGGTAGGCCGACGGTCCCCAGCTCTGCGCTGCGAATGCGATACACGGTCACCAGGATTGATAGGCATGTGAAAACTATGCTTGAGCGGCTTGACCATCTACATACGCACGTAGTACAAGTCCCAGGCTGAGATCCTATCATCAGGCTGGTGTTCGGAATTCCATCGAAAGTCTCATGCGTGCCAGCATGAGGCTTTTGATGGAATTCCGAACACCAAAATATTCGATGGGTGGTATATTGAGTTATCACCAACATGCGCTCCATCATATAATCCGGAACTTAAGTTCTCAGCTAATAGGGTGCACGTAGAGTCTGGGTAGACGGTTGGCATACTTCATGAATGTCCGCACGGAGGTGGCTGTGCGAATAATCCAGGACATCGTCAATACCCAAAACGTCGGCCTTCTGAATTCAATATATGGTAGCCGTACATAATGGTACATGCGCACCGTATCATATCGAAATTACAACGAGTTCTTCGTATAGTCGTACATGTATACAAACCTTGCATACAACTTGCATATATATATTACATGGCCGTTACAAATAGTCCAACATCAAACAGCATGCGATGAGATCGTGAATCGCTTGAAAGTATATCTGTCGAAACATGAGTAACCGACAACAAGATAAGGCTGAATAGATATCATACCCAAGGAACGCGAGGTCCTTTTGAGCATCGGCGAGGTCCGCTACAGGAGCTTCAGCTGGTGCCTGATCAATCTCGTCCGTAGGGAAGTACGACGTATCCGTGATCGAGCGAAGATGTGGCACAAAAGGTGCATCAATCAGGCGTATCGTGTCCCACTCCACGCCATAGAAGAACGGGTGGTTCTTGATCTGTTCGATATTCAATCGCCGATCTTGAGATGTGATGAGTCTGCTGAAGATATAAGCACGACTATTCAGCAGTTATATTTTGGACATCATACCGCCGGATCAAATCTTCAGCTTCTCGACTTAGATGGACATCATCCGGGAACACTAGGTGGTATTGCCATTGGATGATCTTTTGATAGGTGTCGTGCGTAGATTCGGAGCAGAAGGGAGGGTATCCGACGAGGCATTCGAACATAATCGCACCTAACGACCACCAATCACACTCATTGCCATAACCCTTCTGTTGAAAGATTTCGGGGGCAATGTAATCAGGGGTTCCAACAGTCGAATACGCCTTGTTACGCCAAATAAGTGTTTACTGTGGACACAGCATAGCACTGTCCTTACCAGTTTCCGACGGTTTGCTTTCCACGTAGCGATTTGGTCCTTGCTTGACATAGTCAAGTGGATAGCATTGACCATGACACTGTTACGGGCGGCGGCAGCCGGTGACTGCACGCCATTAGAAGAGTCCAAAAGCCGCTGGTAATAACTTGAATCATGCTGCTTGTGAAAACCAGTCGACAGTCCGAAATCAGACAGTTTTATATGACCATCCTTGTCGATTAGGATGTTGTCTGGCTTAATATCCCTGCGAGAACGTATAAGAATAGTAAAGTGAAGAAAGGCTATGCTGACCTGTGAATGAAGCCAAGCTTATGGACAGTGTCGATGGCAAGTACACATTCTGCGATGTAGAATCGAGTGACGTCCTCAGAGAATGTATCATATTTAATGAGCATGGTCATGAGATCCCCACCAGGGAGAAACTCCATGATAAGATACAGCGTCTGTGGGTCTTGGAAGGAATAGAACAGTTGGACCACCCAATGGGAGTTGGACTCGGCCAGAACGTCGCGCTCAGCACGGACGTGGGCCAACTGCGGAGAAAGTTCCAGCCACTTGCATCTGTCACAACGAAGAAACTCGTACCTGGTCCTTTTTCAGCATCTCCTCCTTCTTCAATGTCTTCATAGCATAAATTTTACCGGTATCAGTTTTTTGGACCAGCCTGACCTGCACGCAATGATACCGTATAGTGCATACCGACCAAATTAACAAACCCACCCACCTCACCGAAAGCACCTTTCCCGATCACCTTGACTGTTCTGAAGTCGTCCAAACCTAACCGCGTCCGCCGAAGTCGAAGATAAGTAGACTCCTTCTTTCCCAGTTGTTGTAGTTGGCGATGTTTCCTGTCTTCGGACGTCATGATATCGATCTGCAGCTTCCTTTCAAGCTCAACGCGCCTGCGAACCCATCAGAGCCTTCTTCTAAGTCGACCGGCAATTCTAAATGTACCTGGTATTCCGCTCGATAGCTGCTTCTACAGCAACCTTGTAGAAATGCTCTAGCTTGAGCTGCGCGGCTTTTGCACGGTGAACAGCATCGTCCGAGAAACCAGCGACACTACGCTCAAAAGTAACATAGTCGGCTGGTTTGCCTGAGCCTGACGAACTTGAAGTTGTCGACTGACTGCTCGAGCGTTGCATGACAGTGAGGATCCACCGTGTCACCTATCTCTGGTAAGAGTATGTTGATCGGCTGGTCAGCAAAACGTGACAAGAGAAGATTCTAGGTTGTGATGGTAACTTTAAGTTGTGATTTCATATGCAGGAGCACTTTTAAGTTGTGATTTCATAGCAGTAATAAGACATAGTATTTGTGCTACATCTGAGGAACGTATGTACACGAAGTAAGATATCATAATGGGGGTAATGAGAGTGTGGGACGTCTGAGACCTTTTAGTACAGTTGAGTGAATAGTCAGGAAATGATGAGATATCACGGGTATTTGTCTTTAAAATCAACTTCTGAGGTCCATCGAACATGACCCCCTTGGTTTGGCTTGAGTTGAGCATACCGAGGAAGCGACGGTTGAGAAGCCGAATAAACAGGTGCGTAAGGTGAATGGAATTGCAAAGCAGGAGATCCTGGGCGGCTTGCAGGCGTAAGCGATTCGTAAGATGCAGAAGGCCGAGGAGGCGTTGAAAATCTGTTCCTGGTCCCACTTTCACATCACATGCATAAGGTAGGTTTCGGACTTGACCGAAGGTTGACAACTCACATGTGGGACGGAGCTGGGCTGACAGCTGACCCTGGATGTAAATAGGATGACACCGCTGAGCTGCGCCATCAATCAGATGACCAATTTCAAAATGGTAAATGTATCGCATACGAGTAGAGTGAAGCAGGATTAACTGCCGTCGAGTCAGATGCATGCCCCCAAGAATCATACATGGCATTAGATGAGGTCGCATAGGCAATTGATGGGTTAAAATTCAGTCGGGTATTGGAGCTTTTTCCTGAAGGCATTAAATGCTTCGAGTTAGAGGGCTCGAGACAAGGGCCATGAGAAATGCGTCGATGGGAAGTCTCTGTACGTGGTGGCTCAGCGGGAGAATATGATGAAGAGGGACGGTGCTGTCCACGACGAACAGGTGGTGGGTTAAAGGAAGTACGACTCGGTTGGGGTTGTGACGCAGAGCCACTGGCATGATACATCGAGTATTCGTACGGAGGTCCCTCAAAAGAAGGACCTACAGCTGTGAAGGGTGGAGGAGGCGAGAAAACCTCTTGATACTCCCCGTGCTCTGGTTTCTCTTTGAGAGGACCAATTGGCTGAATGGCAACTGGTTTGCTGCAAGAATATTGCGCATCTGCTGGGCTTGGAGGAAGGGGGCGAGGTCCTCGAAGTGTACGCTTCTGTATGTGAAGCGGCTGTACTGAGGTCTGGAACAATCCTGAAGGCTGTTTCTGCTTCTGCTCTTCTGGTTCCTTAGAATCTTTACTATCGTCTTCATCGCGCTCTTCCTCAATGGCGTGAATAGGAATTTTGGATAAAAGCAGCTCTTGGAGTTTCTTCTCAACGATCTTCCGGTCATGGCCCTGCTGGGAGAGCTCGTATGAAGGCGGGGGTGGGTTGCAGGAATCACTGTTCATTGTGAACCAGGTTTGGTGCTCTAAAGAGGGACGTCAAGGACATCGAACAAAGTGGAAGATGAGTTAAGAGAAGAGAGAGATAAACGCCCTAGGTGGAAGGGTGACTAGTGTTGCCAGTCATGTATGCACAGCAACTAGTTTTGACACTCACTGACACATATGTCAAGTTATTATTACATACTCGTGCGAACTCCCGGAGGCACTACTTCAAGTAGTTGGGATTAATATTATATCGCGATGTCAGGCGGTGATATCCGAAGATATGACAATGCACCGCTAGGCTATCTGGATACAGCACTTCAAGCATTGTTCTACTGTAAATACGTTTATGCGCATGCGGCAAATAGTAACATCAGGTAGAATTAATTTCACTAGCTGCGTTTATTTGATGCTACAGGAAGTTGAACAGCACCACAGTGTGGCAGAGTACACACCTGTACACACTCATAATTCGATACCCTCAAGGTTCGTGCCCTTGGCCCAGCGTCACATGTTGATACCTGCTGACTTTGAAAAAAAAACTTACCAGCTTGGGCAAGCGTAAATAGACATCCGTTCCTTCATAAAATCAACACGAGGCCCGAATGCGACGGGCAAAACTTACTCACCCCATCCATCCAGGGAAACCAACTCCAGGGTGCCTCCGAAATACCTATAAAGGTAGTTCAGTTAACCGTTATGAAGGCACTGGCCAAGAATCACGCACGTTGTAAATATGTTGCTCATAGGCAGGCCCAGCCCGATTTTGGGATGTGGCGCAATGCCAGCATCACGCTCAGGATCTTTATCGTTTGAATTCACATTCGACTGTTCAGTCCACCATGGGCGTATTTGCTCCGCAACCGTGGCTTTAACGCCCCTCGAGCTAGCTGAGCGTAGTGCGCCCAGCCGCGTGTCATCCATGCGTGTTGCATTGCGAATGTGAGAGAAAGAGAAGAGATCGGAGGGTGACTTGATCCGAGCTGATGAGAGTCCACCACCTATAGATATTGCCTTTACATTCATCTGTAGGCGCGAAAAGGGGTGCTAACCTTGATCAGATATTCTCACCCCAACATCGTTCTCGCCAACAACGATGGTGGCTCGTATAGGAGGAAGGTTAGATGAACTCCGATGATTCAGTCCAGTAGCGGTCATTGCCTAGAACACCATCAGTCAACCGCTCTTTTAGATGTGATCCGAGAACCCGCACGTTTTTGAGAAGTTCAAATATGATGTACCTAGAGAATGAGGCGTGGGTAAGATTGAACATGATGCAAGTGAAAAGATTTACTCGAGGTGTTCACGTATGTAGGAAAATTTAGTGTCAACATGACCATCGACGATCACTTCCGGCCATCCGCGATTCGGCACGCTCTCCCCAATTTCATCGACTATATCGTGTGGCCTGCCATGCAAGAGCGCGACACACTTGTCAATGGAATGTCTGAGGTTGAGCGCAGTGTAAATGATGCCAACGTGTGGGTCCTCGGGGTGATTGAGGCTGTTAGTTCCAAGGGACTTCGAAAGCGCAAGGTGATGCTCGGTGAGAACACGCCTTGAGATTCGGGATACAAGCATGCGTCTCATGAATGCATCTAGTGAATCTGGTGAAAGGTGCGGAGATGAAAGGGAAAGTCCCAGTGACAGACTTGGTATGACGGGTGCACTGGTATATTAGTTGTCAGAACCAAGAGCGCGGTGGACCAAAGATAGTGTATTACTGCTCGTCCAGCACACTCTCGAGAAATTTACAAAAGGCCTCATTCTCTTCCAAAGTGGTGACTTGAGGGTAGCGCCGAAACCTTATAAAGAGTCAGAAAAAGTGCGTTCTGCAGTGTGCACAATCAAGTTACGGACTTTTCAAACGCAGACCAATACAACTGTGTAAAGTTGTCCGAGGTCAAGATCAAACTATGAAATAGTGTTATTGGAACAAACCTCATAGACTCGAGCTACGCCCTCCTGAGTTACCACAACATATGGAAGGGCTTGCAAGTCCATTAGCCTGTGTGCGATGCGGACAGGCAGCTCGGTGCGGACATAATTAGCGCTCTATAACAAATGAGATTGAACATTAGCGTTAAAATTATGACCCCTCAAGCGCTCACCTTTATCAATTTCTCCTCGTCCATAGACCGCCCAAAGAACACCTGATATCACACCATGAGTATGGTAAGAAATAGTTTAACAAAAGCAGTTTCACGAGCTGTCGGAGGCTCAGCCTGTTTGCTTCCTTTGAAGCATAGAGCTCTAGCTGGCGGTTTTGATAAAAGTGGAGCGCGGTTGACTGGGGCTGGGCCTGACTGGAGGAGTGCCTTGCCAAGTTTCGGGCGCAGGCGCTTGCATACCAGCTATTTCGAAACCGCCATAACATGGTCGAATGAAAGAAGGTGCTTATGGTGGTTTAAACGTTCATGCACATGAGTAGGCCGTTTAGTGGGTGATACGAGTAGTGAAGAACCATCATAAGCGCCAAGAACTTCTACGGTTCACCAGTAGCGTAAACAGAAACTACAAAATGCCCTCTGATTTTAGTGCGCCGATAATCAAGAAAGCCGATCTACGGTCTCTATCAACTCCTATCCAATCCCCCTTCTTCTCAGATGTTAATCCCTCGTCGCCAAAGACATATATATTATCTGGATCTCCTTCCGGTTCTGCTTTCTCCTGTGACAATTGTCTCTCCTCTTCCTCACGATCCCAAAGTACCTCTTCCCACTGAGAATCGCTGATGGTGACAGCTACCGTTTTAGCCTCTCGAATATTTGGGAGGACGGATGTGAGAAGGTTAGATAAAAGCTCTGAGGTTCCGTCTGCAGTTTGAGAATGAAGAACCGGTAACGGGAGATACTCGGCCTGTGCATCGTCATACATGAAAATTAATTTGCCACCTACAAAGGTTGATCGCTCACCTCAAGAAGCATACCTTTGACGGCACCACCAGCAAGGACTACATGACCAACACGGACGAGCCAGTCATTGCCAATAGCAAAAACAAAACCTTCTACAGAGAGTTGCTGCCCGCCCTGACTTCTTTGCGCACCAGGGGCCGTCTGTCTGACGGGGATCCAACGTGCTCTCAACTGATGCAGAACTTGTTCTAATGCACCGGGCGGACGGAGTGTGAGAAAAGTAGTTCGATAGTGTGGTGGGACTGGGAAAACCTGTCCATCGGTAGTCTGGGAGTTCTGAACACTTGCTACAATGTCTGCACGGGTAGGCGCTGCGGGATCCTCCAGAAGGACGAAAACATTCTCATTCATCGTCAGAGTGCACATGGAGCGCTCTGAGTGGACTTGAAGGCCGGGTATTGAACCAAGTGTCGAGCGGTAAGATTTCACGCTCAAGAACCACCTTCCTCGGAGCTGACCCTACGAGCGGCATCAACGAACCGGGATGAGGATTCAGTTTCGTGGCGACGAACATGGTGGTTTCGCATTATATTTTCACGGATGAGTTCGAGACCTGTGCTGGGTGCATTGATCCATCGAGCAAGCCTGAATCGTGTATCAGAATAACCATGACAAACTAGTGCTCAACTAACTTGCCCTGTGAATCCCATGAGTTGGTCAACAGTAAAGTCACAAACAGTGGGCCTGTGACACCGTCCACATCCACTCCATCCACTTGTGACCACAAGACGCGTGACAAGGCGCGTTCTGAGACTCTAAATTACGGTGACAGTGCCTTGAAGCTACTTACTCCTGATCTCAATCATCCATCATCACAAATGCCTAAACGCAAGACGCGTGAGGACACCGACGCTGTCACTGAGGCTTCTTCTCCAAAGCGCGTCACCAGAGCCAACGCTCGACAGAACAATTCTGGACTCGCTGCACCAGCAGCTCGGTCCAAGTCTAGTAACTCTCCGAAGAAAGTTATTCAGCAGGGTAGCAAAAGCTTCCAAGCTGATTTACAACTGGATGGGACAGTGCAATCTGCACGCCCCTCACGAACCCGCATGACACAGCCGGCTGCCAGGCAGTCGCCCCTCAAGAAGACCGACACTTCGTCACCTTCAAAAAGGAATGGAAAGCAGAATGTCGACTCGATAACGAGTTCTCACAAACAGGGAGAACCTGAAAACTCTGACGCAGACGAGCTGAATCTGTCTCCCCCCAAACTGCCAGTCAATTGCACAACGCCCCCGCCCAGATCTCACGTTGGACGCGTCCTTCTGCATTCTGTAGAAATTACGACACCTAGATCATTCCCAAACTTGAAGCTTGCCTTTACGGCCTCACCTGCGCCTAATACGCGACAACCCCCTGCTAAGACACCTACCACAAACACGGGTGTTGTATATCACGTACCAGAACTAGCTGTTCCATCGTCAAGCCGTCCTTCAGCCCCTCAGAATGACCTGCTTCCAAGGACCTCACCTCAACGAATCAATCAACTTCCGAATGCGACGAGTAGGGACAGGCTACAGCCGACGCCCGCCAAGAAAGATCAACCTGCAGCTTCTAGACCTCAGTCACCTTCTCGCATTCCTCGTAATCTCCCCTCTCATCTCGGCATATGCCTCCGTCTACAGAAGCGCGCTATGCTATTGGAACTACAAAAATGTAGTATGGAATTCGACGAGGACGCTAGTCTTGGCCTTACCAACATGATAGCCTCCCAGCAACTAAAGGATCTGCTTGCAGGAACTGTCACTCGTGGGGAGGGCAATAGTTGTTTTGTCCTAGGACCACGTGGCAGCGGAAAGACTGCTGTAAGCTGCCCACATCTTCCCGTCGTCTAACCTATTAAAGCCAATGTTTCAAGATTGTAGATCGAGCTATCGCATCCCTGAACCAGACTCCGATTGTTATCAGGCTTTCGGGTCATACCGAACTAAACGATCACCTCGCACTTCGAGAGATCGCGCGACAACTCTCTCTCCAAACAGGCAAAACCTACCTCGGTGAACTTAATAATGACGATGACCAAGATGATGATGGCAATCCTTTCCTGGATGCCGGCCCAAGCATCGACATCCCTCCCCCGTCCCATCTCCCCACGTTGGTATCAGCCTTGACCACGCTTTCGCAGCCAGTGGTAGTCATTTTAGACGCCTTCGACCTCTTCGCGCTACATGCTCGGCAGGCACTCCTTTACTGCTTACTGGATACCGCGCAAAGCTGTAGAGTCGGTCAAGGACACAATGGCATTGCAGTCATTGGGGTAAGTACCAGGATAGATACAATCAACCTTTTGGAGAAACGGGTCAAGAGCAGGTTCTCTGGGCGGATGTTACGTACCGCTGCTCCGATAGAGCTGTCATTTTGGATGAAGCTTATAGAACGAGTGTTACGGGCCCGAATTGAAACCCCCGAGGAAGAGTGGGAGCTGTTATGGACCCTGGCTATCGACAGTTTTATCGCAGATCGGAAAGTGCTCGAACAAATTCAAGAAACTGTTGCTGTTACGCACGACATTAGGGTCCTTCAACGAATCTTGGTGCGACGCATGGGTGGCTAGCTCGGGAGCTTTTCTGACCATTGAGTAGGTTGGTATTGTCGCTGCACTAGCTCCTTCGTCTCCGTTTCCCACTTGTGCGCAGCTCTCATCAGCAGTACATGCACAACGTATACGTGATCCATTCCCTCACTTAAGCAGTGCGTTGATTTATTTCCCCTGGCATGAAGGTTTCAGCTGACCCCTCTACCAGCATTGCCGTACCCCTCGATCTGTCTTCTTATAGCTGCCGTGCATGCTCATACTGCTGGCCATGACGCAGTAACCTTCGAGATGCTTTACGACGCTTTCCGTGAACAATACCGTGCTTCGGCAGCGGCCCCGATCCAGGTTGCCGGAGGAAGCATTGGCGTGTCCCGGTGTACCCGGGAAGTTCTGATGAGGGTGCGTTCAGAATTCTTATCAACCTATTTTTAGTTGCTGAAGTTCAACACAATCCAGGGGTTCGAGCACCTGATTGGTGAAAAAATATTCATATGCGTAGCCGCCTCGTCTACGAGCATCGCTCCAGGATTCGCTCGATATCGAAGTGCTTTGACCTGGGATGATGTCAAAAGGGCAGTCGACAAGATGGGTAAAACGAGCTTAAAGAAGTGGCTCACAAAAGCGCAATGAGTTTGTGACGTGGCTGCATAGCTTTATTCGCCATTTAGAGTATGGATCAATCGAGGATCTGTGGTTGTTGTGCATGTATTCCCACTAGCATTGTATATACGAAATGGTTCGTCCATGAAATTGAAATGCCTTGCATGGCTATACAGGTTATTTGACACGTAGTATATCTAGTAGTTCTGCTCGTAAACATCTTCGGTGAATGTTTCCTGGATCTGCTCTTGAGCTTCAAGTAACTTGTCGTCAAAATGGATCACGATGTGACAAATAAAATCCATACCATGCGATTGCGCTCTCTGTTTCTGGTGCGCAGACCACGCGTCAGCCTGTTCCAGTGTTTTGTCAGAGCGTGTAATTCCAATAACTAAGTACATACACCCTTGGTCTCGACCAGGCGGTCAACCGCAGCCCCGGCGAAACCGGCGCTAAATACTACATGAGCAATGCGAGATGTATGTGTCTGGCACGACTTACAAAAGTTCCTTAGCCAAAGCGTGGCTTTGGGGCTTGCCATTCTTGGCACAGTGATCTTCGTAAGCCTTTGCAGCCTGATATCCAACATGAGAACTGATTATGGCAGAGAAAGACTGAGCTTACTTCGAACGCAACGGCACCGCCAAGGAGTTCGTGGCTCAAGCTAGCTTGGTGAGGTGCATCATCGCTTTGGAACTGTAAATGTATCATTGAAGATGTGTTGTTTATGAAGTAATAGAGAAACGAACGTTGTCGTACTGATTCTGGGAAGAAGAGAAGGCGTCGAGGAAACCCATGATTGTATGTAGGAGTGAGTGAGTGAGTGAATGCAGAAGGGTGAGTGTAAGATGGGTTTATATACCTTTGGACTCCTTTAGAAGGTTCTATGAAACCAAAAGCGGAGTATATGGATATGATGGGCAGTGTCAAAGATCACATGAGATGTCTGGGGGACGAACAATAGCCTCATTCTTTGATGAATGGAGTACCTTAGCAATATCCGGCGGTCAATACCCGGGAAATCTTATCGATCTTATCTCCCGCAATCGGATTCTGGCATTGCGCGATCAGATAGGCGAATGATGCCGAACCAATCAGGGCTCTGTGCTGCGGCCTGCGGGCGGAGACAGCAAACTTCCTGATCCAACCAACTGGACTAGAAAATGCTGCGGTCATTCGGGGCACGGAATGATTTCCATGGCGGCAACGAGATGATGATAACATTTTGCTACTCTAGTAAGAGTAGCGACGATCAAAGCCCATGACGGCTGGAACATAAGATTGATCAGGCCCAGGTGTCAAACGAACGTGTCACCCTTAAAATGCAACTGAAACAACTAGAATCCTGTAGAATCTGGGGTACGCGTGAAATTAGAGAAGCCTTCACTCAAGTTAAAGCACCCGCTTGGCGGAAATATTTAGAATCAGGAGCATCATGTATTTTGAGAAACCATTAATTTTCACGCCACTGGTAGGCACATCCGGCGCATCTGCACCATTGTCAACCGGGCTAGGTCAGGGTCAAATTGACTAGTAAAACTTACCTGTAAACTGATTCCAAGAAGCAAGACAATGCCCACATTTCGTAAGTCCAATCCCAGAGGAGGTAAGCTGAACGTTCAACGCACACGTCGTCATAGGCTCATCTGCAGATCTAATCTGTAGCTGATAGAAATACGCGCGTGGGTGACCACACTTATCACAAGCGACTATTGGTCGTAGGTCAGTATCCAAAATTCCTACATCAAGCCTCAAGGGGCTAACCTGCAGTAGAATCAGCATCCCGCCAAGTCTCCTCCCCCCCAAGCACATCGTCTACCACCTTGCGTTTCATACGCGAGCGTGAAGTCATCTGGACGCTAGCATTAAAGGACCGTACGGTGATAATAAATATACGAGATACACACTTGCTTCGAGATCGGAAATTCGTATGCGCACGTATTGCACGCCCATTTATTGTAGCCTGTTTCCGAGGATATTACAAGCAGATTAGCACATGTCGGACAGAACAGCATGTAAATGGGTGTGCTGTGGTAATATTCAATACTGAGGAAACTGAGAAAGTAATTGTATGTATACAAAAGTTTAGGGAATGGAGGTCAACGAACAGGGTGAACCGATGAAGATTGAATCAGATCACGTGTCTATCGGCTCAGATAGCACCACACCGTGTGTACGCTGTATACGACCTGGACCCCGTTCGCTGACTCTTTCACACAACTTACCGCCGCTGGCAATAGAAGACCGATGGAAGCGCCAGCGGATTTACTCGATTCAGGCTACGTGAACGAATTGTTGGTCCTTTGCCCTGGCTGTCAGTTCTAGTTTTGACGGAAACTCTTTGCAGACACATACAGGCTTTCATCGATGCCCTACAGTCGGACGACCTAGATGCTCATGATGCCCTATCAGCAGCTTCACCCCACACCGTTCCCAGCTCTCCTGTGCCACAGAGCCCTCGAGTGAGGAAGGTCTCCGCTCTTTCCGATTTCGCTCCAATCAACTTGAAGGTGAAGAGGTATGGAGCTTCAGTTCTCGGTTAATTGATCCTGCCAAACTTATTGTGGCCAGAAAACGAAAGGGGGATAAGTCTCCGGGAAGGAGGCAAGAGTGGTCGTTTCTCGTGCTCCGATGGCCACTCCTCGTAAGCATCAATCCCTATTTCGAGTTCTCTCAATATTTATTCTATACCAGTTTTTGATATTTATCCTCATTGCGGCTCAATTTGGGTTCTACATCCTTATTAGACAACTTGTGAACACCAAAGAATGGTTGCTGGCATGCAAGTTTGACCTTAAATATACCGACACTTTGTGGCTCATTCAAATTTCAAAGGGCGAGGACAGAAGGGCCTTCTACGAAAGCGTCTTCGTGGGGCACGCACGTATCAGGTGTGTCACATGTCTTGAATCTTGACATTTGCATCAGTCTCTCACTTTCGACTCTAGGAATGGAAGGAAACGGCAATGATGCTCGACAGATACCTTATGTTCAATGACTGGAAAAAGGTTGATGAGGATGCATTTTATGATTGGAAACTTCTGCGCAAGGTGAAGAAAGTCCCGTATATCAAACACAGTAGCTTAAAGCGACACTTGTCAGGTGAATCGGTCGTTGAAGATTTTGAGAGAGAAGAAGGATGTTCGCGGCGTTCTCGGTGTGTTAGAGACGTGTATCCGAAGCAATTTTGTAGGAGTCGAGTCTTCCAGGTGAGTTTTTATATCGCTCAATCCCACTCCCATTCATGATTTTTTTAGGCTTTATAGTGAAGTAAGCGTTTTATCCTTGAAATAGGAGCCTAATCCGCACCTTTGAGATACCAGACTTTCTTGGGTACCAAGGACTTAATCGAATGTCAGTTTCTACCAGTATATATCTCATTCGGTCTAATTCCCCTTTAATAGCGTACCATACGGAGTTGCAAAGCGCACTACAATTCGTTCGAGAGTCCTCGGAGCTTTCCATTGAAGAGAAGAGGAAATTCTTCAAAAATGCTAGTACTAATCTGGGAGCATCTGCCCTGTGTCTCTCAGGTGGTGCGTCTTTTGGGTATTGTAAGTCGAAACCTACGCCACGCAATTGACATTGACTCGCTCTTCTAGACCATTTTGGTGTAGTGAAAGCTTTCCTAGATGCAGGGCTGCTTCCCCGAGTTATTGCCGGAACATCTGCTGGCGGTCTCGTTGCCGCTCTGGTGTGCACACGTACAGACGCGGAACTGAAGGCTCTTCTTGTTCCGGAACTCGCCCAAAAACTGACAGCATGTGAAGACTCCTTTACTGTATGGATAAAGCGTTTTGGGACTACCGGTGCAAGATTTGACAGTGTTGTGTGGGCTCGTAAAGTCGGCAGGCATACTCGACCGATGTTTCTTTTTTGATTTGTTTTTTTATAGTGCACATTCTTTACAAGAGGTTCCATGACCTTTCGAGAAGCCTATCTACGGACCGGGCGAATTCTCAACATTTCTGTTGTCCCTGCTGATCGCCACGCGTAAGCTCGTCATGTGGGCCTTGAGTCTAAAATAGCTGACCTTCATTTCAGCCCCACGAAGCTCTTGAATTACATGACTGCGCCGGATACGATAATTTGGACGGCCCTACTCGCTTCAGCAGCTGTACCCGGGATTCTCAACCCGGTTGTGCTCATGCAAAAGCTCCACGATGGCCGCGTAGTGCCATGGAATTGGGGTAGCAAGTTCAAGGACGGGTCTTTAAGGTAAGCAGGCATGATCTACCGAAATATTTTCATACGCCTCTGACATCAACCAGGGTTGATATTCCTCTTCAAGCTCTCAAAATGTACTTCAATGGTAAGATAGTTGTTGTTGGACGATCATGACCGGCTGATTATGATTCCAGTTACTCACCCGGTTGTGTCGCAAGTGAACCCCCATGTCCATTTATTCTTCTTTGCGCCTCGTGGGTCGGCAGGAAAACCGGTAGCTCACAGGAAAGGAAAGGGTATGGGATGAACATCTTATTTTTTTTTTTAGTCAGTGCTTCATGCGTTTACAGGGTGGCGAGGCAATTTTCTTCTGTCTGCGGCGGAACAGTGGCTGAAACTAGAGCTAACAAAGAATTTCAAAGTAAATGCTTATTTGATCGTGCCAGTAGATTCCAAGTAAACCATTCCGACCAGGTGATTCGTGATCTCGAGCTTCTTCCGCAGTTGCTTGGACAGGACTGGTCTAGTGTCTTTCTGCAACGTTTTGATGGGGCTGTCACGTATGTACCGATCATCTGACCATCCGATAATACTCATACTCGGCTTCAGAATCTGGCCGAGGACGCGAATTTTGGTGTGTATTCCACACAGCATTCTCTAAATACGATGCTGATGGCTGATTGAATGATAGGATTGGTTGCATATCTTGAGCGATCCAGACTCGGTCGAGCTCGAACGAATGATGAAAGTCGGGCAAATTGCAACGTGGCCTAAGGTCGGAGCTACTGGCGTTCCATGTCACTCATTTGCTCATTGTTGACTTCAGTTGCACATGATCGAAAATCGGTTTCGCATAGAAAATGAGATTCTCATGGGTCGACAGGCAGTCCGCATAGCAATGGACCAAATTCGGTCCCGTACAACTCCCGGTGACACCCGAAATATTGCTGTCAACGGTCAGGCCGTCCCCGAGCCCGTTACTGGCTCTCGACTTCGTACAAGATCCGAGTCGCCAATACCATTGGACTCGGACACCGAACGTGCATTCAAAGACAATGGCACGGCTTGGTACTTCCGCCGTGGTCGCCCTACAACTGGTGCTCCACGCGAATCTGAGACGAGTACACCGTATGAGAACAACTATAACAATATTACCGACCCTTTACGTTCTCCTGTGCTGCGTCGCAGGTGGGCATCTGAACTCCTCGATCGCAACGACGACAGTGGAGCTGGAAACTCATCTGCAAGCCCACGTACAGCCACGCCAGAACCATCTGCTGATGAACCAAGGCAAAACACTTCTAACTCGTCTACATTCTTCAGGAGACTTGGGCCAAGATCGTTGCCGATACCATTCTCAGGTTCTTATAGACCTGCCAAATCCAGCGGGAGGAGTTTGGGTGTAAATGCATCAGAATTTGCCTGGAGTAGTGAAAGTTCATCAGAGGATGAATTGGATCACCTCCAACCACAGTCCGCTCTTTACCTGAATACTGAATTGGATGAAGATGCGGTTTCAGATGAAGAAGGAATGGATCAAGACTGATCTAGTGTTTCTATTGTATACCAACTGTAGCTATGACTTTCATTATGTACATTGTATTTTTACTCTTTGGATGCGAATTCAATATATTTTCGGTAAGTTCCGCTCGTACTTTAGTGACACCTCTCACTGCACGGGCCACGTCTGATTAAACATATATGTGCTTCGCATCTCAACACTTTCAGCAATGGTATGTTTGTGACTTAGTGTGTAGCGTGCTCTCAAGCAAGGAGTCGATTGACCTTCTAGCGCTTACTGAAACTTGGCCAACTGCCATATTCACCTCCTATTCAACCACAAGTGCATACCCCCACGCACACTACGATGATAGCACCCCGCAGCGGCATATTCAGAGACGTTCAGCCTTCAAGCTTGCAAGAACGGTGATATGTTTCAGAGGGGGTTGATTATTGCGAGAGTTTTGAGATTCTGTGTGCGCAACGAGAATCACGAGACGATTTAGACTGTCCACTGTCACTACCTAACGCTTCAATACTTTCTTTACTATAGATAACATTAGTACTGCACTGACTGTATTCTTAGATGATCTGAGCCGAGTACTATCAGTGTGTGTAAATATGAAGTAGAGGTCACGGGAAAATTCCAGTTGCGCTTGGCTTCCAACCACATCGACTAGGATGTCTTCAGAGACTAATTCACCACCTGACCCGGAGTTTCTTGCTGCAGTAGCCCAACGCCGCAGTGCCATGACAGGACCAGCAGTTTCTGGTTTTGAACTCCTTCGACAGCATGAGCAGCGGCAGAAGTTTCGACGTCTGATAGACCCCGGAATCTTGAGGCCTAATTCCCATGAAGCGGCGATGGCTTCCTTGAAGGTATGCAGTGGATGCATCAATTATCATACATGAACAGCCTAACGATATTGGGCTTCTCGCAAGATATTATCAAATATCTCTGAGAATCTGATACGAGAGCCTGAAAACCCCAAATTCCGGCAGTTCAAGTCGACAAATGATATGATCAGACGGCGCCTGATTGAAACCAAGGGTGCGCTAGAGTATGCAATTGAGGTGCGTCTGACCGAAATAACTTTTGTACGTACCTATCTAATCTCGAGAGGACAGATGGGGTTTCGTCCGGAGGTATGTCTTCCCTGTCAGTACTGTGCTAACACCGCTTTATCTCGAGTTCCTTGCAGGTCAAGGAATTTCAGCCCCTCTATGTCTGGAATGAGCGCAAAAGCGAAGAACTACGCCTTGGCGCTCAAATATTACAAGAGACTATAGAACTAGCTGAGAAAAAATCAGCCAGGTCTCAAACAAGTGCGGCTGAAACGAAGGCTGCCACTGAGGCTGCCAAACGAAATGTACGTCACTGGAACAACTAGGTATTATGTTATCCAGCCCTCATCAAATCACAGGCCCTGCTGGCTTTCATGGACGACCGCAAAACCAAGATGCTTCGTGACCAGCGCGATCGCCACAATCGCGAAGTTCGAGCCCTTCACCGTCCGAGTGTAAACGGCGAAGGAACTATATCCCCTTCTCCACCGCCCTCCAATGCAGAAATGCCAGGCAGTGGTCATGTTTTGTCATCACCTGACCCTGTAGTAGATGAACTTCCCCCGTATCATGACTGATCGTTTCAACCCCTGCCGATCTAACATGTTCGCATTTACGCAAACCAGTGGTCAAATATTATTATATGATTCGATTAATGTGTACAATTACAACAAACACATGTACAATTCAAGACGAGGTTGAAGGAGTGGCGTTCTTTAACAGACTTGACCTGTCCATGTCAGCCTTCAAACTCAGATCTATTGCATGGGGAAAATCAGGAATGGGAAGCAGTGAGGGCAGCGTGTCTTTCACGCTTTGAGAATGATGCCTGGATGAAGCTTTGAATTCGATGGTCAGATTTGATTCCAAGCGAACGTAGAAAGAAAATGACATACAAGTCGATTGTTCGTATGCCCTAGCCCTCTGCAAAACAAGGCCCTGTTGAACACGACTGCGTCCCAAGCGGTCTGATGGGTCATGAGGAGATAGTGGTGGAATCATAGAGCTGCGTCGATCAAAGGAAGTGAACATAGACCTCGTGGGAGATTTCGCCCTCTCGTTGTGGTTATCTGAGGTCGATGTCAAATTGCGCCCCTGCATGATCGACGATCTAAAGGATCTCACGGCCTGTGACAACCGTGATGGAGGTGATGGAGGTGGTGATACAGGAATTGGGAACTCCGACACAGCTGGCACCCCTGGACTGCTGATGCGGAGAGGGGGGATGGGTGGAGCGTTATGCAACACATGTTGTTGTCTCTCTCGAAGCGATGGATTAGTCGGCGATTCCTGGTTAGAGAGGGATACCGAGCGGGAATGTGACAGTCGAGGTATTATTTCATGCACAGAGTGCATTCGATGCCGCGAGCTACGATTGGAGTCTTCATGTGGTCTGTCAGGAAGTGCTAGGTCTTGCACATATCCGCTAGGTGTCCAAGTGACTCCGTTGACAAAAACTTCTACATGTAGCTGATGGTGTGTTTTTGCAGACTTTCTCCTAGCCACAAGAAATCCAGGTGACTGTGCCACCTCGGTGTGTAGTTCGGCGTGTGCCTTCCTGCGCCTTTTCGCGGATAACGGGCGCACTGACATATTGGTCACCTTCTGAGATGGTTGCGCTACCTTTCCAAGCGCGGGGTAAATATCCAAGTGCGGGTAGACAGCAGGGTCTGAAATCATAATTTAACTAAGCCAGAAAGAGAGTGGGCACGCATACTCACAGATATTCAAGACTGGGTACCCGTGGTCCATTCTAACAGTTGATTTTCCGCTTGCAGCAGGAGCATCAACTCTCGAGAGGATACCAGGATAAAGATCGAAGTAGGGATACACAGACGGATCTGCTGCTAATTTAGTATGGGTAGCATTTGCAGTATAATTGAAGGGCGTACAGATCACGAGATAGGGATATGGACTAGCAATCACATGAAGAATGTTGGATTCTTCCCGGGTCACTAGTTCTGCAGCGCGAGTGGGATACAGATTGAAGTGAGGATACACATGAGAATCTACATGCTCTGTGAGAAGAGAAGGGAGAAAAACATGATGTAGAACTTACAAATGACCAAGAAGGGGTACGTGCTACTCGAAACGGAAGGCTTGCTGTTAGTTATGTCTGCCTCTCGACTCGCTAATTCTGCCGCGCGGGCGGGATACAGATCGAAGTGCGGATACACGGCAGGATCTACATACACTATGAGAAGATGGCTAAGAAAAAACTGAATGTGGAACTCACAAACGACAAGGAAGGGATACGCTGGAACAGAGAACTTGCCATTGGTTATATCCTCCCCCCGACTCGTTAATTCTGCCGCACGGGCGGGATACAGATCGAAGTGGGGGTACACAGCAGGATCTACGTACTCCGTGAGAAAGCAAGTAAGAGGACATAATGTAAAACTCACAAATGACCAAGAAGGGGTACGTGCTGTTCGAAATGAAAAACTTGTTGTTAGTAATGTCCTCCTCCCGACTCGCTAGTTCTGCCGCGCGGGCAGGATACAGATCGAAGTGCGGATACACAGCAGCATCTGCATACACTATAAGATGGCTAAGAAACCTGAATGTAGAACTCACAGATGACAAGGAAGGGATACTCTAGAACGGAGCACTTGTCGCTGGTCGTCTCTTCCTCCCGACTTGCTAATTCTGCCGCACGGGCAGGATACAGATCGAAGTGCGGATACACAGCGGGATCTGCGTACTTGGTGAGAAAGCGAGTAAGAGGACATCATGTAGAACTCACAAATGACCAAGAAGGGATACATGTTACTCGAAACGAAAAGCTCGTTGTTGGTTATATCCTCCTCCCAACTCGCTGGTTCTGCCGCGCGGGCGGGATACAAATTGAAGTGAGGGTATACATGAGGATCTACATGCGCTATGAGAAGATGACTGAGAAAAATGAAATGTAGAACTCACAAACGACAAGGAAGGGATACTCTGGAACGTAGAACTTGCCGTCGCTCATATCTTCCTCCCGACTCACTAACTCTGCTGTACGGGCGGGATACAGATCGAAGTGCGGATACACAGCAGGATCTGCGTACTTTGTGAGAAAGCGAGTAGTAGGACATAATGTAGAACTTGCTGGTCATCAGATCCTTTTCATCACGGGACGCATGTATCTGAACACGTGGATACAGGTCAAAGTGAGGATAAGCGGGAGGATCTACGTGAAGCAAATTAAGTATCGGGCAATTGCTCACTTTCACTTGAGCCAACTCACAAGGGCAAATGTATGGGTAAGCGCCCGCAAGGTCAACTGATACGCTATCGACAATGTCCTGAAAGGAGCAAAGATTCTGAATCACTATTCACCAAATTGAGTCTCATGCTTTACCTTGGCAGACGCCTCTTGTTGCGAACCTCGAGACCTCATTTTTGGCAAGGTAGGATACAGGTCAAAGTGTGGATATGCCGCGGGATCTAGAATGAAAGGTTCAGTACATCAGACTCGAGGGTGAAGGTGAGGTCTTACATAAATCGAATGACGGGTAATACCTAGCTAAGCTGATTTTCACACATTCCGACTTGTAGTGAGTCTGAGATATGCTCATAGGGCTTTCGCACGTCTTATTTAACGTCGGATATGGCTCAACAAAAGGGTAAACCGAGGGATCTAACGCGCCAGTCAGGGTGACTCGTTACGAAAAATACTGGGGGACTCACAGATGTCCAGCCATGGATAGCGCGATGACAAGCGGATAGTGATTTCAGAGGCATCTTCGACTTCGGTTGGGGGATATACTGTTTTCAGGCTCCACGGATAGCCTGCAGGATCTAGGGGACAATGAGATACAAACCAGTAACCAACGCACGCTTGTTCCACATACAGATATCGAAAACAGGATATCGTGGCCCAAGTTTTACTTGAACGGGCTGCGCAATCTCGTCTTTTGCTCGCCGGGGTCCAGCCACCTCAGCACTGACTTGTGGATACGGGTTCACATGAGGGTAAACAGGAGGATCTAGCACGCGTTAGACCCCGTTCAAAAAAAGGCGCAAGATAACTCACATATAATCAACCACGGATAGCTACTGGGGAGCACCACAGATGAAAATAATTCAACGGCCGGTGCCGGATAAATCGAACTGAGGTTATACGGGTAAAGAGGCGGGTCTAAAAACAGTCAGCCCAGAAAAAAGTGTGACGCCAACGACCACTCACAAAGATTAAATAGGGGGTAAACTGGAGCAAGTTCCACAATGACAGATTTTTTTGGTTGAGAGGCGGCCGTCTTTTCAGCAGAAGTAATAACTGAGCATGCAATCGAAGGATATAAGTTAAAATGAGGATAAACTGCAGGATCTATTGTTCGGGCTGAGCATTTCCCTAAAACCTAGTCAATACGATAACTCACAAATTTCAAGTATGGGATAACCTCTAGCGCTGCTGAGGCTGCTGTTCACCTCGCAAGCAGGATAAATATCGAAATAAGGATAGGAAGCTGGGTCTATTGAAAAGTCAGCAATCACTCATTAATCACGAGCAACGACGGCTCACATATGTCTAGACTAGGATATTCAGATTTCAACCCTCCTTGTCGACTGAGCGAGATGACCATGGAATTTCTAGGCTGTACACCGTCAACTTCATGCCACGGTCCAACATTGAACCAGGGCATGCCAACCCAGGGATTTGAAGAGGTGCTACGCTGCAACTCTAGGTCTCCATTGTCCTTGGAAGCGTGAATATCGAACCAAGGCCATGCTCGGATGGCAGGCACGATGGCCCATGGGCTATAAGAAAGCCCAGACACCGCACTCTCAAGTTCGGACCAAGGCCAAACTTGAACCCATGGCATTCCAGCCCAAGGATTATAAGTAGTTGATGGAAGTGTCGCCACTTTTGAAACATCGAACCATGAAGACAATGAAGCAGACATGCTCGCCCATGGGCTGTATGACTCCTCTGCAGGTGATACGTTTCTAACCTCGGAAACTGGACCTTCAGAGGCTGGACTCGCTAAAGCATCTTCCAGTATTCGGTGAGCGATGTCTGGGGACGGCAAGCGATCAACACTGGACACATCTGACCGCCAATCGTCAGCAGGCCCCCAACTAGTGGCCGTGGCGGGGGTGAGTGGTGCGCTCTCAAGCATACGTCTACCAATGTCAGGCGAAGGTAAACGAGCGATGCTTGACACATCTGAAAGCCAATCATCATCCAGAGGTCCCCAACTAGTTGCTGTAATCGGTGTCAACAGCACAGATTCCTGTATGCGACGATCAAGATGAACAGAGGGAAGACGGTAGGAAGACGATGGAGAATCCAGAGGCGGACTAAGTGGCCCAGCGGATGTGACGGACCAGGCATAGTCTGCCAAATTCAGGGGCTCTTGGGCTCCTGCCTCTACCTCCAAGGGGTACTCATCCGTAGGCTGGATCGCCGCAGCGCCCAATGTAGCATCAGGGATAGGCTGGTATGACTCTGTCATTGATGCAGGATCTAAGGATGCGCTCGCTCGCCATGAATTAACACGCCGACGAAGCTCAGCTTTCGACACCTGCGGAACCGCAGACTGTGGGATGGGAGACAGTTGATGCGCAACATGGTTTAGAGGTAGAGAAGTTGCCTGCGATGCTTTGTACGAATCCTGGAGCGCAGTGGAATCTAGCCGATCGACGAGGGAGAGTTTCTTGGGTGCCTGGCGGATAGCTGTAGGCCTTGAGTTCGACTGATTGGTCTGATTTTCCCAGCGGTCTTCATTCGCAATGTGTTCCTCTGCAAATGTAGTCTTACTATCTCCACGTAAGTGCAGTATAGATGCATGGGACTGTGGAGCAGGAACAACGGTGTCGTCGCGCAGTGTGCCGGCAAGCCAGGCATCGAACCAGCGGGCTTTGTTGAGATCAATATCAAATTCTACGCGACCACCGATGGGTAGTTGTTGGGAGCCGTTACGTGACTCGATGAGATGCGCCCATAGGTACTGCCAGGCATCGTCAGAGATGCGCGGCGTCATGGTGATACCATTTTCAGTGATATGATGGTAGAGACACAAGCCTACGGTGCTCGGAAAATTGAACTCCCGTGCGATTGCAGTGAGCTGCCCGTACATCTGATCCCAAAGTTAGAACACTCATTATTCGGTAGTCAGATACCAACCGTAGGAAATAGGGGCATGAGGATCCCTTGAGATATACGGTGACGAGGTCCCATGGACAACATGTTGCCTAGTTGACCATGATCCATAGGAAAGTCTGATGGAGGAAGAACAACGATCAAGGACTTTGAGGCCCGTGAAGGGGTTCGGTCGCGGTTTTCACGCACTCCTCCCGAGTTCTGGTACGGCAGAGTGGACGTCCTGCGAGATTGGAATCTAGAACGCTCAGGAAAACTCAAAGCAGAATGCCCCAGCTGTTCCAGCTCTGCGCCAGCGACGAGAGAAGCCTGTGGCAGTTGAACCGGTAGAGATTCTTGATCGGTCTCCGGTGGGCTGAGAGGAAGTGGATGATTATTCTGGGAGGAATGAATAGTTGGCATGGTATGGTACGGGTGGCTAGCAAAGTGAGACATTGTTCTGATGTCCAGAAAAGTGAGTACACTGAACAGAAGCAGTTGGCAGTTGGCTCTCTGAAAACCGAGTTCAGTCTAAGAGGCTAGAGTTCAAGTCGCTGGCTAGCAGCGGAGGAGCCTGCGGGAGAAGCGTGAGCAAGTACAACAGATACAGCGGATATAAGTATGCAGCATATAGCATAAGGCTATGGGAGGAACAGGAAAGTAAGTTTTCAGCGGGACCTGAGCGAACAGCCTGAGATTGGATCACACGAAAGACTGTGTAAATCGTCAGGGCGACCGTGTCGATAATTCTATTTGAGCGCCAATAGGTTTGGACAGTGAGAGTATGTTCACGGAGTAGCTCCAAGATGACAGTCTTTTGGATAAATTCATACCATTCCTTCAAACAGCTTTCCCTCCAGTCTTGTCCACGGTACACCTGGTAAAGCATGAGCCGGGTAAAAATTCCCTAAGGAAAACCTACCAGGGAAATCCATACTGAATCTGACATGGCTGTTCCGCATGATGATCAATAACCGGTCGTGATGCAAGTACCAGTTCGACTGCACCTGACACCGCCACTTTGCAACACCCTGGATTATTTCCTTTTAAGTATGATTTCGAGCGATAACACGTTCTTTGACATTACTTTGACACGGAACTATAATGGACTCTAGACTAACACAATTCGCAGCTCTCAACCAGAAGGACAAAGCTCCAGCCTATCTATCTCTGGTGTCAGAGATTCTCACTCGTCAAGATCAATCTCTCATAGCTCCTGATCTCCATACACTAGTGGAAACGGTCGTCCAGGATGTAGGCATTGTCGTCGGAAGACAAGTCCTCTCCGAACTGGTCAGAAATATCGGTACCGGAAGCATATCAGATCACAACCTGCGGAAACGCATCGTAAAGGAAACTCTCAACACGCTTCAGCCCCGAATCGTAAGTTATGAAGAGCAGGTGCGTTTGCATGATTGCCCCTGAAGATGCAGCCCGATAACATCTTCTACAGGTCAACTCTTTACGCTTTCAACTCGCAGATTTGCTAGAAACGGAAGAAGAATGGAGCGAAGCTGCCCGTGTCCTTATGGGAATTTCTTCTCGGTGAGCCTCGCTCATCTGAGTAGTCCCTTATGTCCCCCTCATCTATGAACCTGTGGCAGGTCACTACCAGACGAGGAAAAGTTTCGCGTGAATATTCGGATAGTCAGGCTGCTCCTCGAAGATGAGGATTCTGTCCAGGCGGAGACTTACTACAATCGTGCCGCTTCCCTTTCCAATTCGACATCAGACCGAGAGACACAACTTCAGTTTAAGCTCTGCCAAGCCAGAATCAGTGACTATGCACGCAAGTTCCTCGAGGCTGCAATGCGCTATCACGAGCTGAGCTGGCTTGCCGAGATCGACGAAGAAGAAAGAAAGGAGATGTTGTAGGTCGCATCTAGCGATATCTATATCCTACTGACAACGCTAGGTCGGCTGCAGTGACTTGTGCGGTCTTGGCCCCAGCTGGTCCAAACAGGTCGCGCGTACTTGCTTCACTGTATAGAGACGAGCGTTCTGCTGACCTACCCTCATACAACATCCTGTCTAAAATGTTCCTCGACCACATCCTCCGCCCAGCTGAAATCAGAACATTCGAGGAGCGCCTTCGCCCTCATCAATTAGCAAAGATTGCTATTTCTTCCAATGATCAGCTTGCCTCAACTATTGACGATGATGACTCTGCTGAACCGTCGACAAGTACTCGCAGGGGGCCGTCAACCGTTCTTGATCGAGCGGTTATGGAACATAACCTATTGGCTAGCTCAAAAATCTATAATAACATCACTTTCAGAGGTCTCGGTGCTCTCCTAGATCTAGCACCTGGAGCCGCAGAGACGATGGCACGAAAAATGATAGAGCAAGGACGTCTGAAAGGGTCGATTGATCAAGTCGACAAGCTCATCTGGTTCGATGCAGCAAGAGAGGAAGATGACGCTCAAGGCAAAGCAGGTGGCCTTGGTGATGTAGAGCAGACAAACGAAGACACTGGTGCTCCATTCACCAAGCGGTGGGACTTGCAAATTCGCATGACAGCGGCAAATGTACGTTCTAGGAGTCCCCTCAGATAATCCTTGAACTAATTTGATTGGCAGGTGGAGACTATTGTGCAACACCTGGCTGAGAAGGGTTTTGTCCAACAACCAGCGGTTGCAGCATGAAATGGGTTGCAATTCTGGTAAACTACGATGTGTAGTTGGTGCCATGCATACAATATTGTCCAGTACATTATAATCAACCATACCGATGAGACATATTATACGAGCCCGTTTTCTAGTTTGCGACGCTTCTTGGCTCGCTCCCGTTTGGTCTCCAGCTCATGCCATTCACCTTCTAAAGTGGACAGGCTATTCAGAAAGAAAGAAAGAAAGATTAAACAACTTGAAAGGCAGAAAATGAATCATAACGTACTCAACAGGCAACTCAGGTGGAGGTTGCTCTTCCTTGAAATAGGGAGCCTCAAGAGCCTCAAGGGCAGTAACTCTCTGCGTCGGATCATAAGCAAGAAGCCGCTCAGCTAAGTCAAGGGCTGCGGGCGATAACCATCTAAAATCAAAGTGAGCTCATCGAATGTCATGGATGTATCTGCATATGGACCCACCGAGAGAACAAGTCGCGGAAATGACCATGAATCACATCTTTCGGCTTGACCAACTCATACCATGGCAGTGCGGTGAGCCCTTGCCATCGCTCAGTAGATGGAGTTCCAAGAATACGGTAAATCACATCCAACTGATGGATTTCATCATTGCCCTGGAACACTGGTTTCTTGGTGAAAAGCTCCAGCATGATGCAGCTGGACAATACCATCAACAAAGGGCGGTGCGAGAAGGCAAGAGCGAAGCTTACCCGGCACTCCACATATCGACTTCCGGCCCATATACCGTAGCACCGAAGAGCAACTCTGGCGGTCTATACCATAAAGTGATGACGCGATTGGTATAATCACTTCGCCTGCGTTTCTGGTAAAAGCGCGCCAGACCAAAGTCGGCGAGTTTCAGCTCCCCTCGGTTATTGATAAGAATGTTGGAACCCTTGATATCACGGTGGATAACGCCTTTGCGGTGTAGATATGCCAGCCCAGCGAGCATTTGGCTGCACAGTGACTTCAGATTGGCCTCCGAAAACGAGAATTGAGTCTGAGATAGAACCCCTGTAAGGTCATGGTCCATGTACTCAAACACCATGTACACAGATCCTTGAAAAAGGAATCAGTATACTCGGGGGTAATAGATCACAGAATAATTACCGTTTGATACCATCATCTCGTAAAGGCGGACGACGTTCTGATGTCGTAAGGACTGCAGCAGTTTGATTTCCCGCATCGCAGTAACTGGAAAGCCATCCTTTTCTGCTTCCATGCGGATTCGCTTGAGCGCCACGTGGACATTGGTGATGACATTGCGAGCCTTATAAACCTTGCCGAATGTGCCTTCGCCAACCTGAGAGACAATGGCATAGAGGTCCTTGCAGGTCGTCCCCGATGGAGAGGACGGCCGTGGCGTCCCTTCCGCGTCTGGCTCCACTGTATGCGACTGTTGGGCAGGACTGACGGAAACATTGCCACTGCCTGCCGGCTTCGGTACAATGGAAGCTTTCAGCGAGTCACGGACAATTGAAGGCAGGACCTGCATAGGCTGGGGAGCCGGAAGAGCCTTTGTAACGGGCTCACGTGAACCAGGGACTTGTTGGGACGGCAAGGGCTGTGAGAGGATACTTCCACGCATATCTTCAGCTCGATCGGTTGCACCTTCATCGCGAGCACGCTTCGCGGGGACTTCTGAATGAATCTTAGGGGAGGCGGGGGATTTATGTTGAGGGGCGGGACCAGCTTCATCGTCGTCTTCATCACGCGGGAAAAACAATTTAACCGCTGAGCTAGGCTCCCCAATGGGCCTAAATCCTGCTTTCGAGGTCTTTCGGATTCTAGGAGAGTCGTGATCAGCCCAGCCGGATGCAGCTGATGGATGATAGCTGATGGGAGAATCGCTTAAACGATGTTTCGTAGACAGCCGCGGAACCTTAGCTGGAGGAGGCATTTGCTCAGCAGCGGGGGAGAAATGTCGACGTCGCTGCAAAATAATCAGCGCCTCTCTGGAGTCATGTTGGGTATGCTTACATTGCCCTGCTTTCCATTCGTTCTTGTCTTCCCATTGGGCCGCAATTCAGGGTCCCTTGAGGTGGGGAGAGGACCACCACGTGGTTGTTGAATGGTAGTCTGTGATATAGACAGTGATATATCGTTGATAGAAGTTGCAGTTGGTAAACGGTGCTTAGGTTTGGGCCGGTCATCCATACTCCAGCTTGAACTTCTGCTTCTACTCCGGCTTGCAGAGGAGGCCGACGAAAGGCTGTGCCGACGCCCTCTACGCATGGTCCAACTACGATCGGATGATCCAGGGGAATATGACTTCCAGCTTTGAGCTTCCCTGCCAGTTCGTCCCCTGTTAGTGGGCGTCCGACTACGCCGCCGAACTGGACTGTAGCTATGTTGCTGCGATCTTGGAGACAAGGACCTTGAGTGCGAACGACCTCGCGAAGACATATGAGAGTAGTAAGAATCAGGAGAGCGCGAGCGCGATTGTGTCCCCGCAGGCGACGGTGATCTGGAGGGTACCATTTTCGGTTTAACAGGGGAGGTGCGCACAGGTTTGGCAGGTAAGGGATGGAACTCTCGTCTCTGCCAGCTGTAAACAAAACAATATGAGAATGCGAGAGATAGCACAATATCGAACACAAAGCACTTGTTCAGGTCATCATCATCGTCATGTCGCCGCTGCTCTCTTTCCCGCTCTTTATCCCTCTCCTTCTCCATCCGAATACGATTTTTATTCTGATTTTTCTTGTTTTTGTTCTTGTTTCCGTTATTGCGATTGCGATTATGCTTGCCCCCTTGGTCAGGGCCACGTGCTTGCCATCCGGGACCAGGCTCCCAAGAC